TAGGTTCTGGTTCGTCTTCTAATTAACCTGCGTCACGTGCGTGACGTTAACGAGCTCGAGTTCGCTTCTGCTGACAGTGTCGTTCTGAGTCTCCCCAAACGCACCGGTTGGATTTCGTGGCGTTTGAACCCGCCGCAGTATCAAATTGAACCGTCTCTTCAGGCCGGCCGATAAGCCGCCCCTGCCGTGGCCTGTGACGTGTTCTCTGCGTGGCGGGGGGCGTCCTGTCCAGCCCCCGGCCCGAGAATAGCTCTGGCCTTAAATCCCTGCCGCGCCGGGGCCCCCACGAAGCTGGGTGCAGAGCTGAGCAGAAGTCGGTCTGCTGGCAGGGCGGGACTTCCTGTTTTCCCGCATTGCCCCGCCCCCATGTGATGGAAATGGCCCGTCATCTCTCTCTGTCTGCGAGGTGCTACCGCCCCATAACCCGCCTCCCCCCCCCCCGGGATTCACCCCACAGGTGTCCCCTGGCAGCGCCCCCCTTTCCTATCTCAAATGGGTCCTGTGGCAGGCAGTTCCACAGGCTAACAGTGTTGGTTTTCTCCCTGCAGGGCACCTGTCTGCTGAAGCCGTTTCACGCCCACCCGTTGGTCCTGCCCCGCGATTCGGGGCCTGTTGGTAGATGACGGGAAGGGGGCAGGGGCTGGATCTGAGCTCAAGAGGGGTCGGGGGCAGCAGGATTGGGGGCACAGAGGGGACATGGATTGAGAGGGCGTGGGTGGGAGCCAGGGGGTCGAGGCAGGGGGTGTGGATCGAGGTCGAGTTGGCTGGGGGAAGGGGTCTGTGGGGCTGGATTCGGGGCATGGGTGGGAGGTGGGGGAGGCGGCGTGGGGGGCGGGCTCTGACCTCCATGTTCCCCCCCCCCCCCCCGCAGAGCGCCGGGAGTTTTTCGGGGGGTTCCTGCCCCCGGTGTCAGCCCAGCCCCCCCGGCCGGGCGCCGTGGCCCCGTCCCTGCTGGAGCGTCACGCAGGCGACCTGGGGGCGCAGCACGACTGGGAGGCCGACTGGCAGAGCCAGGGGCTGGCGTCTCGCCTGCCCCCCAAGGTGAGGGGGGCTGCGGGGGGGGCTCTTGCCTGGGGTGGGGAGGGTCCTGGATGTTTGTGGAGGGTCCCTCATGGGGGGAGGGGTTTGGGGTCCCCTGGCCTCCAAGGAATACATGCCCCGGGGGGGTCGTTGCAGGGGGGTCCCCCAATCGCACTGCCCCCCCCCATTTTATCTCCCCCCAGGAGTACGTGCAGTGGAAGCACCAGCGGCTCCGGCACCGCCTGCTGGACCAACTGCGTCAGGCCGCCCCCCCCCACGGCGCCGCTGGCCCCCCCCAGCCAGGGGCGCCGGACCTGGCCCAGATGCTGGGGCTGCTGAGCGCGGGGGGCACCGGGGGGGCCCTGGCCAAGGGGTCCCGCTTCAGCCGCGCCCAGCGCCTGGCGCACGAACAGGTACTTGTGGGGCCGGGAGCTGGAACATGGGGGGGGGGGGTTGGGGCACCGGGGGAGTTGGGGGGCTGTGGGGAATGGGGGGGGCCTTGGGGGAGGCTGGGGGGCTCAGAACTCCGGGTACCTGGACAGACTTTGTGTGTGTCTGGGCGAATGCGGGATTGGGGGGGGATGGAGGTGGGGGTTAGGGGCTACCCAGGAGGTTGGGGGACACTTGGGGGGGATGGGGTGGCTGGGAGAGGGGAATCTGGGGGGCCGGGCAGGGAATGGGGGTGCTGGAGGCTTTCGGGCTCTGGAGGGACTCTGGGAGATTTTGGGGGAGTGATAGTGTGGAGGGGGCTGAGGGGAGAGGCCCTCTGTGACTGCCCCCTTTTGGCCCCCCAGGACCCTCAGGAACTCGTGGGGCAGATGCAGGCAGCGGTGGAAACTCTCCCGTCCTCCAAGACCTCGGAGCAGGTAGTGGGGGGGGACCCCCTTAAAAAGCGGGGGGAGTGCTCAGCAGTTGGGGGTTGGGGGACCCCGAGGCAGGGTCCGGAACGGTGCTCTGGGGACCCCAAAACAGCTGGGAATTCAGAGCTACCACCTCGCTGATCGTTAATCCTGGACCCTAATGATGGCCAGTTCTCGTTGCTACCCCAGTGGTCCCTGGCAGACTCAGCCAGCTGGGGGGTGGGGAGGGGTGTTCCCAGGATGCCCCCCCGCTGCCCCCCCCCATGCTGGCCTTGAGACCCTCTCCCCGCCCCAGGAGGAGCTGGTGCGGCAGGCGGAGGAGCTGGCCGGCCTGCAGGGGGAGCTGCGGCGCCTGGAGGCCGAGATGGAGGCCGTCGGGGGGGAGGTGAAGGTGCTGGAGCTGAGCCTTTCCCAGGTGAGGGGCGGGGGGGGGGGGGGGCTGGGACGTTTCCCCCTGGGCGGGGGGGCAACCATGTCTTGGGGGGGAGGGTCCGTGCTCCCCATGTCTCTCTGCCCCCAGGAGGGGGTGTCTGGGGGTGTCGGGGTCCGTGCTCCCCATGTCTCTCTGCCCCGAGGCGGGTGGGCTGGGGGTCCGCTCTCCCCATCTCTCTCTGCCCCCAGGCGGGGGTGTCTGGGGGTGTCGGGGGTCCGTGCTCCCCGGTCTCTCTGCCCCCGGGCAGGGGTGTCGGGGGTCCATGCTCCCCGGTCTCTCTGCCCCCGGGCGGGGGTGTCGGGGGTCCGTGCTCCCCGGTCTCTCTGCCCCCGGGCGGGGGTGTCTGGGGGTGTTGGGGGTCCGCGCTCCCCATCTCTCTCTGCCCGCAGGCGGCGGCAGGGCTGTGCCAGCAGCGGCTGGCTCTGGGGGGCCGCGAGCGGACCCTGCGCGTACAGCGCCGGGCGCTGGAGCTGCTGCCGGAGGCGGGGAGGAACCTGGCTGCGCTGCAGCTGCTGGTGGAGGGCAGCGCCCAGCGCCTGGTGCACCTGGCCGCCCAGTGGGAGACGCGCCGGGGGCCGCTTGTGGATCAGTATCGGCACCTGCGGGCCGCCCGCCACTCCCGCCAGGTGAGCGTGGGGGCGGGGCTGCTCAGCGGGGGCGGGGCTCCGCCCAGGGACTGCCCCCCCGCTCACCCCCTTCTCCCCCTGCAGCTGGAGTCGACCCGGCGGGTCGCGGAGATCCAGGCCCTGCACGAGTGTGGGCGGAGCGCGGCCGCCGAGGCCCGGCGCAAGGAGGAGCTGTGCCGGCAACTGGTGGGCGGGGCCTCTTGGGCAGGGGGCGGGGCCTCTTGGGCAGGGGGCGGGGCCTCTTGGGCAGGGGGCGGGGCCTCTTGGGCAGGGGGCGGGGCCTCTTGGGCAGGGGGCGGGGCCTCTTGGGCAGGGGGCGGGGCCCGGGGTGGGAGAAGTGGGGCGGGCCGGGATTTGCATGCCCCGCGGGGGGTGGGGGGAGCCCTCTTTGCCCGCTGGTTTTGCACATCCCCTGGGTGCACGACCCCCCCCACCCCCGTGCGTGTGGGGCCCCCCTGGCCGGGCCCGGTGGGGGGGGCTGGGGCAGACGCTGACCCCCCCGCACCCCCCCAGCTGACGGAGCTGGAGGTGCTCCCCAAGGACGTGTCGCGGGCAGCCTACACCCAGCGCATCCTGGAGATCGTCGGCAACATCCGCAAGCAGAAGGAGGAGATCACCAAGGTAACCGGGGGGGGGGAATCGCCCCCCGGGCCCCCCCTGCCCTCGGCAGCTTCCGCAGGCCGGAGATGCCCCCAGGTTACCCCTCCCCTCTCGGGTTGGAGGGGGCGCTCCCCTGGGGTGCATCGGTAACTATGGCTTTTATCCCCACCCCCCGGCCTTGCCCTTTGCGGCCGCGGAAGTCGAGCTCTTATCCATGCCACGGGCAGGGCCGGGTCCCCGAGCTGTGGGGGGGCTCCCCCCCCCAGCAGCGGTAGTAGATCTCTTCTCCTCCCCCCCCCCCGCCCCCCCAGATCCTGTCAGACACCCGGGCCCTGCAGAAGGAGATCAACGGGCTGACGGGGAAGCTGGACCGGACCTTCGCCGTCACCGACGAGCTGGTCTTCAAGGTGGGGGAGCTCCTGAGGAGGGGGGCTGGACTGGGGGAGTGGCGGGGAGATGTGGGGTGCCTGGAGGGGGGGCTGTATAGGGGTGCTCCCCTGGGGTTATGGAAGGGAGGGGTGTGGGGGGAATATAAGGTGGATCCCCAAAGGGGCCCCTTGCGCGGGTGGAGAGAGGAGAGTGACTGGGGGGCTTTGGGGCTCCCCTGGGGGGGCTGGCCTCGGGCAATGGGGGGGAAGTGTGGGGAGCAGGCTTCCTGACTCCCCTCTTGACTCTGTGCCCCCCTCAGGACGCCAAGCGGGACGAGTCGGTTCGGAAGGCCTATAAGTACCTGGCGGCTCTTCACGAGGTGGGTGTGGGGGGATACAGGCCGGGGGGAACCAGAGGTGTCTCAGTGGGGGCAGAGCGGGGGGCAGCTCTCGTTGGCTGGGGGTACCAGAGACCCAGGAGTGGATCTAAGGGACCAGTGGGGGGGGGGAATGGCCGGGGGGACTGCTGTAGCCCAGGTGGGTGGGGGGCTGGGGCAGCCCGGCCGGGGGACTCATTAACTGCTGCCCCCCAGAACTGCAGCCAGCTGATCCAGACGATCGAGGATGCGGGGGCCATCCAGCGGGAGATCCGGGACCTGGAGGAGCAGGTGAGGGTTGGGGGGGGAGCCGGGCCTGGGGGCGGGCGGGGCCGGAATGCGGGGGCCTCCCAGCTCCAGCGCTGAAGGAGTTAATCTGCCCCCGCAGATCGAGAGCGAGGGGGCCAAGAAGACCTTGGCCAACCTGGAGCGGATCCTAAGCGACTACCGGGCCCTGCGGCAGGAGAACGCGGTGCTGCTGGGGAGGAGCCGGGACCCCTGAGACGGCTGCATATAACGCCCCTCCACTGGGCCCCCCATCCCCTTTCTCTGCTGGGGCGCCCACCCCATTCTCCACTCCCCCCGGGCGCCATCCAAGCCCCCCACTTCCGGCCCCCGGTAGCTGCTGTGGTACCCCCCCCCATTTCTCTCCCCTGCCAACTGCTGCACTAGCCACCGCCATTTCCCCCACCAAACAGCAGCTGAGCCGGGGGTGCTGGATTTTGCTCCTTTTATTCCCCCCCCCCTGCAGCCTGGGGTCAAGGCAGCTGTGGCTGGGGTGCCGCGTCCGTCCCTCCAATTCCCCTGGTGGAACGAGGTCAATAAAGTCCATGGTTTTGCAGACAGCTCCTGTGTCCAAGGGCGGGGGGTGCGTGGCTCCATCCGTGTCCTCCCCCCCCCCCACGCACATGGGGGGTGGGCTCAGCCCCTGGAGCTGCCCTGGGGGCGTCTCACAGGCTGGGACGGGCGGAGGGTGTGGAGGGCAGAGGGGGCAGCAGGTGCTTCAGCAGGTGCCTGGGGGGGAGAGAAGACATGAGGAGGGGAAGGGGGGGGGGCTAAGACGTTATGGCCCCGCCCTTCCCCGCTGGGCCCACCCTGGGCTGTAGCTAATGGCAAGGACCCTGCTGCCCCCCTAGACCCTGCAAAGGGGCGTGGCTAACAGGAGGACCCACCCTTCCCCAGTGGACCCCCTCTGGGGGTGTGGCTAATGGGAGGTCCTGCCCATCCCCGCTGGACCCCCTCTGGGGGCGTGGCTAACAGGGGAGGCCCTGCTGGACCCCCCTCTGGGGGCGTGGCTGATGGGAGGCCCCGCCCATCCCTGCTGGACCCCCTCTGGGGGCGTGGCTAACAGGGGAGGCCCCGCCCACACAGGGGCTCCATACAGGGGCGACCGCTGGCTCCGCTTCTTCTGGAACTCGTCCTCGTCCACTGTCCACACGGCGCCTTTCACGTGCTCCACGCGCACGAAGCACTTGTGCAGGCTCAGGTTGTGTCGCACGGCGTTCTGTGGGGGGAGGGGGGGTGAGTGCCCCTCACTCCCGACCCGCAGCCCCCTCCCAGCCCCACCGGTGCCCCTCACTCCCGACCCGCAGCCCCTGCCACCCCAGCCCTGGGCCCCCCCACCCTTGCCGGTGCCCCTCACGCCTGACCCGCAGCCCCTCACCTTCCAGGTGGCCGTGTTGTGCCGGAAGTAGCCGAACATGCGGCTGAACCACTGGTAAATCTCGTTCAGCGTCAGCTGCCGCTGGCTGGACTCCAGAATGGCCTGTGGGGGACCCGGGGGGGGGGCTGTCAGGGCTTGGGTGGGGTAGCCCCTCCCCCCAGGCTCTGGGGCAGGAGGGGGGCACTCTGTGACAAAGTGGGACTGTTCTTAATGTTTCCTCTGAATAGTGTGGGGGTGCCTCAGTTTCCCCTAGGCAGTTCTTAAGTCTCTAGGGGGTGGGGTAAGGGTGTATGATCATTGCAGAGCCCTAGAGGGCAGGTGTGTGCAGGGGTCTGGACACAGAGACTGGCCGACACCCTGTCTCCTGACAACTGCTGGCCTGGGCCCTTCCCCCCCTGCCAGGTGAGAGCTAAAGGGCTGGAGAACAAAGGGATCCGGTGGCCCCCTGGCCCAGGAAAGGGACAAAGCCCAGAGCAGGGGGGGCTGGAGGGAGTTTCAGTTTGGGGCTGGCTGGGACATGGAGTGAAGGGCAGACGTGGTTGTCTGGCTCACTGCCCCCCAAAATGGACCCAGCTGAGGGGTCCCGTTCTCTGCACCTGCAAGCTCTGTGTTAGACCATGTTCCTGTCGTCTAATAAACCTTCTGTTTCCCCGGCTGGCTGAGAGCTGACTGCAGAGTTGGGGGGCAGGACCCTCTGGCCCCCCAGGACCCCACCCGGAGGAACGCGCTGCGGGAAGTGCCCGGTGGGGCAGGGGAGGCTCCGGGGCCGGACCCGGGACGGTGGAAGCTGGGGCAGCGTCTTGCCCTGGGGACAGTCAGCGCCGAGAGGGGAGGGTCCCCAGAGTCCTGCCCGGCTTCGGGGGAGCAGGTCCGAGCATGGCCCGGGGACCCCGCGACAGCCCTAGTGGCAGGGCAGATGGGGGATGGCGGCTGGGGGTTGGGCGAGGTGGGGCGGGGGTCCCCGGGGTCGGGGGCTCACCCAGCGGATCAGCATCGCGTAGGTGAAGGGCGGCCGGGCCGTGCTGAGCCGATAAAATTCCAGGCTTGGGCCCAGGTCTGCGGGGTGAGCACAGCTGTCGATCAAGGGGGGATGACGCCCCAGCACCTGCCCCATGGCCTGCCCTCCAACCGGGCTCAAGTATTACCCCTCCCCCAGCATGCACTCACCCCTCGGCCTCCACGCTGGCCCCCAGTCCCCGCCCAGAGCCGGGAGAGAACCCAGGAGTCCTGGCTCCCAGCCCCCCCTGCTCCTACCACCAGTCCCCACCCAGAGCCGGGAGAGAACCCAGGAGTCCTGGCTCCCAGCCCCCCCTGCTCCTACCACCAGCCCCCAATCCCCACCCAGAGGCGGGAGAGAACCCAGGAGTCCTGGCTCCCAGCCCCCCCTGCTCCTACCACCAGTCCCCACCCAGAGCCTGGAGAGAACCCAGGAGTCCTGGCTCCCAGGCCCCCCTGCTCCCACCACCAGCCCCCAGCCCCCGCCCAGAGCCGGGAGAGGACCCAGGCGTCCGGGCCCCAGCCTCTAACCTGAGAAGATGCCGACACCGTGGCTGCCCCAGGAGTGGGGCTGGGGGGTCAGTGGAGTCTGCAGCGCCCCCTTCTGGGCAGGGAGGGCAGCTCCCGAGCAGGCCCAGCCTGAGGGGCTGGGGGGTCGGGTGGGGCAGCGCTGGCCCCTCGCTGACAGTGCCTGGGGAGGAGGGGCAGGTGAGGGATGGGGGAGGGGATTCTGACCCCACTCCCTCCTCTTTGCCCCCACCCCATGGATTCTGACTCCGCCCCACCAGGCTTTAGGCCCTGCCCCCACTAACTTCATCTCTGCCCCGATGTCTGGCCCCACCCCCAGTCCCTCACCTCCCCCCAGACTCGGACCCCCCACCCCATGGCTCTGCCCCCTTCTTGCCCCAACCAAGAGGACCCCCCCCCCCGGCTCTTACTGGGTCGAGGGCTCGGTCTGTGGCCTCCATCGTGGCCAGCTGGGCCTGCATGGCCCCCAGGCGACGCCGCTCCTGCTCCAGCTGGGGGGGAGGGGGACAGGTGAGGGGGGGCAGGAAACGGGTTGGGGGGAATCCCCCTGGACTACAACTCCCACGATGCACCTGGGTGACACTTCCCATGATGCTCTGTGACGGATCGAGGCCCCCCCCCACATGAAGATGCCTGCGAGGGGGGAGCCCCCCCCAGGGCAGACCCCCCCGGTACCCAGTGTCAGTGCCCCCAGCCCCAGTTATCCCCCCAACCTTCTCCCCGAGGCAGCACCCAGCTGCGATTGTCCCCCCCAGCCCCTGTGGGGCAGCCGCCCCCCATCTGCCTCCCGCCAGCCTCACCTGCTCCTCCAGGTGCTCGACCAGCTCCCTCTGCCGCCGGCACCGGGCTGCCCCATCCTGCGCCCACAGCGGCTCCTGCCGGGGGGGTCTGCCGAGATCAACAGTTCAGCTGGCCTGTCCCCCTCCCAGAGCTGGGAGAGAACCCAGGCGTCCGGGCTCCCAGGCATCCGGGCTCCCAGCCCCCCAGTCTAACCCCCCACCCCCCTCCCACAGCCAGGAGAGAACCGAGGAGTCCAGGATCCCACCCCCCTCCCAGAGCCAGGAGAGAACCCAGGCGTCCGGGCTCCCAGCCCCCCCCACATCTAACCCCCCACCCCCCTCCCAGAGCCGGGAGAGAACCCAGGAGCAGGGCCCCCACGGGAGGGCTGTGTCGGGCCCCAGGCCTCTGCGGGGGGTGGGGGGCTGGCTCTAGGCCTCTGTGGGGAGGAAGGGGGGGGCTGGCCACTTCCTGAGGGAAGTGTAGTAACCCGGCCCCAGCCTGCTCCCTCCCCTGGCTCCCGGGCAGGGGGGGTCGGCCCCCCCCAGCACTCGCCGGCGCAGCGGGGGCCAGGTCGCTCCACTTACCGCCACAGGGGAGTGCTGGGGGGCCGACCCCTGCTGCAGCCCTCGGGGGACAGGGTGGCTGCAGTGGGGCTGGGGGCCGTGGGGAAGAGGCTGGAGCAGCAGCTGCGTAGGGCACCCGGAAACGGGGTGCCCCAAATGTCCTGGTGCCCCACGCAGCTGCGTGCTTTGCGTAGGGGTAGGGACGGCCCAGCCCCCCCTCCCCTCCCGGAGCCGGGGAGAGAACCCAGGCATCCGGGCTCCCAGCACCCCCTGCTCTAAGCCCCTGGCCCCCACACCCCTCCCAGAGCCAGGGAGAGAACCCAGGCGTCTGGGCTCCTGGCCCCCCCCGCTCTAACCACCAGCCCCCACTCCCCTCCCAGAGCCGGGAGAGAACCCAGGCGTCCGGGCTCCCAACCCCCCCTGTTCTAACCACGAGTCCCCACTCCCCTCCCAGAGCCGGGAGAGAACCCAGGCGTCCGGGCTCCCAACCCCCCCTGTTCTAACCACGAGTCCCCACTCCCCTCCCAGAGCCAGGGAGAGAACCCAGGTGTCCAGGCTCCCAGCCCCTCCCCTGCTCTAACCACCAGCTCCCACCCCCCTCCCAGAGCCAGGAGAGAACCCAGGCGTCCTGGCTCCCAGCCCCCCCCCCCCCCGCTCTAAGCCCCTGGCCCCCACTCCCCTCCCAGAGCCAGGGAGAGAACCCAGGCATCCGGGCTCCCAGCAACCCCTGCTCCAAGCCCCTGGCCCCCACACCCCTCCCAGAGCCAGGGAGAGAACCCAGGCGTCTGGGCTCTCGGCCTCCTCTGCTCTAACCACTAGCCCCCTTCCCCCCCCCCCCACCCGAGCCGGGAGAGAACCCAGGAGTCCTGACTCTGCGGGTTTACAATGGCGCCATGGAGCCAGGCTCGGAAGGGGCCCCCACCTGCTCCACTTGCCCTGTGCCCCGAGACCCCACCTGCCCTCTGGCTCCCCCCACCCCACCTCACCCACCACTTGCTGCTCTTGGCCCCTCCTGGCCTGCAGCTCCGGGCGTCTCTGCCTCCCACCCCCTGGGGGGCCCGGGACTGGGGCAGACGCCGGGCTGGTCTTGGGCAGTTGGGGAGCAGGGGATGGTGGGGGGCCTTGGCTGGGCCCCTCCAGGCAAGTGGGTCCTGAGCCAGGTCCTGGCCTGGCTGATCCCGCCACTCCCGAGGGGCGGGCCCTGGCTCATCCCAGCGGGGCGTGGGGGGGCCTGAGGGAGTGGGGTTGTGGGGGGCGCTGGCCATAGGGCTTTGGGGGCTGTTGGGCGGGGGTCTGCGGCCCGGCGGGGGCCGCCCCCCGAGGGGCAGGGGCAGGCTGGCAGCACAGGGCCGGGCGGGGACCTGGCAACTGGCGGTTGGTAACCCGTGGCCTCGCGCTGGGCTGGGTGGAGCCGGGTCTGGGGACCGCCCCCCGCCCCAACTCCGTGGCCCCCGGTGGGGCCCACAGATATGTTTGGTGCCAGGCCCACAAAAGGTTAATCCGGCCCCCCCACTCTAATCCACCAGCCCCCCTCCCCTCCCAGAGCTGGGGAGAGAACCCAGGAGTCCTGGCTCCCAGCCCCCTCCCCAAGCACTCACCTCTCATTCTGCCCCCTGTGGTCCCCAGGGCTGGGGCAGTGGTGGTGGGGAGACTGGTCCGGGGAGTGGGGGGCGTAGCGGGGGGCAGCTGGGTCCCTCAGAATCCACTCCATGCCTTTTATGTTAATCCCTGGAACAAGGGGGGGAGAAATGGGGGGGTGGGCCAGGGCACCATGCCAGGCTACACCCCACTCGCCAGAACCCCCGCCCCTCCCGGCACCCTCGGTTACCATGTGTCAAGCCGTGGCGGGACCTCACCACCACCACGCCCGGGGGCTGGAGGTGCAGGATGGAGGGGCGGGCGCTGGGCTCCGGAGAGATCTGGGGGGAGGAAAGTGAGGGGGTGAATGGGGGGCAGAACCCAGGTGTCTGGACTCCCAGCCCCCTCCGCAGTAACCACTAATCCCCCACTCCTCTCCCAGCACTGGGGAGAGAACCCAGGAGTCCGAGCTCCCAGCCCCCTCCGCTGTAACCACTAATCCCCCACTCCTCTCCCAGCACCGGGGAGAGAACCCAGGAGTCCGAGCTCCCAGCCCCCTCCGCTGTAACCACTAATCCCCCACTCCTCTCCCAGCACCAGGGAGAGAACCCAGGAGTCCGAGCTCCCAGCCCCCTCCGCTGTAACCACTAGTCCCCCAAGCCCTTTCCAGCACCAGGGAGAGAACCCAGGAGTCCGGGCCCGGTGCGGTGGTACCTGTTGGATGAGCAGTGCCTGGCGCTGGGTGTCCTGGAGCAGGGCCTGGAGCTGGGGGGTGGTTTGGGGATCCCCCATTGCCACGGGGTACGGTGGCACCTGTGGGGCAGGCAAAGGGGGGGGTGCTGTCAGTCCTGGGGGGCTAGGGAGGTAGGCTGCCCCCTCTGTGCCCCTCCCCCAGCCACGTGGGGACCCACCTGCTGCTTCCTGGAGGGGGCGCTGGTTCCGCGAGTGAGCACCGTGGGGCGGTTCTGGGCCCCGCCGGGCGGGCCGGCTGGGCTGTCGCCATGGGGCACTCGGGATGCCGTGCGGCTGGGCATCGGGGCCTGGCGCAAGCTGTGGGGAGAAAGGGCAGCTGAGGGGGTGGGAGAAGCGACGAGGAAGTACACGCGTGTGTGACTGGTCACACGTTAAGCCGTGCACGGGGCGTGAGCAAGTGTGATCCGTGCAACACGTCCCACGTACACGCACGGAGGAGATTCATGCAAGTCACGGGGAGCACACGCAGGGCAGCGGTTTCCCATGGCACGCGGGGCACCAGGTGCATGTCAGAGCCACGCAACATGGGGTGGGTGGATCCCCGGTGAGCGTGCGTGCAAGTGTGAACCACGCGACTCTGAGCCATGTCACGCGTGGGGGCCGGGAGCCACAGGGCCCAGCCAGACCTTAGCAGCCCTCAGCCTCCCTGACGAGCCGCGGGGCTAATTAGTGCGCGCGGCTGGGGGAAACGGGCCTTGATTAGCCAGACGGGTCTGACCCAGAGCCGGGAGATCCAGGAGAGGGGGGGCAGAGGGGCGGATGTGGGGCGAGATAGAGGGAGGGGAGAGACTGGGGGCTGGGAGGGCTGGTTAGAGGGATGGAGGGGGTGGGGGGAGCCCCGAGGGGAGCAGCGACCTGTGGCTCTGGCCGTGGGATTTTGTGCCGTGAGCTGGGGCAGCGGCCGGCTGGGACCGGGGACCCCAGAGAGCGACAGGCCCCTGGCAGCGCCGTCACCAGCCACGAGGGGGCGCCCCCGGAGGCGAGGGCATGGCCGAGCACGCGCGCGTGTCTGTGATCCGTGCGACGTGTCGTGTCCTGGGGAACGTGCCTGGCTGAGCATGAGCCGCGTCTTTGCCCCCGTGAGCGCCCAGGGACGGGACGTGTCCCGCAGCCTCGTGCCACGAGTGGCCAAGACGCGTGGGCCAGCGTGATCTGTGGCCCGCCTCGCACGGCCAGTGCACTAGGCCCTCCCCTGGCTCGCACGTGTGCAGCCCCCGTGACATGCGGGCATCTCCTCCGTGCCTTTGGGCCGCTCCCACGCCAGCCCACCGGGGCTCACATGTCATTGTGAACATGCCTGGACACGTGACGCACCCTCCAGATGGGCGGTCCCTGGTTCGGGGATGAGAGCAAACACCCAGCTCCGGGAGGGGGGGGAATCCAGCCAGCGCCCCCCATATTACCCCCACACCTTGACCCCTGCACCTCCCACCTTGCTCTGACCTGTAGCTAGACCCTACCCCCTCCAGCTCCTCGCGGGCCCCCATGCCCCTTCCTGCCCCCCCAACCTCTAACCCCCACTCCCCTCCCAGAGCCGGGGACAGCTCCCAGGAGTCCTGGCCCCTATGCCCCCTGCTCTAACCCACTACACCCCACCGCCCCCCCAAGCTGGGGAAAGCACCCAGGCTCCCAACCCTGCACACTCCCCCCGCTCTAACCACTAGACCCCACTCCCCGCCCAGGGCAGGGGCCGCATCGAGCCGCTTCCCCGCAGCGGGGGCGGGGCCGGGGCCAGGTTCCGAGAATCGGGGTGACGTCCCGTTCGGCCCCGCTCTGATTTCTCACCGCGGCCCCCGCTTCCCAGACGTCACGGAACCCGGCCACGTCAGCGGCGTGGGACGCGGCGCCCAGGGGTTAAATCCGGGGCGGCCCACCCCCGCCTCAGCACGCACAGAGCTGGGGGGGTGCAGCCTGGTGACCCGAGGCCCCCAGCCCAGCCCCAAGGGTCCGTGGGAGGCTGGATTTCATCTGCTCCCCCACCCGGCCCTGATCCTCCCCAAAGCTCGAGTCGCGCTAGGCCTGGAGACAGTGCACACGAGTAACCAGCTCGGGTCTTACAGGCCCCACTCCGCTGCCAGGGAACCCAGGCGTCCTGGCTCCCAGAGCACCCCCACGCTCTGAGCACCAGCCCCCACTCCCCTCCCAGAGCCGGGGAGAGAACCCAGAAGTCCGGGCTCCCAGACCGCCCTCTCTAACCCACCAGCCCCCACTGCCCTCCCAGACCGGGGAGAGAACCCAGGCATCCTGGCTCCCAGCCCCCACGTTCTAACCACCAGCCCTCACTGCCCTCCCAGAGCTGGGGAGAGAACCCAGGAGTCCGGGCTCCCAGCCCCCACGCTCTAACCACCAGCCCCCACTGCCCTCCCAGACCGGGGAGAGAACCCAGGCGTCCTGGCTCCCAGAGCACCCCCATGCTCTGAGCACCAGCCCCCACTCCCCTCCCAGGGACGGGGAGAGAACCCAGAAGTCCGGGCTCCCAGACCGCCCTCTCTAACCCACCAGCCCCCACTGCCCTCCCAGACCGGGGAGAGAACCCAGGCATCCTGGCTCACAGACCGCCCCCACGCTCTGAGCACCAGCCCTCACTCCCCTCCCAGGGTCGGGGAGAGAACCCAGGAGTCCGGGCTCCCAGCCCCCACGCTCTAACCACCAGCCCCCACTGCCCTCCCAGAGCTGGGGAGAGAACCCAGGAGTCCGGGCTCCCAGCCCCCATGCTCTAACCACCAGCCCCCACTCCCCTCCCAGAGCCGGAGAGAGAACCCAGGAGTCCGGGCTCCCAGCCCCTGAGCCAGGTATTTCTCCCCAGTTCTGGCAGCTGCAGTTTCTGTCTCGGGTGTTTTCTGGGCCCTGTTCTGTGTAAAGGGACCTGGCCCGTGGGCGTCCACACAGAGATTCGAAAGAGGAATCGGCAGTGGAGCTGGTTCAGCCCGGCCGGGTCCCTTTGCCTGTGGTGTGAACGCGCCATTGAGTTGCCGGCAGGGGAGAAATTCCGGCTCCTGGCCACGCTCTCGATGGGGTTCTGCAGCCAGACGGACCCAGTCTGGAGTCTACATCGCGTCTCAATGAGCAGGAATCGGGAGTTCGAGTCTGGATCAATCCACGGGGCTGGGTTTGCGGCGTGTCACGTTATTAAAATCCTGCTGTGTTTGGCGGGGTGACTCCAGATTGACTCTGGGGTGCTAGGCTCAGAATCCAGCTCTGCTCCTGTTGCAATGAGGAGTGACTCCAGACTGACCCCAGGTCAGCTGAGATCAGAAACCCCTCCTGTCCCTGCTGAAGTCAGGGGTGACTCTGGATTGACCCTGGGGCAGACCTTAAATCAGCCGAACGACTCGTGGTCGCCTCTGGCCTGCCGGGGCCTGCCCCGATCCCCCCCGACCCCGGTCCCACCCCACTCACCGCTGGGCGCTCCTCAGCATCCCGGCTGGCAGGGGAGCCAGTGTGAAATCCGCCCCGCAGGTGGGTATTTATAGGGCAGCCCTGGGGCGGCCGCGCTCCCCTTGCCGGGTGACTCAGTGGAAACGGAGCACCAGGGCGGCGTGCCCCGCGTGCCCTTTGGGGGGGGGTTTCTTTGCTCGAAAATAACACCAGCGTTTCGGTCGGGGTTTTCGGCGCCCCAGCCCCCGAGGCTTTTGAGCACCAAGAAGCTACCGCAAAAATATCAGTGTGCGAGGGAAAGAAAACCACAGCGTGCACGAGAGAGACACGCGCGCGAGCACACCCCGCCGGAGGAAACCGCTTCGCGGGGGGTTATTAAGAGCCGGCGGTGGTGCGGGGCCGGGCCCCCCGTGAGCGGGGCCGAGGGATGGGAATCGGGGCAGGAAGGCCGGGGCAGACTCAGGTTGCCTGTCGTGCGGGAGAAATGGGGTGTTGTTGCTAATGGCGCGGGGAGAGAACCCAGGAGTCCGGGCTCCCAGCCCCCGCGCTGTACCCGACCAGAGCCCACTGCCCTCCCACAGCCGGGGAAAGAACCCAGGAGTCCGGGCTCCCAGCCCCCGCGCTGTACCCCACCAGAGCCCACTGCCCTCCCAGAGCCGGGGAAAGAACCCAGGAGTCCGGGCTCCCAGCCCCCGCGCTGTACCCCACAAGAGCCCACTGCCCTCCCAGAGCTGGGGAGAGAACCCAGGAGTCCGGGCTTCCAGCCCCCGCGCTGTACCCCACCAGAGCCCACTGCCCTCCCAGAGCCGGGGAAAGAACCCAGGAGTCCGGGCTCCCAGCCCCCGCGCTGTACCCCACCAGAGCCCACTGCCCTCCCAGAGCTGGGGAGAGAACCCAGGAGTCTGGGCTCCCAGCCCCCGCGCTGTACCCCACCAGAGCCCACTGCCCTCCCAGAGCCCGGGAGAGAACCCAGGAGACCGGGCAAGGGGGGTGGTGTGCCAGGCAGAGACAGGCCCGTCGTGGGTAAAGCCCTGGGAGGGAGCCAGCAGCCGGGAGTTCAATTCCCCCACATTGCTCGGTGCCTCAGTTTCCCCATGAAAATACCCTGCGTGGCTCTGTTCTGACTGTCAGCTTGGTGGGGCAGCGGCTGGCTGCTTGTGCGTGTGTCTGGCTGTGCACACGTGTGTGTGAGAGAGACGTGCAGGCAGCGAGGGGTCGTGCGTGGCCGGCCGAGCGTGGGGCTGGGCCGGACCGGAGTGTGCGGGGCTGTGATGCTCGGTGTGCGCAGCAGCGGCTGTGACTCCGAGAGAGAGACGTGACTCAGGGGGTGGGGGGTTGTGTAGTGGTGGGTGGGTGGGTCTGACTGGGTAGCGCCCTGTGTGAGTCCCCAGCACTGTGCGTGCAACTGTCCACTGCTCTGCGTGCGGGGGGGGGGTGTAGCGTCCACGAGCGGTTGTGTGGCGCTGTGTGTGTGTGCGTCACTCTGGTTGTGTAGCGCGGTGTGTGACCCTGCAGCGCCGTGTGTGTGTGTGTGTCCCCGTGCGGTTGTGTAGCGCCGTGTGTGTGTGTCCCCGTGCGGTGGTGTAGCACTGTGTGTGTGTGCGTCACTCTGGTTGTGTAGCGGGGTTGTGTAGCAGGGTTGTGTAGGTCGCGGTGTGTGACCCTGCAGCGCCGTGTGTGTGTGTCCCCCCGTGCGGTTGTGTAGCGCTGTGTGTGTGTGCGTCACTCTGGTGGTGCGGCGCGGTTGTGTAGGTCGCGGTGTGTGACCCTGCAGCGCCGTGTGTGTGTCCCCGTGCGGTGGTGTGGTGCTGTGTGTGTGCGTCACTCTGGTTGTGTAGCGGGGTTGTGTAGCGGGGTTGTGTAGGTCGCGGTGTGTGACCCTGCAGCGCCATGTGTGTGTGTGTCCCCCCGTGCGGTTGTGTAGCGCTGTGTGTGTGTGCGTCACTCTGGTGGTGCGGCACGGTTGTGTAGGTCGCGGTGTGTGACCCTGCAGCGCCGTGTGTGTGTGTGTCCCCCCGTGCGGTTGTGTGGCGCTGTGTGTGTGTGCGTCACTCTGGTGGTGCGGCGCAGTTGTGTAGGTCGCGGTGTGTGACCCTGCAGCGCCGTGTGTGTGTCCCCGTGCGGTGGTGTGGTGCTGTGTGTGTGCGTCACTCTGGTTGTGTAGCGCGGTGTGTGACCCTGCAGCGCCGTGTGTGTGTGTCCCCGTGCGGTTGTGTAGCACTGTGTGTGTGTGCGTCACTCTGGTTGTGTAGCGGGGTTGTGTAGGTCGCGGTGTGTGACCCTGCAGCGCCGTGTGTGTGTGTCCCCGTGCGGTTGTGTAGCACTGTGTGTGTGTGCGTCACTCTGGTTGTGTAGCGGGGTTGTGTAGGTCGCGGTGTGTGACCCTGCAGCGCCGTGTGTGTGTGTCCCCGTGCGGTTGTGTAGCACTGTGTGTGTGTGCGTCACTCTGGTGGTGCGGCGCAGTTGTGTAGGTCGCGGTGTGTGACCCTGCAGCGCCGTGTCTCCCTCTGACTGCGTGTGCGTCCCAGGCCGCCTGGCCCCCCAACCCCTCTCCTCACCCCTTCCCCCCCCAGCGGCTCAGACCCCCCTGCAGCCCGCCTCTCACCTTGGGGGGCTCCAGCCGCCCCGCCCCACCGGGGAGCCCCATGGCCGCTGGCTCAGAGCACCCGGGGCTCCTCAGACGCTTCTGGGCCCCCCCCACTGTCCCCCGGTTATATGGGCGCCGGCCTCCTCCCGACGCGATGCCAAACCCTCCGCCCGCCCCCCCGACCCACCGCCCTGCCCCCCCGGCGCCGCTGGGGTGCGGCTGCCCCGACCCCCCCCAGAGCGGGCGGGGAATTTTCAGGGGAACTCCAGGGTCAGGTCGGGGCGCGGGCAACTTTCACTGCGCCGGAGAGACGGCAGCTGGCTGACCTGAGACAGGGCCCGCCCCCCCCCCCAGCCGGGCCCGCAGGCCCCCCCGGCACTGCCCGCCCCCCCCCGAGCCAGGCCCACACACGCCCCCCGGCACCGCCCGTCCCCCCCGAGCCAGGCCCGCAGGCTCCCCCCGGCACCGCCCGCCCCCCCCGAGCCAGGCCCGCACACGCCCCCCGGCACCGCCCGCCCCCCCCGAGCCAGGCCCGCAGGCCCCCCCGGCACCGCCCGCCCCCCCCGAGCCAGGCCCGCACACGCCCCCCGGCACCGCCCGCCCCCCCCGAGCCAGGCCCGCACACGCCCCCGGCACCGCCCGCCCCCCGAGCCAGGCCCGCAGGCCCCCCGGCACCGCCCGTCCCCCCGAGCCAGGCCCACAGGCTCCCCCCAGCACCGCCCGCCCCCCCGAGCCAGGGCCGCACACGCCCCCGGCACCGCCCGCCCCCCTCAGCCGGGCCCGCAGGCTCCCCCCGGCACCGCCCCCCCCCCCGAGCCAGGCCCACACACACCCCCCGGCACCACCCACCCCCCCCAGAGCCAGGCAGTGGCTCGTCCCTGCCATCTGTCCCCCCCAGGGTCCGGGTCCCCTCACGGGGCGGCTGGCGCTCTCTGACCCTGCCCTGGTGAGGAGGGGTGAGTGGGGCTGGACACACAGACGGGGGGAGGGGTGTGCGTGGGGACAGACAGGCGGACGGAGGGGTGTGCGTGGGGATGGATGGATGGAGGGGTGTGTGTATGGACAGACACGTGAGCGGAGAGCTGTGCATGGTGATGGACAGACGGGCGGAGAGGTGTGCATGTGGACAGACAGGCGGACAGAGGGGTGAGCGTGTGGGTTAGGGACAGACAGGTGGATGGAGGAGTGTATGGGGGGACAGACAGACAGAGGGGCGGGTGTGGACGGACAGACAGGTGGACGGAGGGGTGTATAGGGATGGACGGAATGGCGTGGGGACAGGCGGAGGGTGTGCGTGGGGACAGACAGACGGACAGAGGGGTGAGCGTGTGGGTTAGGGACAGACAGGCAGATGGAGGGGTGTATGGGGGGACAGACAGACAGAGGGGCGGGTGTGGACGGACAGACAGGTGGATGGAGGGGTGTATAGGGATGGACAGTCAGGCGGAGGGGTGTGCGTGGGGACAGACAGGCGGACAGAGGGGTGGGTGTGGACGGACAGTCAGGTGGACGGAGGGGTGTATGGGGACAGACGGACAGACAGGAGCAGGGGTGGGCGTGGGCACAGACATGCAGGCGGAGGGGGCTATTTGTGTGGGGACGGACAGGCGGACGGAGGGGCAGAGGTCTGTGGGCAGGGGGGGCCGAATGCTGCAGGCTGCTGGTGACCCTGCTTAGCCGGCTTGGGGCTCGGGTGGTCTGGGGGGCAGGGAAAGGGGGGCTCGGGGGAGGGCAGAGAGCCTGGGCGTCATTAGTTACCAGCCCCCCGCCCCTGCCCCTACACCCCCCTCATCCCACTGCCCTGCCCCCAGCCCCTCCCACATCCCCCAGCCCCTGCCCCCACAACCCCCTCCCCTGCCCCATCCCCTCCCCACTCATCCCACTGCCCTGGCCCCATCCCCTCCCTCATCCCCCCGCCCCTCCCCTGGCCCCAGCCCCTCCCTCATCCCCCTGCCCCTGCCCCTGCCCCATCCCCTCCCCACTCATCCCACTGCCCTGCCCCCAGCACCTCCCTCATCCCCCGCCCCACCCCCCACAACCCCCTCCCCCGCCCCCAGCACCTCCCCCCCTCATCCCACTGCCCTGCCCCCAGCCCCTCCCTCATCCCCCCGCCCCACCCCCCACAACCCCCTCCCCTGCCCCATCCCCTCCCCACTCATCCCACTGCCCTGCCCCCAGCCCCTCCCTCATCCCCCGCCCCACCCCCCCACAACCCCCTCCCCTGCCCCATCCCCTCCCCACTCATCCCACTTCCCTGCCCCCAGCCCCCCCACAACCCCCTCCCCCGCCCCCAGCACCTCCCCCCCTCATCCCACTGCCCTGCCCCCAGCCCCTCCCTCCGGGTTCTCCCTCCCCCCGCCCCCTCCTTGGCTCCGCCCCCCCACCTCGCTCCCCCCCAGCCGCCGCCGCCGCCGCCGCCATGGCCGGCGCGGCCTCCCCCTCCCCGCGGCCCCCCCAGCGCCGGCCCCGGGCGGGGGAGCAGGAGCCCCCCCCGCTCCCCGCTTGGCAGCTCTCCCAGCATGCCCCGGGGCAGCCCCACTCCCAGCATGCTGCAGGGCAACACCAAGGGCCAACCTCCCAGCAGGCCATGGGGCAACCCCACTCCCAGCATGCCCTGGGGTACGGGCCGGAGCCGCTCTCCCAGCATGCCCTGGGGCACGGGCCGGAGCCGCTCTCCCAGCATGCCCTGGGGCAGCCCCACTCCCAGCATGCTGCAGGGCAACACCAAGGGCCAACCTCCCAGCAGGCCATGGGGCAACCCCACTCCCAGCATGCCCTGGGGTACGGGCCGGAGCCGCTCTCCCAGCATGCCCTGGGGCACGGGCCGGAGCCGCTCTCCCAGCATGCCCTGGGGCAGCCCCACTCCCAGCATGCTGCAGGGCAACACCAAGGGCCAACCTCCCAGCAGGCCATGGGGCAACCCCACTCCCAGCATGCCCTGGGGTACGGGCCGGAGCCGCTCTCCCAGCATGCCGCGGGGCACGGCGAGGAGCCGCTCTCCCAGCATGCCGCGGGGCACGGCGAGGAGCCGCTCTCCCAGCATCCCGCGGGGCACGGCCCGGAGCCGCTCTCCCAGCATGCCGCGGGGCACGGCCCGGAGCCGCTCTCCCAGCATCCCGCGGGGCACGGCGAGGAGCCGCTCTCCCAGCCTGCCATGGGGCACGGCGAGGAGCCGCTCTCCCAGCATCCCGCGGGGCACGGCGAGGAGCCGCTCTCCCAGCATCCCGCGGGGCACGGCCCGGAGCCGCTCTCCCAGCATCCCGCGGGGCACGGCGAGGAGCCGCTCTCCCAGCCTGCCATGGGGCACGGCGAGGAGCCGCTCTCCCAGCATCCCGCGGGGCACGGCGAGGAGCCGCTCTCCCAGCATCCCGCGGGGCACGGCGAGGAGCCGCTCTCCCAGCATGCCGCGGGGCACGGCCCGGAGCCGCTCTCCCAGCAGGCCGCGGGGCACGGCGAGGAGCCGCTCTCCCAGCATCCCGCGGGGCACGGCGAGGCGCCGCTCTCCCAGCATGCTGCGGGGGCGCGCCGGGTGCTGTTTGCCGATGCCCTGGGCTTGCCTTTGACCCGCCTGCGGCGCTACCAGCCCTGGCCGCCCCCCTCGCCCGAGTCACCCCCCGAGGTGCTGCCCCCCACCGGCCAGCCACCCCCCGCCCCCTACCTGCTGCCTGCCTTCGTGCTGCCCCCACCGGGGCAGGGCGAGCCGGAGCGGCTGGCGCGGCTGCACCGGGCCATGGTGGAGCTGGAGGAGGTCCTGGCCCCGGGGCCAGACGAGCCCTGGCTGCTGCGGGGCACCGTGCGGGTGCTGAACGTGGCCTACCGCAAAGCCGTCCACGTGCGAGCCAGCCGGGACTGCTGGTGCACCTACCGCGACCATCCCGCCTGCTACGTGCCGGGGGGCTCACCCGACGGGGGGCTGAGCGACCGCTTTGCCTTCAGCCTGCCCTTCGGCCCCGGCCAGGAGGGGGAGGAGGAGGGGGACGAAGCCCGGCTGGATTTCGTGATCCGGTACCAGACTGACGAGGGCGTCTACTGGGCCAATAACCAGGGGAAGAACTACAGCGTGGTGATGAAGGGCCTGCCCCCGCCCCGGGTGCCCCCCAGCACTGCCGGCCCGGGGCGGCAGCTGAAGAGTTGCATGAGGCCGGAGAGGATGAGGTAAAATCCCACCGGGACCACCTGTGAGAACCGCCAAATCCCCCCGATCCGTGTGACTCTGAGCCCCCCAGATCCCCTGATCTGTGACACTGAACCCCCCAATTCCCCCCAATCCCCCTAACTCTGAGCCCCCCAAATCCCCCTATCTGTGAATGAGCCCCCAATCCCCCCAATCTGTGACACTAAATCCCCCAATCGCCCGATCTGTGACTCTGAGCACCCCAATTCCTCCCGATCCCCATGAATCTGAGCCCCTCAATCCCCCCGATCCCCGTGACACTGAGCCCCCACATCCCCCCAATCCCCGTGATTCTGAGCCCCCCCAATACCCCAAATCTGTGACTCTGAGCCCCCACAGCCCCCCCGATCCCCATGAATCTGAGCCCCTCAATCCCCCCGATCCCCATGACTCTGAGCCCCCACATCCCCCCGTTCTGTGACTCTGAGCCCCCCAATCCCCGTGACACTGAGCCCCTCAATCCCCCCAATCCCCGTGATTCTGAGCCCCCCCAATACCCCAAATCTGTGACTCTGAGCCCCCACAGCTCCCCCGATCCCCATGACTCTGAGCCCCCCAAATCCCCCCAATCCCTGTGACTCTGAGCCCCCAAATCCCCCGATCCCCATGACTCTGAGCCCCCCAATCCCTGTGACATTGAGCCCCTGAATCCCCCTGATCCCCGTGACTCTGAGCCCCCACATCCCCCCGATCCCATGACTCTGAGCCCCCCAAACCCTGATCTGTGACTCTGAATCCCCAATTCCCCCAATCCCCATGACTGAGCCCCCCAAATCCCCACGATCCCGTGACTCTGAGCCCCCCAATTCCTCCCGATCCCCGTGACTCTGAGCCCCCCAAACCCTGGTCTGTGACTCTGAATCCCCAATTCCCCCAATCCCCATGACTGAGCCCCCCAAATCCCCGCTATCCCATGACTCTGAGCCCCCCAATTCCTCCCGATCCCCGTGACTCTGAGCCTCCACACCCCCCCGATTCCTGTGACTCTGAGCCCCCCAAATCCCTCTGATCCCCGTGACTCTGAGCCCCCAAATCCCCCCGATCCCTGAGATTCTGAGCCCCTCAATCCCCCCGATCCCCGTGACTCTGAGCCCCCCAAATCCCCCAATCCTCATGACTCTGAGCCCCCCCGAATCCCCCCTTATCTGTGACTCTGAGCCCCCCAAATCCCTCTGATCCCCATGATTGAGCCCCCAATACCCCCAATCTGTGACTCTGAGCCTCCACACACCCCCGATTCCTGTGACTCTGAGCCCCTCAAATCCCTCCGATCCCCATGACTCTGAGCCCCCAAGGCCCCCAATCTGTGACTCTGAGCCCCCAAATCCCCCTGATCTGTAAGTCTGAGCCCCCCAAATCCCTCCGATCCCCATGACTCTGAGCCCCCGAATCCCTCCGATCTGTGACTCTGAGCCCCCAAATGCTCCCGATCCCTGTGACTCTGAGCCCCCCAAATCCTCCCGATCCCTGTGACTCTGAGCCCCCCAAAGCCCCCAATCTGTGACTCTGAGCCCCCGAAATTCCCCTGATCCCCATGACTCTGAGCCCCCCACATTCCCCCGATGTATGACTCTGAGCCCCCCAATCCCCGTGACTCTGAGCCCCTCAATCCCCCCAATCTGTGACTCTGGGCCCCCGAAATCCCCCCCTGATCCCCATGACTCTGAGCCCCCCAAGGCCCCCAATCTGTGACTCTGAGCCCCCGAAATCCCCCTCATCGCCATGACTCTGAGCCCCCCACATTCCCATGATCTATGACTCTGATCCCCCCAGTACCCCTGATCTCTGACTCTGAGCCCCCCAAATCCCTCCGATCCCCATGACTCTGAGCCCCTGAATCCCTCCGATCTGTGACTCTGAGCCCCCAAATCCTCCTGATCCCTGTGACTCTGAACCCCCCAAAACTCCCAATCTGTGACTCTGAGCCCCCCCAATCCCCATGCCTCTGAGCCCCCCAAATCCCTCCAGTTTATCAGGGGGTGCAGAGCCTATGGAAGAGCAGCCCAGAGACTGCTCTGAATTACAAGGGGCAGGTTATATGGGGAGGGACCCTGCCTTTGCCCCGCCCTCCTTCTGAGATAGTCCCTGCCCCACAGGGCACAGAGTGTCGGGGGGAGACGCTGGAGGTCTCGGGGTGGGTTTAAACTGTGGACAGAGGATCAGCAAGTGAGAGGGGAAAGGGTTCATTTGGGCAGGGTGGGGTAGCATTGGGGGTCTGTGCAAGATCAGCACTTGTGCAAAGTGAGTGTGCATTGCTCCCAGATCAGCTGCAAGCATTAGCACTAGTGCAGAGCAAGTGTGCAAGGCTCCCAAGTCGGAACTCACCCTGCTCCCGTGGTGCCAAGTGTGTGTGCAATGCTCCCAAACCAGAATTCACCCTCTTCCCTTGTGCTATCACTTGGACGAGTGAAAAGTGGATGTGAAACACTCCCACATCACAGTTTGCCCTGCTTCCTCGTGCAAATGTTAGCAGTAGTGCAAAGTGGGTGTTCAATGCTCCCAAATCAGAATTTGCCCTGCTCCTTTGTGCAGTCGTTTGCACACGTGCAAGGTGCACGTGTAATGCTCTCAATCCAGAACTCACACTGCTCCCTTGTGCTATTATTTGCACTACTGAAAAGTGAGTGTGAAGCGCTCCCAAATCACAATGCCCTCCTCTCTCCTGCACAGGATAGCACTAGTGCAAAGCCAGTGTGCAATGCCCCCAAAGCAGGTGCATGTGTTAGCACTCGTGCAAAGTGATTGTGAAACATTCCCAGGTCAGCATTCACCCCGCTGCACTGTGTGTCTCAGTACTAGTGCAAGGCAAGTGTGCAAGGCTCCCCAACCAGAATTCACCATGGGGTCTCGATGAAGGGCTTTCACGCCTGCCTTGCACTACTGTACGTTCTGAGGCGAGCGAGCCCATGCGGGCTGTCGGTGCAGATCTGCCGGTGGTTCTAGGAGGGGACAGGCTGGCCGGGGGATTGAACTCCAACGCCCGAGGCAGAGCGAGGAGAAAGGCAGTTCAGGTTAAAGCCCCCGCCCCTCGTGGTCTGAAATTTCACCATCGCGTTTCCAGCTGCCAGCGGGCGAGTTCTGCGTAGTGAAAAACAAGCTGCAGGGGAAATGGGGCAGCGCCGTCATCTATTATTTCTAAAGAAACCGAGACCAAGGGCTGCGGAGAGAAGGTGAAATCACTTCGCCGGGGTGTTTTCTCTGAAACTCGGGCAGCAAAAGTGGTTTCCAAAAGGGGCAGGAAACAGAGTTAATAACGAGCCGAGCGGGGAGTGAAAAGTCTTTTGCGGTCGGCTGAGTTTGTCAGAGATCTCATTTAAAGTGGGTAGATAGGTGGATAAAAGGGCCCAATATGGGCATTTCTGCACCAGAATCTCAGGCGGGGTCTGGGCAGCGTCCGGCGCGACGAGGCCCTGGTCTCGGGTCGGGGTCTGGGCAGCACCCGGTGCAATGGGGCCCTGGTCTCGGTTGGGGTCTGGGCAGCACCCGGTGCAATGGGGCCCTGGTCTCGGTCGGGGTCTGGGCAGCACCTGGCGTGACGGGGCCCTGATCTCGTCGGGGTCTGGCCAGCTCCCGGCACGACGGGGCCCTGGTCTGGGTCTGGCCAACTCCCAGAACGACGGGGTCCTGGTCTCGGTCGGGGTCTGGTGGCTCCTGGCACGACGGGGCCCTGGTCTCGGTCGGGGTCTGGTGGCTCCCGGCGCGACGGGGTCCTGGTCTCGGTCGGGGTCTGGTGGCTCCCGGCGCGACGGGGCCCTGGTCTCGGTCGGGGTCTGGTGGCTCCCGGCGCGACGGGGCCCTGGTCTGGGTCTGGCCAACTCCCAGAACGACGGGGCCCTGGTCTCGGTCGGGGTCTGGTGGCTCCCGGCGCGACGGGGCCCTGGTCTCGGTCGGGGTCTGGTGGCTCCCGGCGCGACGGGGCCCTGGTCTCGGTCGGGGTCTGGTGGCTCCCGGCGCGACGGGGCCCTGGTCTCGGTCGGGGTCTGGTGGCTCCCGGCGCGACGGGGCCCTGGTCTCGGTCGGGGTCTGGTGGCTCCCGGCGCGACGGGGCCTGGTCTCGGTCGGGGTCTGGTGGCTCCCGGCGCGACGGGGCCCTGGTCTCGGTCGGGGTCTGGTGGCTCCCGGCGCGACGGGGCCCTGGTCTCGGTCGGGGTCTGGTGGCTCCCGGCGCGACGGGGCCCTGGTCTCGGTCGGGGTCTGGTGGCTCCCGGCGCGACGGGGCCCTGGTCTCGGTCGGGGTCTGGTGGCTCCCGGCGCGACGGGGCCCTGGTCTCGGTCGGGGTCTGGTGGCTCCCGGCGCGACGGGGTCCTGGTCTCGGTCGGGGTCTGGTGGCTCCCGGCGCGACGGGGCCCTGGTCTCGGTCGGGGTCTGGTGGCTCCCGGCGCGACGGGGTCCTGGTCTCGGTCGGGGTCTGGTGGCTCCCGGCGCGACGGGGCCCTGGTCTCGGTCGGGGTCTGGGTATAAATACATCTCATGTATTTTATTGGCTTCTCCTTCACCCCGGGGTCCAGCTCCCGGCTCGTTATCCTAATGAGTGCCAGGTGTCAGGGCGTCGCTGTGGTAGGCTGCATCCACGCAAACAACGCAGAGGCCGGTGGCACCTTAAAGACGAACCGATTTATTTGGGCTCAAGCTTGCGTGGGTGAAACCCCCTTCTCCAGACGCCTGGCGTGGAAATTACACGCTGCTGACACAGGACGAGACGGGAGTTACCTCACCCTAACCCTAACGAATGCTAATTACAAGGCGGTGAGACGGGAAGGGCGGGTGGGTGGCTGGGAGCGAGTGAGCTCTAGGTTCTCACGGGGACGAAGACCACGCCAAAGGCCTTGCTCTGCCTCAGTTTCCCCATCTCTAGGGCAGGGGGCGGGGCAATGAAGATGCTGAGCGGGGGAGGTACGAGGCAGGAGTTTGTATGCTCGGAGTGGGGGCAGGTTAACCCTCGCCATGTCTCCGGCGTGGGTGTGGGGCAGCCGGGTGTCCAGTGATGAGAGCGGGGGGGCTGGGAGCCAGGACTCCTGGGTTCCTTCTGTGTCTGGGTTTGTGACCGAAATGTTTCTCCTCCGCTAAGACGTGAGCATCAAAGGAAGTTTCTGTTTCCACGGGCCCCACCCCCTGTGACTGACTGTCTACAGCCCCGCACAGGCAGACACACAGGCGGCCACAGGCGGCCCGTTCAGCTTCCCCCCCACCCCCGCCTGCCCTCCTTGCTCCCACCGTCTGGGGCGGAATCTGGCAGAGTCGCCCTTGGGGACCCCTCTGCATTCAGGGGTGACTCCGGATTGACCCCAGGGGGCTGAGATCAGAATCCAGCTCTGCCCCCATTACAGCCGGGGGTGACTCCGGATTGACCCCGGGGGGCTGCAATCAGAATCCAGCTCTGCCCCCAGTACAGCCAGGGGTGACTGCGGATTGACCCCAGGAGGCTGCAATCAGAATCCAGCTCTGCCCCCAGTACAGCCAGGGGTGACTCCGGATTGACCCCGGGGGGCTGAGATCAGAATCCAGCTCTGCCCCCTCTGCAATCAGGGGTGACTCTGGATTGACCCCGGGGGGCTGAGATCAGAATCCAGCTCTGCCCCCTCTGCAATCAGGGGTGACTCCGGATTGATCCCAGGGGGCTGAGATCAGAATCCAGCTCTGCCCCCAGTACAGCCGGGGGTGACTCCGGATTGACCCCGGGGGGCTGAGATCAGAATCCAGCTCTGCCCCCAGTACAGCCAGGGGTGACTCCGGATTGACCCCGGGGGGCTGAGATCAGAATCCAGCTCTGCCCCCTCTGCAATCAGGGGTGACTCTGGATTGACCCCGGGGGGCTGAGATCAGAATCCAGCTCTGCCCCCAGTACAGCTGGGGGTGACTCTGGATTGACCCCGGGGGGCTGAGATCAGAATCCAGCTCTGCCCCCAGTACAGCCGGGGGTGACTCCGGATTTACTCCGGGGGGCTGCGATCAGAATCCAGCTCTGCCCCGAGTACAGCCGGGGGTGACTCCGGATTGACCCCGGGGGGCTGCGATCAGAATCCAGCTCTGCCCCCAGTACAGCCGGGGGTGACTCCGGATTGACCCCGGGGGGCTGAGATCAGAATCCAGCTCTGCCCCCAGTACAGCCGGGGGTGACTCCGGATTGACCCCGGGGGGCTGAGATCAGAATCCAGCTCTGCCCCCAGTACAGCCAGGGGTGACTCCGGATTTACTCCGGGGGGCTGCGATCAGAATCCAGCTCTGCCCCGAGTACAGCCGGGGGTGACTCCGGATTGACCCCAGGGGGCTGAGATCAGAATCCAGCTCTGCCCCCAGTACAGCCGGGGGTGACTCCGGATTGACCCCAGGGGGCTGCGATCAGAATCCAGCTCTGCCCCCAGTACAGCCGGGGGTGACTCCGGATTGACCCCGGGGGCTGAGATCAGAATCCAGCTCTGCCCCCAGTACAGCCGGGGGTGACTCCGGATTGACCCCGGGGGGCTGAGATCAGAATCCAGCTCTGCCCCCAGTACAGCCGGGGGTGACTCCGGATTGACCCCGGGGGGCTGAGATCAGAATCCAGCTCTGCCCCCAGTACAGCCGGGGTTGACTCCGGATTGACCCCGGGGGGCTGAGATCAGAATCCAGCTCTGCCCCCTCTGCAATCAGGGGTGACTCTGGATTGATCCCAGGGGGCTGCAATCAGAATCCAGCTCTGCCCCCTGTACAGCCGGGGGTGACTCCGGATTGACCCCGGGGGGCTGCAATCAGAATCCAGCTCTGCCCCCAGTACAGCTGGGGGTGACTCCGGATTGACCCCGGGGGGCTGAGATCAGAATCCAGCTCTGCCCCCTCTGCAATCCGGGGTGACTCTGGATTGGCCAGACCCGGTGCCGGGTCGGATTCTCTCTGAGCTCTGCGGCTTGGCATTGTTGCTGTCCCGCCCCCTGGCAGCCCCAGATCTCAGGGCCTGGGCTCCCAGACGCTGACTCGCAGGAAAGGGGAAAACCCAGGAATGCACCCAAAATAGCTGCGGGGTTTTACTCGTGTGGAGGTGCCGAGCCGGATCAGGGTCCCGTCGCACCGGGCGCTGCACAGACCCCCGACCCCAGACACACAGAGAGAGACCATCCCTAAACACACAAAGGGAAACTGAGGCACCCAGCGATTAGAGCTCAGCTGGGCACGTGTGGTCGAGCTGGAATGGAACCTGGGAACCCTGGCTAATACCTTGCCCACTCAGGCTGGCGCCCGGACGCCTGGGTTCTCTCCCTGGCTCTGGTAGGGGAGCGGGGAGGGGGCTGGGAACTAGGAAGGTGCCACCCCCCCACCCGGCGCCAGGCAGTGACTGGATCCTTCTCCCCACACAGGCCGTGCGAGGAAGAGCCAAGCGATGAAGATACACCAAACCCTGTCGATGCGGAAGGTATGTGGTGCGTGCTTCCTCCCAGCAGTGCCCCCAGCTGGGGTCTCCCCCAGCACCGCGAGCTTCCCCCCAGCAGTGCCCCCATCCGGGGTCTCCCCCAGCGCCATGAGCTTCCCCCCAGCAGTGCCCCCAGCCGGGGTCTCCCCCAGCGCCGCGAGCTTCCCCCCAGCAGTGCCCCCAGCCGGCGTCACCCCCAGCGCTGCGAGCTTCCCCCCAGCTCACCCCCCAGCGCTGCGAGCTTCCCCCCAGCAGTGTCCCCAGTCAGGGTCACCCCTAGCGCTGCGAGCTTCCCCCAGCAGTGCCCCCAGCCGGCGTCACCCCCAGTGCTGCGAGCTTCCCCCCAGCAGTGCCCCCAACCAGGGTCACCCCAGCGCTGCGAGCTTCCCCCCTAGCAGCACCCCCAACCAGGGTCACCCCTAGCGCTGCGAGCTTCCCCCCAGCAGTGCCCCCAGCCGGCGTCACCCCCAGCGCTGTGAGCTTCCCCCCAGCTCACCCCCAGCGCTGCGAGCTTCCCCCCTAGCAGCACCCCCAACCAGGGTCACCCCTAGCGCTGCGAGCTTCCCCCCAGCAGTGCCCCCAGCCGGCGTCACCCCCAGTGCTGCGAGCTTCCCTCCAGCAGTGCCGGGCTGGTTGAGGGGAGCACTAGTGTGGGTGACCCCGTTTCTCTCTGTCTCCAGAAGGGAGCCCTGAAAGGGAGACGCGAAGAGAATCGCCCTCAGCTCCCGCACCGCAGCCCACGGGACAGGTATGAACTGCCGGCAACAGCGTTGGTGTGGGGAGAGAGGCCCCTGCCCGGCCCCCTGCTGAGCCCCCCTCTCCACGGCACCCCAGTGCCTGGCCCTGCCTGCCAGGGGAGAGTGTCCCCTGCCCAGCCCCTCACCTGCCCCCCAGCGCCCGGCCCTGCCTGCCAGACTGGGGCTGCGCAGACCCACAGCAAGGGTCAGCCCTACCCCAGAGATCTCCCAATCTCACTGACAAAGGCCGGCTCAGGCCCTGTGTCTCACAGGTGGGGAAACTGAGGCACGGCTGTGCCAAAATTGCGCCCCCCCCGGCACTTGTGGGGGATCCTGTCTCTCCAGCCCCCATCCTTCCCATGCCCTGCTGCAGGTCCCGGCGCTGCCGGTCGCCTCCACGTCCCTGGAGACGGAGCTGCCCGCGAGGGAGCCCCCGCAGCCACCCGTGGCCGGCACTCTGGGGCCGGGGGACTCGTTCTTGGAGGCTGGCCTGGCAGAGCAGGCTGGGCTCTGGCGGGCGGAGGAGGAGGCCGTGGACTCGGAGCTGGAGCAGCTATATCTCTGCCATCTCAGCCGGCTGCGGGCAGAGGAGCTGGGGGGCGCCGGGGGGCGGCCGGGGGGCATGGAAGCGGCTGGCTCCCCCCCGGCCTGGCTGCCTGCCCTGCACCTGAGCGTGCTGAGCGACCGGGACCTGGTGGTCGGCTGCGCCGGGCCGGAGCGGGCGCTGAACAGCTCCCTGGCCCAGGAGATCACCCGGCGTTACGCCAGCCCGGCGGGCGAGGGCCTGGAGAGGGGCACGGCCGCCCGGCTCACCCCGCCCGCCGGCCCGGGGCGAGACAGCCCCCCAGCGCTGCTGGAGGGTGGGAGCCAGGGAGCCGGCCCGGGCGGGGCCTTGCGGCTGCTGGCGCCAGCCGCCATGGTGGTGCCGGCACGGACAGTGGCCCCGGTGGGGCGAGGCCGGGGGGGCTACGCAGGGCCACGGAGCCTGTGGTCGGGGGAGCCCAGGGAGGGGGCGCCCGGCTGCCCCCCGCGGCTGGGGCAGGCCCTGACCCGTTCCCTCCTCGTCCTGGGACTTGTGGTCGTCCTGCCCGTGGTCCTCGGTGGCTGCCTGCCGGCCGCGGTCATCACCCTGTATGTGGTTCTCACGTGGCGCCAGGCGAGCTAGGACCCAGGCGTCCTGGCTCCCAGCCCCCCCGCTCTAGCCCCCTCGCCCCCAGAGCCGGGGAGAGAACCCAGGCATCCTGGCTCCCAGCCCCCCCACTCTAGCCCCCTTGCCCCCAGAGCTGGGGAGGCGTCCTGGCTCCCAGCTCCTCCGCCCTACCCCACACTTGTTGTGTCCCACACTGGCACTGGGGGCCACATGTCTCTGAAGACCTTACATCAGCTCATTGTCCTGCTTTGCTTCTCCAGTGCACGACCCCCCCATGGCACCGTATTTATTTTGTACTGGGGGGCGTGGGGGGTTCAGTGGGTCCCCCCCTGTGTGGGGCAAAGTGGGTCATTTGCAGCATGACACTTCCGCTGAGTGCAACCGAGAGTTTCGGTCCAGCCGCCGGGGGGGCTGGCGATCATCCGGCTGATTCACCGCGCTTGCGTCAGCCCCCAGTGGTGAGGTCCCACGGCACGCCGGAGCCGCCCAGCCACCCGCTCCACCGCCGCGTGGCCCTCTTCTGCAAGTCGAAGGAGCTGCCGCTGTGGGAGCGGCAGGGGACGTGCCTCAGTTTCCCCACATGGGAGCTCTGCCCATGTTTCGGAAGCCGTGGGGGACACTCGGAGTGATGGAGGATGGCCTGAGTCGGAGCCGACGCTGGGTGGAGGTGAGAGCGGAATCGGACCCAGATCCTGCTGCAGTTGGGAGTGACTCCAGATTGACTCCAGATTAAGTGGGATCAGAATCCTGCCTTGACCCCATTGTAGTCAGGGGTGACTCCAGATTGACTCTGAATTAACTGAGATGGGAAATCGGAAAACCTGCCTTGGAGCGAGAGAGGCAAGACTCTGGATCCGCATCGAGACGGCTCGGGGGGCCGATATCTGATAACGGGCTCGTCAGGCCGCTGGCACCGGGTCCCGGCTGGGAGTCAGGCGCCGATTGTGGCCCGGGAAGGGGTTCGCCGTGGGGACAGTGGTGGCTCCCCGACCAGGTGGGTTCGGGAGCCGGACGCGCGGGGTCTCGAAGGGGGCGAAACGCCGGCGTCCGCGCAGCTGACGGAAACGCGAAATAAACACGGTCCCGGCCACAGCCCTGGTGTCGGTTTCTGGGGGGCTCATGGCGCCAGCAGGGGGAGGATGGGGTCCGGCCGTGGGGTGGAAGGTGACAGGCCTGGAGGCAGGATCGGTCGGGCCTGGAGCCCAATTCCAGATGGGAGCTGGCGCCCCCCAGAGGGGACAGGCCCCTGCCCCATTCCCGCCCCCCGAGCCAGCCTGGGATTGGGCGGTTTACACGGTGCCGCAGCCCCCAGGACCCCCCCCCCCCCCCGCACCAGATCTGGTCAGTTGCTTTGCAGTTTCAGTGTCCCTTCATGTCTGTCTGTGGGGCAGCTGGCTAGAGAACCCAGGAGTCCTGCCCCCCCAACCTATGGAGAGAACCCAGGCGTCCTGGCTCCCAGCCCACCCCCCACTGCTCTAACCACTAGACCCCCCCTCCCGGAGCCAGGGAGAGAACCCAGGCGTCCTGGCTCCCAGCCCCTCCCTCCCCCTTGGCTTCCCCTGGTCCTGATGGTGCGTTGCTGCCCGAGTCCCCCTCCCCCGCTCCGCCATTGTCCCCCGGCCCCTCCTCGGCCCGGCTCCGCCCCCCACGTCCCTCTGCCCCCCAGACCCCCCCCCCGCCGCACCTTCCGGTGGATGCTAAAGAAGATGGTCGGATCCCGGCCGCCTCCCGGCTCCTTTGTGGGGACCGGAGCCTGAGCCGCCGCCCGATGCCTCCGGGCTCATCTCCGGGGGAGAGTCCGGACCCCCTCCTTCCCGGCCGGGATCCGGCGTGACTCCGGAGCCGCCGCACCTTGCATTAACCCCCCGCATTCGGGTCGAACCAGGGTCCTGGGGATGGAGCGAGCCGGCGTCGGGGCGCCGCGCGGGCCAGGAGGGCGCCCCGGGACCGGCCCCGACCTGGATTTAACCCCCTGGATCTAATCGGGGGGGGGGGGGGCGAATCCGGATTCCCACGGAGGAGCGAGCCGATCCGGGTTGCCATTGGATCGATCTGCTGGAGGAGGTGTCTGTGTCGAAGAGGGCAGATCGGAGTCACACCGGATTGATCGGGGAGGGGATCCCCGGAGGAGGGACCCGGCCCCTTGGTTTCACCGAGGCCCCGATCCGGGTAGCTTGGGGGTCCCCGGGACGCCGCCGCGGGGAGCCTTCGGCGCCGGGCTCTGGAGGCGTCGGAAGCGGGGGGGCAGCGCCCCCGGACCCCCAAGGCAGCCCCCCGAGCCCCCTCCGGCCGGCATGGGGGGAGGCCCGGCGAAGGGACGCCCTGCTCCCCGCAGGGCCTGAAGGCGCCGGGGGCAGGGGACTCGCCCCCCACCGAGCGGGGAAGGATTTGGGGGTCTCGCCTCACGCCGGGGAGCCAGCGGAACAGAGGTGAGCTGGGGCCGGTCCTGGGGGGGCGGGCTGGGTCCCTGCCTCGGCCCCCCTCCTTCCCCAGCCCTCCACCGGTGTGCACCCCTCCGGCCCCCCGTATACATTCCTCCATCCCCAGCGCCCCACCTGTATACATCCCTCCAGCCCCCCCATCCCCATCCCCCCACTGTTGTACACCCCTTCGCCCCCCCGTATACACCCCCCGTCCCCAGCCCCCCACCGGTATACACCCCTCTAGTCCCCCCCGTATACACCCCCGTCCCCAGCCCCCCACCGGTGTACACCCCTCCGGCCCCCCATATACATCCCTCCATCCCCAGTGCCCCACCGGTATATACCCCCCCGGCCCCAGCCCCCCACCGGTAAACAACCCTCTGGCCCCCCCCGTATACACCCCCCGTCCCCAGCCCCCGACCGGTATACACCCCTCCGGCCCCCCCCGTATAAACCCCCCGTCCCCAGCCCCCCACCGGTATACACCCCTCTAGCCCCCCCGTATACACCCCCTGTCCCCAGCCCCCCACCGGTATACACCCCTCTAGCACCCCCGTATACACCCTCCGTCCCAAGCCCCCGACCAGTATACACCCCTCTAGCCCCCCCGTATACACCCGTCGTCCCCAGCCCCCACTGGTATACACCCCTCTGGCCCCCCCATATACACCCCCCGTCCCCAGCCCCCCACTGGTATACACCCCTCCGGCCCCCCATATGCACCCCCCATCCCCATCCCCCCACTGGTGTATACCCCTCTGCCCCCCCCATATACATTCCTCCATCCCCAGTGCCCCACCTGTATACATCTCTCCAGCCCCCCCTTATGAACCCTCCATCCCCAGCCCCCCACCGGTATACACCCCTCCAGCCCCCCCATATACACCCCCCCGTCCCCAGCCCCCCACCGGTATACACCCCCCCGGCCTCCTCGTATACATCCCTTCATCCGCCCCCCATGCACCCCCCGTCCCCAGCCCCCCACTGCTATGCCCCCCTCCACCCCCCCCATATACATCCCCCCATCCCCCCACCTGTATACACCCCTCTAGCCCCCCGTATACACCCCTGTCCCCACCCCCCGCACCGGTATACACCCCTCCGGCCCGCCCATATACACCCCCGACCCCAGCCCCCCACTGGTATACACCCCTCCGGCCCGCCACTCATCCCATCATCTCTCCACCCCATATACAACCCCTCCATCTGCCCCTCCCCAGCCCTCCGTACACCCCTCTGCCCACCCCGCCTCCCCCCAAGCCGTCCACCCCGTCCCTTTTTCCTCCCATGCACCCCCCATCTCCCCCCCCACACCTTACTGTACCCCAGACACCCCTCAGCTGCTCCAGCCTCGAACAGTCGTTTATCCACCCACCCCTCTCAAAACGGCCCCCTGCACCCCCCCACTCGGCCCCCTGCACCCCCCTCTGGCCTCCGCCCACTGGAGGGGCTTGTGGGGCTGGAGAGATGAAGGGTGTGTGTCCGTCCAGCCCCTGTGCACCCCTTTAAGTAGTCACCCCTCCCCCCTCCGCACATACCCCTCTATTGTCCCATCCCCCTCACTCCACCCTCCCGTCCCCCGCCACCCCCTCCAGCCCCCCCACCATCCCTACACCCCCCAGCCCCCCCGCCACCCTCTCCATCTGCTGGTCCCTCCAGCCCTCCCCATCATCCCTGCACCCCTCCCCACCCACCAGCCCCCACCCCGCCTCCAGCCGCCCCCCTTTCTCTGGCTGACACAGGTGCAGAGACCCCACAACACGGCCTAGGAGTGGCTGGGGGGATTGTCATTCAGGGCCTGGGGGTGTGTGTGTGTGTGAGTGTGTGTATGTTTCCACTTTGTGTGTGTGTGTATTCTCTGGGTGTGTATTTTGTGTACAGATATATTGTATGTGTGTAATGTGTGTGTATATTACACGTGTGTGACTACAGTGTCTGTATTGTGAGCGTGCAGCGTGTGTGTGGGTTACGTGTGTGTGGCATGTGTGGACGCACACGGACGTTTCCACTTTGAGTACGTGTGTGTGTGTAGCGTGGGTGGATTGCGTGTGCGTGTGGGCGTCTCTCTCCCCTTGGCGTGTGGCCAGGCTCTGGGGGGGCCTTGTGCCAATTTACCCCCCCATTACAAGCCCCCAGCCTGCCAGACTCGCCCCCAGCTGGGACATGACTGCAGAGCGGGGGGGGGGGATTTTGGCCAGGCCCCCACCCAGAGGCCCTGAGTTGATGCTGGAGGGCCTCAGGGCAACTCCACTGGCTTCATTCTCTTCTCTCTTCCCCCGGGGCAATCAGGAGTGACTCCAGTTTAAGAGCAGAATTGGGTCCTGGCTCAGTTCCACAGCCCACCTGCTTCCCTGGCGGCTGGAGGGGGGGAATGAGTGTGACAGAGCCCGGATGTGTCCCTGTGTGTGTGTGTGTCCCCCTGCTGGAGGGTGGAGCCCCGTGCTCTGTGTGTGTGTGTTCGTGAGTGCACGTGCGCGTGCGAAGGACCCTTTGCAGCTGCCTGGGGTGAGCAAAAGCAGCCGGAAAGCTTCAGCCCCCCGATGCGCTGGGGCAGCCGAGTGTGAGCGGGAGCGAGGGTGAGCAGACGTCAAGGCGCGAGGGCGTGAAGGGGGAAGGGGCCCGGCGGGGTGGGGGGCACGTGTGTGAGGCTGAGTCTGCCGGGGGGGGGAGCATGTCAGCGTGAGTGTGACTCGGAGCGTGGGCACGTGCGTGCGTGTCTGTGCCCAGGCGGCTGTGAGGATGAGCGTGTATCAGTGCGAGTGTGCGCGCGTGGTGAGAGTGGGCACGGGCTGTGGGTCAGTGCGGAGCGTGTCAGCGTCAGGGCGGCCGGGAGGACGAGCGTGCGGGAGCGTGTCAGCATCAGGGGGCCCAGGAGGACGAGCGTGCGGGAGCGTGTCAGCGTCCGGGGGGCCGGGAGGACGAGCGTCCGGGAGCATGTCAGCATCCGGGGGGGCCGGGAGGACGAGCGTGCAGGAGCGTGTCAGCATCCGGGGGGGCCGGGAGGACGAGCGTGCGGTAGCGTGTCAGCATCAGGGGGGCCGGGAGTACAAGCGTGCGGGAGCGTGTCAGCGTCAGGGGGCCGGGAGGACAAGAGTGCGGGAGCGTGTCAGCGTCCGGGGGGCCGGGAGGACGAGCGTGTGGGAGCGTGTCAGCGTCGGGGCAGCCGGGAGGACGAGCGTGCGGGAGCGTGTCAGCGTCAGGGGGCCGGGAGGACGAGCGTGCGGGAGCGTGTCAGCGTCGGGGGGGCCGGGAGGACGAGCGTGCGGGAGCGTGTCAGCGTCGGGGGGCCGGGAGGACGAGTGTGCGGGAGCGTGTCAGCGTCAGGGGGGCCGGGAGGACGAGCGTGCGGGAGCGTGTCAGCCTCAGGGGGGCCGGGAGGACGAGCGTGCGGGAGCGTGTCAGCGTCAGGGGGCCAGTAGGACGAGCATGCAGGAGCGTGTCAGAATCAGGGCGGCCGGGAGGACGAGCGTGCGGGAGCGTGTCAGCGTCGGGAGGGCCGGGAGGACAAGCGTGCGGGAGCGTGTCAGCATCCGGGGGGCCGGGAGGACGAGCGTGCGGGAGCGTGTCAGCGTCCGGGGGGCCGGGAGGACGAGCGTGCGGGAGCGTGTCAGAATTAGGGCGGCCGGGAGGACGAGCGTGCGGGAGCATGTCAGCGTCGGGGGGGCCGGGAGGACGAGTGTGCGGGAGCGTGTCAGCGTTGGGGGGGCCAGGAGGACGACGGTGCCCTTGTCTCTCGGGGGCGCCGGCTGGGGGGCCTGGCTGGTTCGGGGCGGGCAACGGGAGACGGGACCCCCAGACGTGGCGGGCGATGGGATCGGGGGCCCGCGCTCAGCAGCCCCGCCCCCAACCAGGTCGGGCCTGGGGGCACCAGGCCCTGCCCCACTGCCCCGCAGCCTGGGCTTGGGCCCCGCACGCTGGGCGGGGGGTCCCTTCCCCCCTCGTCGGGCCAGGCCCCGCCCCAACGATCCCTTCTCCCCCCTGCAGAGGCCCCGGGGCCATGGGCCGCCCCCGCTAGCCCCTCCGGCCGGCGATGGCCAACGCCAGCGAGGCGGACGAGCCGGGCCTGCCGGGCCCCCCGGCGGCCTCCACCTACGCCAAGCTGCTGCTCCTGGGGCTGATCATCTGCGTGAGCCTGGCGGGCAACCTGGCCCTAGCCCTGCTGGTGCTGAAGGAGCGGGGGCTGCACCGGGCCCCCTACTACTTCCTGCTGGACCTGTGCCTGGCGGACGCCGTGCGGGCGGCCATCTGCTTCCCCTTCGTGCTGGTCTCCATCCGCCACGGCTCGGCCTGGACCCACAGCCCGCTGAGCTGCAAGGTGGTGGCCTTCCTGGCCGTCCTCTTCTGCTTCCACGCCGCCTTCCTCCTCTTCTGCATCAGCGTCACCCGGTACATGGCCGTGGCCCACCACCGCTTCTACGCCAAGCGCCTGACCCCGTGGACGTGCGTGGCCGTCATCTGCATGGTGTGGACCCTCTCGGTGGCCATGGCCTTCCCGCCCGTCGTCGACGTGGGCACCTACAAGTTCATCCGGGAGGAGGACCAGTGCATCTTCGAGCACCGCTACGTCAAGGCCAACGACACGCTGGGCTTCATGCTCATGCTGGCCGTGCTGGTGGGGGCCACCCAGGCCGTCTACGGCAAGCTGCTCTGCTTCCAGTACCGCCACCGCCGGATGAAGCCGGTGCAGATGGTGCCGGCCGTCAGCCAGAACTGGACGTTCCACGGGCCGGGGGCCACCGGCCAGGCGGCCGCCAACTGGGTGGCCGGCTTCGGCCGGGGCCCCATGCCGCCCACGCTGCTGGGCGTCCGGCAGAGCGGCCACGCAGCCAGCCGCAGCCTGCTGGGCATGGAGGAGTTCAAGGCGGAGAAGCGGCTGGGGAAGATGTTCTACGTCATCACCGTCCTCTTCCTGCTCCTCTGGTCGCCCTACCTCGTGGCCTGCTACTGGCGGGTCTTCGTCAAGGCCTGCAGCATCCCCCACCGCTACCTGGCCACCGCCGTCTGGCTGAGCTTCGCCCAGGCCGCCGTCAACCCCATCGTCTGCTTCCTGCTCAACAAGGAGCTCACGAAGGGGCTGGCGGCCCACGTGCCCTGCCGCAGGACAGAGCCCCCCCTGCCCCGGGAGCCGTACTGCGTCATGTGAGGGGGGCGCCCCACGGGTCAGGGCCGCGGGAGAGGGTTGGAGGGGCTGGCTGCGGCGGGCCGAGGGCGGGAGGCTGGACATCCAGCGGCAAGCCGGAGTCACCCCCTGCCCGCAATGGGATCAGGCCAGATTCAGATCTCGGTTAATCCAGAATCAATCCGGAGTCAACCCCTGACTGCAATGGGATCAGGCCAGATTCAGATCTCCGTTCATCTGGAGTCAGTCCGGAGTCACCCCCTGCCCGCAATGGGATCACCCCAGATTCAGATCTCTGTTAATCCAGAATCAATCCGGAGTCAACCCCTGACTGCAATGGGATCAGGCCAGATTCTGATCTCAGTGAATCTGGAGTCAATCCGAAATCACCCCTGGACTGCAGTGAGGTCAGGGCTGGATTCTGATCTTAGCTCCCCTGGGGTCAATCCAGAGTCACCCTGACTTCGGCGGTCTTACTCCAGCTGCAGTGGGTTAATCTGGATTCACACCCAGGTACCCAAAATGGGGAATTTGCTGTGTCTAGTTTAGTCCCCATCGTGGAGATGAGAAGAGATGGGGTGGGAGTGGGGCAGGTCTGGGGGGGAAGGGAGCTGGAGGGTGAACCAGGGGAAAGGGGGGTGGAGAAGGGAGGGGTGGGGAGATCAGGGGAGGGGGTCCAGCCCAGCAACGCCCACGCCCACCCCCTGCCTCTGCGGGTGATTTAGCAACCTCTCAGTCAGTAACCAGGGACACGCCCCCCATGCAGTCTCCATGGCAACAGCCAATGGGAGCCCGACAGACCATGTCACCCTGGAACAATGCAACCAGGAAGCTGGGGGGGGGGGGGACGACCCATCCTGGCCCTGGAATCCCTGGGGGCTCCAGGGGGAGGGAAACGGGGCTGCTGTGATGCAGGTGTTCTGGAGAGATGGCCAAGGGCTCCAGGGACCAGCAGGATCACAGGAGCAGTGCCAGGGCGACAGGCGGAGTCACAGGCAGCGATTGTTAGGGCGACAGGCGGAGTCACAGGCAGAGATTGTTAGGGGGACAGGCGGAGTCACAGGCAGCGATGTTAGGGCGACAGGCGGAGTCACAGGCAGCGATTGTTAGGGGGACAGGCAGAGTCACAGGCAGCGACGTTAGGGGGACAGGCAGAGTCACAGGCAGCGATTGTTAGGGCGACAGGCGGAGTCACAAGCAGCGATTGTTAGGGTGACAGGCAGAGGAACAGGCAGCGATGTTAGGGCGACAGGCGGAGGAACAGGCAGCGATTGTTAGGGGGACAGGCGGAGTCACAAGCAGCGATTGTTAGGGTGACAGGCGGAGGAACAGGCAGCGATTGTTAGGGGGACAGGCGGAGTCACAAGCAGCGATTGTTAGGGTGACAGGCGGAGGAACAGGCAGCGATTGTTAGGGGGACAGGCGGAGTCACAAGCAGCGATTGTTAGGGTGACAGGCGGAGGAACAGGCAGCGATTGTTAGGGCGACAGGCGGAGGAACAGGCAGCGACTATTAGGGCGACAGGCAGAGGAACAGGCAGCGATGTTAGGGCGACAGGCAGAGGAACAGGCAGCGATTGTTAAGGCAACAGGCGGAGGAACAGGCAGCGATGTTAGGGCAAGAGGCGGAGTCACAAGCAGCGATTGTTAGGGCGACAGGCGGAGGAACAGGCAGCGATTGTTAGGGTGACAGGCGGAGGAACAGGCAGCGATTGTTAGGGCGACAGGCGGAGGAACAGGCAGCGATGTTAGGGCGACAGGCGGAGTCACAGGCAGCGATTGTTAGGGCGACAGGCGGAGTCACAGGCAGCGATTGTTAGGGCGACAGGCGGAGTCACAAGCAGCGATTGTTAAGGCGACAGGCGGAGGAACAGGCAGCGATTGTTAAGGCGACAGGCGGAGTCATAAGCAGCGATTGTTAAGGCGACAGGTGGAGGAACAAGCAGCGATTGTTAGGGCGACAGGCGGAGTCACAAGCAGCGATTGTTAAGGCGACAGGCGGAGGAACAAGCAGCGATTGTTAGGGCGACAGGCGGAGGAACAGGCAGCGATTGTTAAGGCGACAGGCGGAGGAACAGGCAGCGATTGTTAGGGGGACAGGCGGAGTCACAAGCAGCGATTGTTAGGGCGACAGGCGGAGGAACAAGCAGCGATTGTTAGGGCGACAGGCGGAGGAACAAGCAGCGATTGTTAAGGCGACAGGCGGAGGAACAAGCAGCGATTGTTAGGGCGACAGGCGGAGGAACAGGCAGCGATTGTTAAGGCGACAGGCGGAGGAACAGGCAGCGATTGTTAGGGGGACAGGCGGAGTCACAAGCAGCGATTGTTAGGGCGACAGGCGGAGGAACAAGCAGCGATTGTTAGGGCGACAGGCGGAGGAACAAGCAGCGATTGTTAAGGCGACAGGCGGAGGAACAAGCAGCGATTGTTAAGGCGACAGGCGGAGGAACAAGCAGCGATTGTTAGGGCGACAGGCGGAGGAACAGGCAGCGATTGTTAAGGCGACAGGCGGAGGAACAGGCAGCGATTGTTAGGGGGACAGGCGGAGTCACAAGCAGCGATTGTTAGGGCGACAGGCGGAGGAACAAGCAGAGATTGTTAGGGCGACAGGCGGAGGAACAAGCAGCGATTGTTAAGGCGACAGGCGGAGGAACAAGCAGCGATTGTTAGGGCGACAGGCGGAGGAACAGGCAGCGATTGTTAAGGCGACAGGCGGAGGAACAGGCAGCGATTGTTAGGGCGACAGGCGGAGGAACAAGCAGCGATTGTTAAGGCGACAGGCGGAGGAACAAGCAGCGATTGTTAGGGCGACAGGCGGAGGAACAGGCAGCGATTGTTAAGGCGACAGGCGGAGGAACAGGCAGCGATTGTTAGGGGGACAGGCGGAGGAACAAGCAGCGATTGTTAGGGGACAGGGGAGGAACAGCAGCGATTGTTAGGCGACAGGGGAGGAACAGGAGCGATTGTTAGGGGAAGGCGGAGGAACAGGCAGCGATTGTTAAGGCGACAGGCGGAGGAACAGGCAGCGATTGTTAGGGGGACAGGCGGAGTCACAAGCAGCGATTGTTAAGGCGACAGGCGGAGGAACAGGCAGCGATGTTAGGGCGACAGGCGGAGGAACTGGTGGAGAAACACACACAATGCTAGAGTACCCTGCACCGACGCTCGGGTACGGGGCACACTATCAGGCAGTGGTGCTGGCAGAACAGGCGGAGGGCCGCGCAGCGATGGTCGGGTGCCCTGCGGGAACACAGCTGCATGCGAGAGGAACAGGTCCCCTCCCAGCCCCTTTGCTGCTCCCCAGAGCTGTTTGCATTCCCGCACGGACAGACTCCGGAGGGCAAAGGGATTTGGAGTGGGATGTTACGGGGCCGAGCCCTGACCCCGGGCTCCTGGCCAGACTCACCCTGCTGGCAGAGGGGAAGTGACTCCAGATTGATACCCACAGAAATGGGATCCGAATCCGTCTCTGGGACTGCTGGGGCTGGGGAAGGGAGGGCCTAGCACCGGGAGCCAGGACTCCTGGGTTCCATTCCCGGCTCTGGATGGGAAGTGGGGTCTAATGGGTTAGAGGGGGGGGGGGGGGGCTGGGAACCAGGACTCCTGGGTTCTCCCCCAGCTCTGGATGGGAAGTGGGGTCTGGTGGGTTAGATCCAGTGGGGCTGGGAGCCAGGACTCCTGAAATAGGTGGGTGAAGGGGGGGGGGGGGGGGCCTTCGCTCTCCGTTTCCAGCTGGGCCTGGGCCCCGCAACGGATCTGCCTGGGCTCAGAACTCTTCTCTTGCTCTTTTGGTTTGGGGTTTTTTGGGGGTGGGGGATTTTTTTCGCAGAAAAAAAATCTAAGAAAAAGACACTAAAAAAAAAATCAATGTTTTTGTACAAAAATACCTCCCCCCCGATAATTTCGGGGCTCGGGGGGCTGGGGAGGGCACGATACGGCGACAGGACGGCTGGACAGAGACTCCCGACAGCAGCCATTTCTGGAGGGACCCCAGGGGGGCAACCGCTCTGTTGGGGGAGGGAGAGCATTGGGGGGTGGGGGGGCAGTGTGGGGGTTCGCTCGGATCTTTGGTTCTTGTCCAGCTCCTCCCCCCCTTTTTCGGGGTGCTGGGGGGCAGGGACCGTTCTCGTTTCTTTTCTTTTTGATATAAAAACCAACGGAATGAAACAAACTGACCAATCGGTGTTTTCTTTGAGCCAGGGCCATGCAGGACCCGTCTTCTGGGGTGCCCGGACACCTGGGTTCTTTCCCTGGCTGTGGGAGGGGAGTGGGGTCTGGTGGGTTAGAGCAGGGGGGCTGGGAGCCAGGACTCCTGGGTTCAATCCCTGGTTCTTGCCGTCAGTCACTATTGGCCATAGTGGAACAAATCTCTTCTTGCCTTTTCCCCCCGCGAGCTGGGTCGGGCGAGCGCAGGATGAATGCAGACCCCGATGACTCCAGCCTCGGCCTCCCCCAGCCGGGGGGCGCTGGGGCGCCCGGGGCAGCGTTCGGGCCAGGAAGCAGTTGGCTCCCCCGGCAGCTGAACCGAAACCTCCGGCTGTGCTTCGGTTTCCTGCTTTCGGGGCCGACCCTGCCCCCGAAATTTCGATTCAAAGGTCACAGATTTCTCTTTCTTCGAAAACAGCCAGCATGATAAGATCTGGGGCGAGGGGGAGAGACGCAGCCACACAGGGGCGCCTCGCCTGGCACTGAGATGCAGCCACCTCTGGGGCGGGGCGGACACATAACGCCCTATGGGGATGGTGAGATGCAGCCACCTCTGGGGCGGGGCGGACACATAACGCCCTATGGGGATGGGGGCGGACACATAACGCCCTATGGGGATGGTGGAGGCAGCCACCTCTGGGGCGGGGCGGACACATAACGCCCTATGGGGATGGGGGCGGACACATAACGCCCTATGGGGATGGTGAGGAGAGGCATAGGGGCCTCTGGGGCGGGGCGGCTGGGCCGCAGTTTGGGACAGGAAGGGAAGCTGATGCCTGTTGCTGACTGCGACATTTCGGGAGGGGGAATGGGCCCCCCGGGCCTGGGGTTCGATCCCCCCTTCGACGGGGCAGAAAGCCAGGCTCGGGGAGTTGGTGCCGCGCTGATCACCGGGGGGAGCGCCCCTTGCAGAGCCCCTCCCCTCCGCCCCGGTTTAATTCCTCCGGGGGATCACCGGGTCTGGCTGGGAGCGCCCCCACCCGCCCCCGCCGTGCTGGTCCTGACGAGGCCGGCGGCTGCCTGCAGCTGCAGTCCGACCAGCACGGGCTCCGCCGTGTGCAATGCACAACTGCGCACACTGCACCGCTGGCCGCGCGCAGCCTCTCGTGCAAGGCACCAGGATTCAAGGGGAACCGTTACGTGCAGGGCTCGACTGCCTGCAGTTCACTACTACGGGCGATGCACTATTGCACACACGGCGCCGTGTGCGCTGCACGCTCGTGTGCAAGGCACCGTTGCTCGCGGATCGCGCCGCGCCTGCGCAACGAGCAATCACGCGCCACCGGCATTTGCTCCACCTGGCGGGCGCGCGCGCGCTTACCCACAGCCAGCTGCCCAGGGCGCAAGCGCCGCATTCGGCGTTACTGCGCATGCACCGGGGGAAGGTCCTGCCAACGCGCATGCGGCACGCGCAGTCTCCCTTTGAGACACTCCCCGCCCCATCTCTGGCGGACGCGACCGAATCCACCGAGCCTGGTTCTGCCTCCTGCCCATTGGCCGCCGCCGAGAAGGCGCCCGCCGTATCAGGGTCCGGGTCCCCCACGTGGGGGGCGGGACGAAGACGGAACCCGCGACGATTGCTGGCGCCGCCGGCCAATCGCCGCCCGGTTCGCTCCCCCACGTGGGACGGAAGGCTTTTCCCTCCCGCCGTTGGCGGGGCAGCCCTGCTGCTGGCCAATCAGCGCGGGGAGGGGAGAGAGGATCAGAGGAAGGGGGGAGAGACGCGCGAGGCGCTCGAGTTTGGCAGTTGGCGGCGGCCGTTGCTCCCCTCGCGCCTCTTCCGTTTGAAAACGAGGGTTGAGCCGGAGGGAGGGGGGCTGGCGCGGCCCCGCCCCCGGGCCTGAGCGGACCGAACCATGAGCGGGAGCGGGGGCGTCCCGCGGACCCCACCCCCCGCCCCGGCCGCCAAGCGCCGCTGCCCGGCCCCGCTGCTGAAGGAGACGGAGGCCGCCCAGGCGCTGACCCAGCTGACGGCCTGGGGGGCCCTGGAAACCGCCGGGCGGCAGGGGGCGCCCGCGGCCGAGGGGGGCCTGGAAACTGCTGCCGCGGGGCTGGCGCCCCCTGCTGGGGAGGGGGGCCTGGAAACCGCCAAGCGGGGCAGCCGAGACCCCGCCGGGGGCGGGCGGGGGCGCCTCGCGGCTGTCGCCAACGGGAAGGGGAGCCGAGGAGCCGCCCAAGGGGAGAGGAGCCTGGAGACTGCCGCTGGGCCAGGGAGCCTTGACCCCGCCGCCGAGGGGAAGGGGGTGCTGGAAACCGACGCCACCGCGATGGGGAGCCTCGAAACCGCCGCCGCCGAGGGGAAGGGGGTGCTGGAAACCGACGCCATCGCGATGGGGAGCCTCGAAACCGCCGCCGCCGAGGGGAAGGGGGTGCTGGAAACCGACGCCACCACGATGGGGAGCCTCGAAACCGCCGCCGCCGAGGGGAAGGGGGTGCTGGAAACCGACGCCATCGCGATGGGGAGCCTCGAAACCGCCGCCGCCGAGGGGAAGGGGGTGCTGGAAACCGACGCCACCGCGATGGGGAGCCTCGAAACCGACGCCGCCGATGGGAAGGGGGTGCTGGAAACCGACGCCACCACGATGGGGAGCCTCGAAACCGCCGCCGCCGAAGGGAAGGGGGTGCTGGAAACCGACGCCACCGCGATGGGGAGCCTCGAAGCCACCGCCGCCAAAGGGAAGGGGGTGCTGGAAACCGACGCCACCGCGATGGGGAGCCTCGAAACCGCCGCCGCCGAGGGGAAGGGGGTGCTGGAAACCGACGCCACCGCGATGGGGAGCCTCGAAACCGACGCCGCCGAGGGGAAGGGGGTGCTGGAAACCGACGCCATCGCGATGGGGAGCCTCGAAACCGCCGCCGCCAAGGGGAAGGGAGGCCTGGAAACTGCCGACGGCCGGGAGGGGCGGAAGAAGAGGCGGGCGGAGGAGGAGTGCTCCATCATCTCAGTGGGGGAGGAGGAGGAGGAGGAGGAGCCGGGGGCCGGGGCGGCCCGGCGGGCCCCGGACACGGAGCAGTACCTGGAGGCGCTGGAGGCGGTGCAGCTGGAGCTGGAGGCGGTGAACGAGCAGGCCGGCTGCGCCTTCCGCATCCTCAAGGCCAAGTTCGGCCACATGCGCCGGCCCCACCTCGAGCGCCGCAACCTCATCATCCAGAACATCCCCGGGTTCTGGGTCACCGCCGTATCCCTCCGCCAGGGGGCGTCGCAGGGCAGCCGGGGCTGGGCGGGGGGCGGAGAGCGGGAGGCTCGAGGCCCGGAGAACCCAGGCGTCCGGGCTCCGGTTGTGTTTCCTTGACTCGGGCTCGGCAGTTTCTCAATCACCCCCAGTTGTCGGCCGTGATCAACGACCGGGACGAGGACACCCTGAGCTACATGACCAACCTGCAGGTGAGAGTGGGGGGCTCGGCGCTCGGACGCCTGGGTTCTCTCCCTGGCTCTGGGAGGGGAGTGGGGTCGAGTGGGTTGCGGGGGGCGGGGCTGGGAGCCAGGACTCCTGGGTTCCTGCTCCAGCTCTAGGAGGAGCTGGGGGACGGTGGAGGTGGGGGTGCGCGCTGTGGAAAGTCTCAGGCCCGGACTCCTGGGTCCTTTCTGCCCCCGGCAGGTGGAGGACTTCACTCACGCCAAGTCAGGGTGCAAGATCAAGTTCTACTTCAGCGGGAACCCCTACTTCCAGAACGAGGTGATCGTCAAGGAGTTCCAGCCGGCCTCCTCTGGTACGGGGCGGGGCTGCGTTCGGGGGGCGCTGGGGGCGCTCCCCATGCCTGCACCCTCACCCCTGCCTCTCCCCCCGCAGGCAGGCTGGTGTCGCACTCCACCCCCATCCGCTGGTGGCGGGGCCAGGACCCCCGGGCCCACGGCCGCAAGAGCCCCGAGGTGGGGCGCAGCTTCTTCAGCTGGTTCGGGGACCACAGCTTCCCTGCAGGTGACCGGATTGCTGAGGTGAGACCCCCCGAGCCCCGATCCTGCCCCCCCCGGCTGCCCCCCCCACGTCTCACCCCCCTGCTCCGTCCCCCCAGATCATCAAGGAGGACCTCTGGCCAAACCCCCTGCACTACTACCTGATGGGCGAGAACGGGGGCGCCGGGGACGACAGGTGAGATGGCGCCTCCTGGAGGGGGCCGGGCAAGGGGCCGGCAGGCTGGGGAGCCAGGGACTGGGCCTAATTTTTTGGTGGCTGAGAAGTGCATGCTGGGTAACCTGGGCGGTGGGGGCGCCGAGCATTGTGGGTAACCCGGGGATGACTGCGTGGTGATTGTGGGTGTCACGGGGTCCCCGGGCGATGCTCTGACCTGCTCCCCACGAAGCCGGGCAGGACTCTGGGGGAGTCTCCTCTCGGGGAGCAGCCTGTCTGCAGGACACACAGCTCCCCCGGCTCCACCTTCCTGGGTCTGACCCCGGAGCCTCCAGCCTCCTCTGCCCCTCCGGGCGCTTCCCACAGCCAGTCCGCCCAGGCGGGGTCCTGGGGAAGCCGGAGGGTCCTGCACCCCAACTCCGCAGTCAGACGGGACTCTCAGCCAGCCGGGGAAACACAGAAGGTTTATTAGACGACAGGAACAGGGTCTAAACCAGAGCTTGTAGGTACAGAGAACGGGACCCCTCAGCTGCGTCCATTTTGGGGGGCAGTGAGCCAGACAACCCCGTCTGCCCTTCACTCCTTGTCCCCAGCCAGCCCCAAACTGAAACAGTCTCCAGCCCCCCCCTGCTCTGGGCTTTGTCCCTTTCCCGGGCAGGAGGTCACCGGATCCCTTTGTTCTCCAACCCTTTAGCTCTCACCTGGCAGGGGGAAGGGCCCAGGCCATCAGTGGCCAGGAAACAGGGTGTCGGCCATTCTCTGTGTCCAGACCCCTGCACACCCCTGCCCTCTAGGGCTCTGCAACGATCATACCCCCTTATCCCACCCCCTAGAGACTTAAGAACTGCCTAGGGGAAACTGAGGCACCCCCACACTATTCAGAGGAAACATTAAGAACTGTCCCACTTCGTCACATCTCTCCCCCCTTCTAGATCGAACTGAGCAGGGTCACTTCAGCCAGTGACCTGGGGAAATTCGAAGCCACCAATGTTCCCATGGATGCCTCAGCATCTCTCCCATTCCTTGGTAGGAGTTACACCAGGCCCTTCCAGTTTCACGCCCTGCCTTAGGTCGGGGGTGGTCGATAGCACTCACAGGCCGCATGTGGGAAGGTTTATGTGGCCCGTGCCTTTTGCCACCCCAAAACCCCTGGGGGTCAAACTGGGATTGGGTCTTCTCCCCAACAAGCTGGCCAAACACAGCCACTGGGTTATAGGACTGTTTAACTTTCTTAACAGCTTTCACTTCATCTGAGACCTTCTCAAAGCTATCCACACTGGATCTTTCAACAGGAAAGTCAGTGGATCCATTCACAACAGCAAATTTCTGGCCTTTAGCAACTGAAACTTTCTTGATGAAAGAAAAGGAGTACTTGTGGCACCTTAGAGACTAACCAATTTATTTGAGCATGAGCTTTCGTGAGCTACAGCTCACTTCAACATCTGATGAAGTGAGCTGTAGCTCACGAAAGCTCATGCTCAAATAAATTGGTTAGTCTCTACGGTGCCACAAGTACTCCTTTTCTTTTTGCGAATACAGACTAACACGGCTGTTCCTCTGAAACCTTTCTTGATGAAATCACTTTCACACCCTTCAGTGGCAGTAAACTGCTTGCAAAGACTCCATGAGGATTCCTTTCCCAAGGGCTTTTCTATGCAACAATTCACCCCTCCCAGAAATTCTGCTCTTACCCTCTTCACCGAGGGCTTGCTCTAGAGGAACACTTTCCTGAGCAACAACAGGCTCTTTCTGGGTCTCCCTTACATCCAGAATCACCTCTGGCCCATCCGGTGGATTCCTACACAATCCCCTTCCAGGCAAACTTACAGACTTCTGAGATAAAAGGTCAGAAGCATTCTCCTTCTCTTTGCCACATACAAGCTCAGGAATCTTTTCCTTCTTGCGACAGGTTTCCACACCCTCGGTAGGTAACACAATCATACACCTTCCTGCTCTCCTTGTGCCCTGGCTAGGATCTCACCCTGATCAGACAGAGCTGCGACACCCTTTCCCAACAACACACTAGCAACAGGCAAAATACAAGCACCAGAATTGTCTCAGCTCTGGGATTTTACATAGACACTAACTGGATGTGACCTAGTTACAGGGCCATTCTCCCGAGCAGACACAAACTTAGGACCCTTCCCTTCGTGGGCTTTAGCTGGATCCAGAACCAGCTCTGAGACAACTGCACGACCCTCAACCGTCACTGGCTGAAAGGCCCCTTCTGTCTGCTCCACGGACAAAGAAGAGCCGGACACACTTTCTCCCTTCCCAGACACCCAGCTTGGGATCTCATTCCCCTGGTCCCAGCACACAAGGCTGGTCACAGACAACTGCTTGGAGATCAGGGTGGCTCCCTCCATAGGCAAGTCAATACCCCTGACAGACACAGGGACGTTTCCTTCCCTGTCCCACTTCTCCACCCAGCTAACAGGTAAGGTCCAGGGACACTCATCTTCCACTCTCCTCGCCATCCAACCCTGCTGACTAGACACAGCCATCAGCTCACAAGGCTGCCTAGGCTCATCCAGACTTTCCTTACCCAGCACCTTGCCACTCCCCACAGATCCCCTGCCCTGCCTGTGTCTCCCCCCACTCAGCTGGGGTCAGCGCTGCCCTTGCTGTCCCAGTGGGGGTAGGCAGCGAGCTCGCTGCTTTCCTCACTGCATCAGAGCCAGCGTGAGCCCCCTCTCCCGTGTGCACGGGGGGCGGGGAGCCCCAGGGGTCTGGTCGCAGGCAGGCAGGTAGCCTGGGCCTAGCGGCTCCTCCCCGCTGCCAGCCAGGTTATCTGCATTTTCACTGACCATTTCCCTCTCTGCTGATTGGTTCCCTGGATTCAAATTCAAACCCTCGGCCCTTTCCGGAGCAGGGCCCGGATCCTGTCCCAAAGAGACACAGTCACCCCACAACAGGGTCTGGCAGCTGGTGTCCTGGAGAGCCCCACCCCTCCTGGGTCTGCACAGGGATCTGGGCCATAGGCAGGGTGAGGGGCTTCGTCCCTGGGACCCACACCCAGCTCACACAACCCCCCCGGCATCTGAGGCTGCACCACCCAGGGCCTGACACCAGTTCTCTGTCCCAGGATCTCGCCGTCCCAGGAATGTCTCCCCATTGACCATCCCCTTCCGCTCCCACTGGAGGTCCGAGGGGCCTGGCCCCAGGAAACTCCACACCGACATATAGGTTGGGGTCAGGAGTGGGAGCCTGTCCTCCTCCCCACCCATCGGGCTGATGGAGTCGATGGCCTTGGGACCCAGCAAGGGAGCTAGATACCGGGGCTTTTCCGCAGGGTCCCCCTGGTTCAAATTGCCAGCCTGCTCAAAGGCAGTGAGGTGGCGTCCACATCTCCCCCCTCCCCCCTCCCCCACCGCCCAGCCAGGGGCAGCAATTTAGTCTCGAGGTTCCCAGTGGAACTGGCCCCCCGGGATCTATCCCCACGCACCCCGGGGAGGTCCCCTAGGCCTCTCCGCCCCACCACCGCCAGTTCATGCTGCTGCAGCTTCTGCAGCTCTTTCTCGGGCTCTCGCTGTCTCCCACAGTCCTCTTGCTCTCTCGGACTCAGCTCCAATCCCGTCCGTCTCGATCCCCCGATGGGGAACCCGATCGTGAAGACCCTCGTCTGGTCGGGGACAGGAGTCTTGGGGGTGCCTGGCTCCCACTCCAGCTGCTCCCAGATCCTGCTCTAGCCCCAGTTGGGGTCAGGAATCTGTTCCTTCGAGCGGTCATCCTCCTCCAGCTGCACGATGAACTGTGCTTTGGTGAACTTCCCAATGCTCAACCCTCTCTTTCTGCACCGGGTTACGGTGTCCTTCTTCAGGAGACGGTGACAGGCCGTCACTCCGCTCCTCCCAAGTTGCTGCGGACTCACAGGCCTGTGTGCTCTCAGCTCCCCACGGTTTCCAGGGAGAACCCCTCTTGTGCCAGCCCTTCTCGAGGTCACCCCCTCTTTGCCAGGGTCGAGCGGCAGACTCCTCCAGCCCTGGGACCACTTGCTGCAATCCCCCAGTGGACCCTGTTATTGCCAAAGTCCTTCTCTCTCCCAGGGCCAAGCCGCAGGCTCCTCCGCCCCTGAGACTGCTCACCACAGTCCCCAGGGGGACCCCATTACTGCACAGTCCTTCTTGCTGGTCACACACTCCCAGGGGTTAACCGCCCCCCGAAACCGCTCCTCTCTGAGCCTTCAGCGCACCTGGTCCCCGTCAATCCCCCTTTGTTTTACTGCTCCCCCGTCGCTTACTGCAGGAAGCACCGTCCACGGGTGCAGTACATCCCACCGCTGCCACGGGGTCCCCGGGCGATGCTCTGGGCCTGCTCCCTACGAAGCCAGGCAGGACTCTGGGGGAGTCTCCTCTCGGGGAGCAGCCTGTCTGCAGGACAAGAAGCTCCCCCGGCTTCCCCCTTCCTGGGTCTGACCCCGGAGCCTCCAGCCTCCTCTGCCCCTCCGTGCGCTTCCCACAGTGAGTCCACCCAGGCGGGGTCCTGAGGGGGCCAGAGGGTCCTGCCCCCCAACTCCGCAGTCAGACGGGACTCTCAGCCAGCCGGGGAAACGGAAGGTTTATTAGACGACAGGAACAGGGTCTAACACAGAGCTTGTAGGTGCAGAGAACGAGACCCCTCAGCTGGGTCCATTCTGGGGGGCAGTGAACCAGACAACCCCATCTGCCCTTCACTCCATGTCCCAGCCAGCCCCAAACTGAAACTCCCTCCAGCCCCCCCCTGCTCTGGGCTTTGTCCCTGTCCCTGATCCCTTTGTTCTCCAACCCTTTAGCTCTCACCTGGCAGGGGGAAGGGCCCAGGCCATCAGTTGCCAGGAAACAGGGTGTTGGCCACTGTCTGTGTCCAGACCCCTGCACACACCTGCCCTCTAGGCTCTGCAACGACCATACCCCCCCCATCCCACCCCCTAGAGACTTAAGAACTGCCTAGGGGAAACTGAGGCCCCTCCACACTATTCAGAGGAAACATTAAGAACTGTCCCACTTCGTCACAGTGGGTAACCCCAGGGGGGAGCCGAGCATTGTGGGTAACCCTGCGGTGCCCGCAGCGGGACGGAGCCCAGGGACGACAGCGTGGTGATTGTGGGTGACCCGGGGGGGAGGGGGCGCTGAGCGTTGTGGGGTGACTGGGGGTGGGGGCGCCGAGCGTTGTGGGTAACCCTGCGGTGCCCGCAGTGGGTGCGTGGTGACTGTGGGTGACCCGCGGGGGAGGGGCGAGCGTTGTGGGTGACGCGGGGGGGGGCGAGCGTTGTGGGTGACCCTGCGGTGCCCGCAGTGGGTGCGTGGTGACTGTGGGTGACCCGCGGGGGGGGGGGAGCGTTGTGGGTGACCCGGGGGGGCGCCGAGCGTTGTGGGTGACCCTGCGGTGCCCACAGCGGGACGGAGCACGGGGACGACTGCGTGGTGATCGTGGACGACGAGGGGGAGGAGGACGAGGTGCAGGAAATCATGGACGAGGAAGAGGATGGCGAGGAAGGTGAGTAACGGGGTCCCTAGGTAACGCCCCCCCCGGGGGGGCTGTCTCTGCAGCGGGCTTCATGAAGGGGGCAGGGCTGGGTGAGCAGGGGCTGTGGGTCGGGGGGGGCATGGGTCAGGATTGGGGGGTGCTGGTGGAGTGGGGAAGGATTCGGGGGGTGCTGGTGGAGTGCGAGGCCAGGGGTGGGGCTTGGCGTAGGATTGGGGGTGCTGGTGGAGTGGGGAAGGATTCGGGGGGGGCCGGTGGAGCAGGGAGGCTGTGGGTGGGGGGGCTGTGGGTCAGGATTGGGGGGGCACCAGCCGTACCCATGTCTGTCCCCCCCACAGGCAGCACGGTGGAGGAGCGGATGGTGGAGGCGGCCGGCCGGGGCTCAGAGCCGGAGGAAGACGGTTGATCCGCTGCCCCCCCCCGCCCCACCAGCACCCGAAGATGGACCAGGCTCTCCCCCCCTCCCCGCCCCCCAGCGCCTTCTGCTGGGGCTGGACTCTGTGACTGAGCTTTGCCCCCGGCCCCCCGGCCTGGGGTCGCTTCCCGCTCCGGGCTTGGAGCAGTCATTGAGGGCGACCGCAGTTCCCAGCCTGGCCATGGGGGGGCAGCGCTCCCCACTGTGTCGCCAGGGGGCAGTCGTCTGTGGGGCCGTGCTGGCGTTGGGGGTCGGCCCAGGGCGCTGGGGGCAGGGTGGGTCAATACCCCCCCCCCCACTGTCTGTGGGGTCCTGCCTGGCTGTGGGAGAGGGGCATTGTGGGTAATTCCCCCCCCCGTAGCGGGGTGGGGCCTTGCGCCCCCAGTGGCCTTTTACTGAGCAGCTCAGGGTCTTGTTCCATTAACTGTGCTCAGGGGTCGGCTGTTAACTCCCCCCCCAGCCTGGGGCCCCCCAGGGCCAGCTGCCAGCCTCAGGGCCCCCCCACCTCTGCTGCACCCCCCCAGCGCAATCCCATCAGCCCCTGGGGCCGGGCACGACTCTGCCCATCCGTGTGGGGGGTGCTCTCCCTGGCGATCGGGCTGGGTGCTGGGGGGCACCCTGGAGCCGGCCCCTCTGATGTCTTGTAGCCATGGGTGGAGGCGCCCCCCATGGCCGCCCCCCATGGCCGCCCCGTGCAACGCTACTGATGTGGGGGGCAGTGCCCGCCCAGGGGTTGTGCCCAGCCTGCGAAAACAAAGCACTTAATAGACGGAGAGATTTCACCCGCCCGGCTCCTTCCTGGCGCGCCGCCCCCCACCATGGGGCCCCCTGCCCGCCCGCCGTGGGGCTCCCTGTCCCCCTGCCTGCCCGCCGTGGGGTCCCTTGTCCCCCTGCCTGCCCGCCATGGGGTCCTCTGTCCCCCTGTCCCCCTGCCTGCCCGCCGTGGGGTCCTCTGTCCCCCCGTCCCCCTGCCTGCCTGCCGTGGGGTCTCCCGTCCCCTGCCCGCCATGGGGTCCTCTGTCCCCCCGTCCCCCTGCCTGCCCGCCATGGGGTCCTCTGTCCCCCCCGTCCCCCTGCCTGCCCACCGGGGGGTCTCCCGTCCCCTGCCCGCTGTGGGGTCCTCTGTCCCCCCGTCCCCCTGCCTGCCCGCCGTGGGGTCCCCCGTCCCCCTGCCATGGGCCCCTCGTCCCACCTGGGGTGTCCTTTCTCCCCACGTAGCTGTCTGAGCAAAGGGGCCACAGCAGACCCCACTTCCCCCAGCTGGGAGAGAACCCAGGCGTCCTGGCCCCCCGCACACCCCATGGCCAGGGTGGGGGAGTTGCCGAGTCTCGAGGTCTCAGGGTCTGTTTGGGTCTCGGGGCGGGGGCTCCTGGGGGGCGACACGGGGGGTGCAAGGGCTTATGGGGCAGCAGAGATCTTCCCAGCATGCCCCTGGCCTAGACTGGGTGGGGGGTCACCCCTGCTTGGCTGCCAGGGGGCTCCCCAAATCCTCCTAGATCTGTCCCCCCCCCAGCTGCTCCGCCCCCCCCCCCCACTTCCCTCCAGGCAGGTCCCAGCCCCGGTGCAGTTCCGGGCCCCGCCCCCAGCCAGGTATGTGCGGGGAGGGGTTAACGGGGGGGGGATCAGCTGCTGGGCCCGGGATTGGCCGGGGGATTATCGGCCCCCTTCGTCCTGGGACCTTCCCACCGCGGGGGGGGCCGAGGTCTCAACCCCCCCCGGACGCCGAGCGGGGACGGAGACGCCTGGGAGCCGGGACAGACTCGGGGTAAGGGCCCCCCCAGCCCGCCGGTGCCCCCCTCTCCCGACCCGCAGCCCGCCGGTGCCCCCCTCTCCCGACCCGCAGCCCCCTGCCGGTGCCCCTCCCTCCCGACCCCCCAGCCCGCCGGTGCCCCTCACTCCCGACCCCCAGCCCCTCCCAACCCGCCGGGGCCCCTCACTCCCGACCCGCAGCCCCCCCCAGCCCGCCGGTGCCCCTCACTCCCGACCCGCAGCCCCCCCCAGCCCGCCGGTGCCCCCCTCTCCCGACCCCCAGCCCGCCGGTGCCCCTCACTCCCGACCCGCAGCCCCCCCCAGCCCGCCGGTGCCCCCCTCTCCCGACCCCCAGCCCGCCGGTGCCCCTCACTCCCGACCCGCAGCCCCCCCCCCAGCCCGCCGGTGCCCCTCACTCCCGACCCGCAGCCCCCTGCCGGTGCCCCTCACTCCCGACCCGCAGCCCCCCCAGCCCGCCGGTGCCCCTCATTCCCGACCCGCAGCCCCCCCCAGCCCGCCGGTGCCCCTCACTCCCGACCCGCAGCCCCCCAGCCCCCCCCCCGTGCCCGCCGGTGCCCCTCCCTCCCGACCCCCAGCCCCCCCCCAGTCCGCTGGTGCCCCTCCCTCCCGATCCACAGCCCCCCACCCCGCCGGTGCCCCTCACTCCCGACCTGCAGCCCCTGCTCCCCTGGATTTTGTCTGCTTCGCTTTGCCCTGCGGGACGCAGGGGCTGGTGGGGCCGGGGCGCAGGGGCAGCCGCCCGCATTGGGACAGGAAGTGAAGGAGCCCCCTCCGCCAACCCCCAACTGCAAGGACGGGGGGGGCACATTTCGGGACTGGCCCGAGGAAAGGGGGGGGCTGCATATCTCAGCATGCACCTGGCCGCACCTGGGGGGTGGAGCCTGCAGGTTGTAGCCCGCGCAGCTGGGGGCCTGCTGCGGGGGGGGAGCAGGGAGATCAGCTCCCGCACGCACGGGTCTGGGGGGGCCCACATGCCTTGTCTCCTGGTTTCACCCCATTGCTCTGCCCGCAGGGCATGGGGCTTGGAGGGGGGGCCCCGGCCAGGGGGGCACTTGGGGGTTGGTTACTTCCCAGGGGCTCTGATGGGGGGGTCCCCAGCAGGGGAGGGGCTCGGCTGGGTTATCCCAGCCCCTCCCCCCCCAGCAAGGGGGGATGGGGGGGCAGCGCAGCCCTGGGAAGCGGCTTGCCCGGCCATACACCTGTGCCCCCCCAGGGGGTGTGTGGGTCGCCCCTGCCCCACTGCACCCCCCAGCGCTCAGCCCTGCCTGCTAGGGGAGAGGGCCTACCCCACTCCCAGCCCCCCACCCAGCCCTCTGCCCCCCACCTACCTCTTCTCCTTCTCCCACAGGTGCTGCCTGCCCCTGCCATGGCCCCCCCAGCGCCTGCCCTCCTGCTGGGGTTGGTGCTGCCCTGTGCCCTGGCCTGGTCCACCCCCCTCAGCGCCCCCCGCGTCTCCCTGTCCTACGCAGGTGAGGGGCGGGGGTGGTGCAGCCTGCGTGGTCCGTCGTGCACACGGGCTCCCAGTAGCGGCCGTGCGGGGGGGGGGCATGTGGCACGAGTCACACGTGCGTGCAAAGCGTGCGTCCACGGTGAGAGACGTGTGCAGAGACGTGCCGGTGAACACGTGTTCCTGGGCGCCGGTGCACACGCGTGTCCGTGCGAGCAGACGGGCTGCTGAGCCCCATGCCGTGTCACTAGGGGGCACGTGGTGCGGAGGTACCCACGGTGCCCCCCGCAACCCCCCCTTGCTGGGGACTCCGGGATCCGGTTACCCGGCCGGCCGCAGGGAGCGGCTTTCCCAGAAGAGCTTAAAATACCCAGAATGCCGAGTAGGGCTGAGCTCCGCCCGCCTCCTCTGTCGTGCAACACGCCGACCCGCTGTGCAATGCACCAGGACCAGCCCCCCCACCGTGCAATGCACCAACCAGCCAGGCAATGGGCTGGGAACGCCCCTAGCCGTGCAAAGCACCATCCGGCCATGCAACGCACCAGGACCAGCCCCCCCACTGTGCAGTGCACCATCCAGCCGTGCAATGCACCAGGACCAGCCCCCCAGCCATGCAATGCATCATCCGGCCATGCAATACACCAGGACCAGCCCCCCAGCCATGCAAAGCACCATGCAGTCATGCAATACACCAGGACCAGCCCCCCCCACCGTGCAATGCACCAACCAGCCAGGCAATGGGCCGGGAACGCCCCTAGCCGTGCAAAGCACCATCCAGCCGTGCAATGCACCAGGACCAGCTCCCCCCACCGTGCAATGCACCAACCAGCCAGGCAATGGGCCGGGAACCCCCCCAGCCGTGCAAAGCACCATCCAGTCATGCAACGCACCAGGACCAGCCCCCCCCACCGTGCAGTGCACCATCCAGCCGTGCAATGCACCAGGACCAGCCCCCCCCACCGTGCAATGCACCAACCAGCCAGGCAATGGGCCGGGAACCCCCCCAGCTGTGCAAAGCACCATCCAGTCATGCAATACATCAGGACCAGCCCCCCCCATCGTGCAATGCACCATCCAGCCGTGCAATGCAGGGGGCAGTGGGGGGCTGCCCCCCCATTGTCTCAGTCCCCGCCTGGCTGGATATAGCTGTGACACACGCCCCAGACACGCTGCAGCAGGTCACCCCCAAAGCCTGCAAAGCCTGGGGCTTGTGGGGATTTCCGGCAGGACGCCTGGGTCCCGTCCCAGGTGCCGAGAGGGCAGCGGGGGCTGGTGGGTTAGAGCGGGGGGCTGGGAGCCAGGACTCCTGGGTTCTATCCCTGGCTCTAGGAAGGAAATGGGGTCTAGTGGTTAGAGTGGGGGGGGCCTAGCGGCTAGCCCCCCCTTCTGCCCCAGAAACCTGCCCTTGGCCCCGGCTCTCAGACCCTGGCCCGCGTAGCGCCCTGGCCTGGAATCTCCCCCCGGGTTTGACACGCTCAAGGTCACTGCAGGTGGGAAGCTCGCAGCACGGCCTGGCACGGGGCTGGAATGCGGCCGGGGGATTTCAGGGATTATTTCTGGGCTTTGCTGTGCCTCCCCCCCCACCCCCAAAATACCCCCTGAGCTCAGCCAGCGCCAGGCAGATTAACGGGGGGTGGGGACCACTCCAGCTGCTGCCTGGGGGGGGGGGGGAGGGCTAGGACTCCTGGGTTCTCAGGGGGTAAGAGTGGAGGGGGGGGCTGGGAGCCAGGACGCCTGGGTTCTCTCCCGGCTCTGGGAGGGGAGTGGGGGCTGGTGGTTAGAGTGGGGGTGGGGGTGGGGAGCCCGGATGCCTGGGTCCCATCCCATCTCCATCGCCCCCCCACCCCCAGAGCTCCTGCAGACCCGCACCGCCCGGCCCTTTGCTTTCGCCTTCAACACCAGTGACTATCGGATCCTGCTGCTGGACCAGGACCAGGACCGGCTCTACCTGGGGGCCCGCGACTACCTGGTGGCCCTGGACCTCCACAACGTCAACAGGGAGCCGCTCATCGTAAGGGGCGCCCCCTGCTGGGCGCCCGGACGCCTGGGTCCTCTCTGGGCGGGGGGTGGGTCTAGTGGTTAGAGGAGGGGGGATGGGAGCAAGGACTCCTGGGTTCTCTCCCCAGCTCTGGGAGGGGGTGGGGTCTAGTGGTTGGAGCAGTGGGGGGGGGCGGGGAGCCAGGACTCCTGGGTTCTCTCCCCAGCTCTGGGATGGGAGTGGGGTCTTGTGGTTGGAGCGGTGGGGGGGGGGCTGGGAGTCCTGACTCCTGGGTTCCCTGGGAGGGGTGGAGGGCGCTGGGAGTCGGGGAGCACACAGACTCTGGGGGGCTGGTTCTGGGGTCCCCATCTCTGACCCACTGTCTCCTCTCCCTAGATCCACTGGCCGGCATCCCAGAGTCAGCAGAGCGCCTGCCGCATGGCGGGGAAGGGGCAGCGGGTGAGATGGGGCAGGGACCCCCCAGCGCCCCCCGCCCTGTCACCCCTCTCCTGAGACCACGCAGGGCTTCCCCAGTGACCTCTGTGGGTCTGCCCCCCTCCTGGGAATCCGCCCCTCCGTGCCCCCCCGTGATCCCTGGGGATCAGCCCCCAGCTGCAGCCCCCTGGAACCCATTTGTCTCTGCCCCCCATGTCCTGCTGAGATTCCCCTCCCCCCCATTCGAGTCCCAGCCCTGCCCCGACTCACCCCGTCCCGTCTGCCCCCCCCCAGGGCGAGTGTTTCAACTACGTGCGTCTGGTCGAACCCCTGAACCGCACCCACCTCTACGTCTGCGGGACGGGGGCCTGCCAGCCCGTCTGCGCCCTGGTGCACCGCGGCTGGCGGTCACAGGTGAGCCGGACGCCTGGGTCCCACCCACCGCCAGGGCAGGGGGCTGGGGGTTAGACGGGGGGCTGGGAGCCCGGACTCCTGGGTTCTCTCCCTGGCTCTGGGAGGGGAGTGGGGGCCAGAAGGTTAGACGGGGGGGGCTGGGAGCCCGGACTCCTGGGTTCTCTCCCTGGCTCTGGGAGGGGAGTGGGGGCCGGAAGGTTAGACGGGGGGGCTGGGAGCCCGGACTCCTGGTTCTCCCCCCGGCTCTGGGAGGGGAGTGGGGGCTGGAAGGTTAGACGGGGGGGCTGGGAGCCCGGACTCCTGGTTCTCCCCCCGGCTCTGGGAGGGGAGTGGGGGCTGGAAGGTTAGATGAGGGGCTGGGAGCCCGGACTCCTGGGTTCTCCCCTGGCTCGGGGCGGGGGTAGCCAGGGCAGGGTGCTGGTGGGGGGAAGAGCTCTGACCCCCCGTCCCCCCCCAGGAGTACCTGTTCCGCATGGTGCCGTGGTCCCTGGAGCCGGGGAAGGGGCGCTGCCCGTACGACCCCCGTCAGAGCAGCCTGGCCACGCTCGTCAGTAAGTGGGGGCTGGGGGGGCAGGGTCCATCGGTCCCCCAGGGGGACCCTGCTCGGGGGGGGGCCCTGCTCTGTGCGGGGGGGTCTCACTCCCCCCTCCCCCCAGCAGATGGGACACTCTACGCTGGGCTGCACGTGGATTTCATGGGCACCGATGCGGCCCTTTTCCGCACCATGGGCCCCCGGCCGGCCGTTCGCACGGAGCGGCACGACTCCCGCTGGCTGCACGGTATGGGGGCAGGGGGGCGGGGGGCTGCGGGAGGTTAGGGGGGCTGCGGGGCGGGAGTGAGGGGCGCCGGCCAGGCAGGGGGGGCTGCGGGAGGTTAGGGGGGCTGCGGGGCGGGAGTGACGGGGCGCCGGCCGGGCGGGGGGGGCTGCGGGAGGTTAAGGGGGGCTGCGGGGCGGGAGTGAGGGGTGCCGGCCGGGCGGGGGGGGCTGCGGGAGGTTAAGGTGGGCTGCGGGGCGGGAGTGAGGGGGCGCCGGCCGGGCGGGGGGGGTTGCGGGTCGGGAGTGAGGGGCGCCGGCCGGGCGGGGGGGGGCTGCGGGAGGTTAAGGGGGGCTGCGGGGCGGGAGTGAGGGGGCGCCGGCCGGGCGGGGGGGGCTGCGGGAGGTTAAGGGGGGCTGCGGGGCGGGAGTGAGGGGGCGCCGGCCGGGCGAGGGGGGCTGCGGGAGGTTAAGGGGGGCTGCGGGGCGGGAGTGAGGGGGCGCCGGCCGGGCGGGGGGGGCTGCGGGAGGTTAAGGGGGGCTGCGGGGCGGGAGTGAGGGGGCGCCGGCCGGGCGGGGGGGGGCTGCGGGAGGTTAAGGGGGCTGCGGGGCGGGAGTGAGGGGCGCCGGCCGGGCGGGGGGGGCTGCGGGAGGTTAAGGGGGCTGCGGGCCGGGAGTGAGGGGCGCCGGCCGGGCGGGGGGGGCTGCGGGAGGTTAAGGGGGGCTGCGGGCCGGGAGTGAGGGGCGCCGGCCGGGCGGGGGGGCTGCGGGAGGTTAAGGGGGCTGCGGGGGCGGGAGTGAGGCGCGCCGGCCGGGCGGGGGGGCTGCGGGAGGTTAAGGGGGCTGCGGGGCGGGAGTGAGGGGGCGCCGGCCGGGCGGGGGGGGGCTGCGGGAGGTTAAGGGGGGCTGCGGGGCGGGAGTGAGGGGCGCCGGCCGGGGGGGGGGGCTGCGGGAGGTTAAGGGGGGCTGCGGGGCGGGAGTGAGGGGCGCCGGCCGGGCGGGGGGGGCTGCGGGAGGTTAAGGGGGCTGCGGGGCGGGAGTGAGGGGCGCCGGCCGGGCGGGGGGGCTGCGGGAGATTAAGGGGGGCTGCGGGGCGGGAGTGAGGGGCGCCGGCCGGGCGGGGGGGGTTGCGGGTCGGGAGTGAGGGGGCGCCGGCCGGGCGGGGGGGCTGCGGGAGGTTAAGGGGGCTGCGGGGCGGGAGTGAGGCGCGCCGGCCGGGCGGGGAGGGGGCTGCGGGAGGTTAAGGGGGGCTGCGGGCCGGGAGTGAGGGGCGCCGGCCGGGCGGGGGGGGGGCTGCGGGAGATTAAGGGGGCTGCGGGGCGGGAGTGAGGGGCGCCGGCTGGGCGGGGGGGGGCTGCGGGAGGTTAAGGGGGTTGCGGGGCGGGAGTGAGGGGCGCCGGCCGGGCGGGGGGGCTGCGGGAGGTTAAGGGGGCTGCGGGCCGGGAGTGAGGGGCGTCGGCCGGGCGGGGGGGCTGCGGGAGGTTAAGGGGGCTGCGGGGCGGGAGTGAGGGGGCGCCGGCCGGGCGGGGGGGGGCTGCGGGAGATTAAGGGGGGCTGCGGGGCGGGAGTGAGGGGCGCCGGCCGGGCGGGGGGGGCTGCGGGAGGTTAAGGGGGGCTGAGGGGCGGGAGTGAGGGTCGCCGGCCGGGGGCGGGGGGCTGCGGGAGGTTAAGGGGGGCTGCGGGGCGGGAGTGAGGGGCGCCGGCCGGGCGGGGGGGGCTGCGGGAGGTTAAGGGGGCTGCGGGGCGGGAGTGAGGGGGCGCCGGCCGGGCGGGGGGGGCTGCGGGTGATTAAGGGGGGCTGCGGGGCGGGAGTGAGGCGCGCCGGCCGGGCGGGAGGGGGCTGCGGGAGGTTAAGGGGGGCTGCGGGCCGGGAGTGAGGGGCGCCGGCCGGGCGGGGGGGGTTGCGGGTCGGGAGTGAGGGGCGCCGGCCGGGCGGGGGGGGGCTGCGGGAGGTTAAGGGGGGCTGCGGGCCGGGAGTGAGGGGCGCCGGCCGGGGGGGGGGCTGCGGGAGGTTAAGGGGGGCTGCGGGGCGGGAGTGAGGGGCGCCGGCCGGGCGGGGGGGGCTGCGGGAGGTTAAGGGGGCTGCGGGGCGGGAGTGAGGGGCGCCGGCCGGGGGGGGGGCTGCGGGAGGTTAAGGGGGCTGCGGGGCGGGAGTGAGGGGCGCCGGCCGGGCGGGGGGGCTGCGGGAGGTTAAGGGGGCTGCGGGGCGGGAGTGAGGGGCGCCGGCCGGGGGGGGGGCTGCGGGAGGTTAAGGGGGGCTGCGGGGCGGGAGTGAGGGGCGCCGGCCGGGCGGGGGGGCTGCGGGAGGTTAAGGGGGGCTGCGGGGGCGGGAGTGAGGGGCGCCGGCCGGGCGGGGGGGGCTGCGGGAGGTTAAGGGGGGCTGCGGGGCGGGAGTGAGGGGCGCCGGCCGGGCGGGGGGGGGCTGCGGGAGGTTAAGGGGGCTGCGGGGCGGGAGTGAGGGGCGCCGGCCGGGCGGGGGGGCTGCGGGAGATTAAGGGGGCTGCGGGGCGGGAGTGAGGGGGCGCCGGCCGGGCGGGGGGGGCTGCGGGAGGTTAAGGGGGGCTGCGGGGCGGGAGTGAGGGGCGCCGGCCGGGCGGGGGGGGCTGCGGGAGATTAAGGGGGGCTGCGGGGCGGGAGTGAGGGGCGCCGGCCGGGCGGGGGGGGGCTGCGGGAGGTTAAGGGGGGCTGCGGGGCGGGAGTGAGGGGGCGCCGGCCGGGGGGGGGGGCTGCGGGAGGTTAAGGGGGCTGCGGGGCGGGAGTGAGGGGCAGCGGCCGGGCGGGGGGGGGCTGCGGGAGGTTAAGGGGGGCTGCGGGGCGGGAGTGAGGGGCGCCGGCCGGGCGGGGGGGGCTGCGGGAGGTTAAGGGGGGCTGCGGGGCGGGAGTGAGGGGCGCCGGCCGGGCGGGGGGGCTGCGGGAGATTAAGGGGGGCTGCGGGGCGGGAGTGAGGGGCGCCGGCCGGGCGGGGGGGGCTGCGGGAGGTTAAGGGGGGCTGCGGGGCGGGAGGATGCTCCGGGTGAGCAGCGCCCCCTGGTGGCAGACGCGGGCCTCGCACTCACCCGGGCTCTGCCCCCCGCAGACCCCGTGTTCCTCCGGGCCCACGTGGTGCCGGACAGCAGCGAGCGCGGCGACGACAAGCTGTATTTCTTCTTCCGCGAGAAGGCCCTGGAGGGCGCCGTGGGGCCCGGCGTGCTGGCCCGGGTCGGCCGGGTCTGTCTGGTGAGCGTGGCGCCGGGGGGCGCTGGGGGGGGCGGGGGGTCTCCGTGCCCCCGCGCGCCAGGCGAGCCGATCCTTGCCCCCGTTTCTCCCCCAGAACGATGACGGTGGGCAGCGGGCCCTGGTCGGCAAGTGGACGACGTTCCTGAAGGCCCGGCTGGTTTGCTCCGTGGTGGGCGAGGACGGGGTGGAGACCTTCTTCGACGAGCTGCGTGAGCCGGGGGGGGCCGGGGGGCCGGGTCCTAACTCGGGGCTCAGTCTGAGCCGTCGCTGGACGCCCGCGAATTCCTCGTGCCGGCCGGGACGCGTCCGAGCCGCGGGAGAGTCAGGGCCCGGCCCCGGCGTGACAGGGACGTTTTCCCGGCTCTGCCGGGCTGGGGTCCACCCTCCGGCTCTGGGGCAGGTCCCAGCCGCGGTCTCACCCCACGGCCCAGGTTACTACGTGCGATTCCCGGGGACACTGATGTTCAGCGGGTTACGAGCTTTCGGGCGACCCCTCGCCAGGCAGCCGTCAGAGCGGGGACCGTAGCGGTGTAGACGGTCACAGGGGCCGGGGGGGTGAATTCAGCTGTGGAAGGTCACAGACAGGGGGCGGGGGCCTGGATCCCTGGGATCTCTCCCCAGCTGTGGGCAGGGAGTGGAGTACAGCAGCGAGGGAGGGGAGGGGAGGGGAGCCCGGACGCCTGGGTTCTATCTGATTCATCTCCCCCCTCCCGCCCCCCATTTCCAGGAGATGTGTTCCTGCTGCCGACTCAGGACGAGAAGAACCCCTGGGTGTACGGGCTGTTCTCCACCCTGGGGTGAGTCGGGGGGCTGGGGCGGGGATTGGGGGGAGTAACAGGGGCAGGGGGTGCTGGGCACTTGGGGGTGCTGGGCACTTGGGAGGTGGGTTCTCAGAGGGGGCAGGGTGACCCCGGGGGGGCTGGGCGGTCTGTAACCCCCCTGTGTCCCCCAGGTCGGTGTTCCGGGGCTCGGCCGTCTGCGTGTACCCCCTGAGTGCCATCCGCAGTGCGTTCAACGGCCCCTTCGCCCACAAAGAGGGGCACAGCTACGAGTGGGTGCCCTACACGGGCCGCGTGCCCTACCCCCGCCCCGGAGCCGTGAGTGGTGGGGCTGGGAGCCCGGACGCCTGGGTTCTCTCCCCGGCTCTGGGAGGGGAGTGGGCTCTGGTGGTTAGAGCAGGGGGGGGCTGGGAGCCCGGACGCCAGGGTTCTCTCCCCGGCTCTGGGAGGGGAGTGGGCTCTCGTGATTAGAGCAGGGGGGGGCTGAGAGCCCAGACGTCTGGGTTCTCCCCCCGGCTCTGGGAGGGGAGTGGGCTCTGGTGGTTAGAGAGGGGGTCGGGCAGGGAGCCCGGACGCCTGGGTTCTCCCCCCAGCTCTGGGAGGGGAGTGGGCCTGGTGGTTAGAGCAGGGGGGGGAGCCGGAGCCTGGGTTCTCCCCGGCTCTGGGAGGGGAGTGGGCTCTGGTGGTTAGAGAGGGGGTCGGGCAGGGAGCCCGGACGCCTGGGTTCTCCCCCAGCTCTGGGAGGGGAGTGGGCTCTGGTGGTTAGAGCAGGGGGGGCAGGGAGCCCGGACGCCTGGGTTCTCCCCCCGGCTCTGGGAGGGGAGTGGGCTCTGGTGGTTACAGCAGGGGGGGCAGGGAGCCCGGACGCCTGGGTTCTCCCCCCAGCTCTGGGAGGGGAGTGGGCTCTGGTGGTTAGAGCAGGGGGGGCAGGGAGCCCGGACGCCTGGGTTCTCTCCCGCTCTGTCCCCGCAGTGCCCGGGCGGGGCCTTCACCCCGGGGCTGGGCTCCACGCGCGAGTTCCCGGACGAGCTGGTGACGTTCGTGCGTTCGCACCCGCTGATGTACGACCCCGTGTACCCGGTGCCACGCCGCCCCCTGCTGGTCCGCGCCGGCCTCCGCTACGGCTTCACCACGCTGGCCGTCGACCTGGCGCAGGCGGCCGACGGGCGCTACGAGGTGCTCTTCCTCGGCACGGGTACGCAGGACGCCGGGGTCCCATCCCTGGCCCGGGGGGTGGGGGTTGGGAGCCCGGACGCCTGGGTCCCCGGGCGGGGGCAGGGATTCCCCATCTCAGGTGCTCTCTCCCCTCCCCCCAGACCGGGGCACGGTGCAGAAAGTGGTGGTGCTGCCGAAGGACCCAGGCGTCCTGGAGGAGCTGACGCTGGAGGAGGTGGAGGTGTTCAAGGTGAGAGGCCCCGCCCCTGCTGCCCAGGCCCCGCCCCTTTCCCCCTCCCTTCCCTCTGGCCCCGCCCCTTTTTGCTGCACCCTTGCATCCTAGCCCCGCCCCTTCCCACCAGGCCCTGCCTTCTATGGCTCCTCCCCCTCCCTGTAGGCCCTGCCTCCTCTTGGGCTCTTCACAGTCACCAGGCCCCGCCTCCTTCTCTGGCTCCGCCCCCCTTAGCCAGGCCCCACCTCCTTCCTAGGCTCCGCCTCTTCCTGCCCCACTTCTCACCACCCTGCCTGTCTCCCCACAGGCCCCAGTCCCAGTGAAGACGCTCTGGATTTCCTCAAAGCGGGTAGGTCAGGGGTGGGGCTGAGGCTACAGACTGGGGCTCGCAGGCAGGCAGAAGGGGCTGGGAGCCAGGACGCCTGGGTTCTCTCCCCGGCTCTGCGAGGGGAGTGGGGGCTGGTGGTTAGTGCAGGGGGGCTGGGAGCCAGGACGCCTGGGTTCTCTCCCTGGCTCTGCGAGGGGAGTGGGGGCTGGTGGTTAGTGCAGGGGGGGCTGGGAGCCTGGACGCCTGGGTTCTCTCCCCGGCTCTGCGAGGGGAGTGGGGGCTGGTGGTTAGTGCAGGGGGGCTGGGAGCCAGGACGCCTGGGTTCTCTCCCCGGCTCTGCGAGGGGAGTGGGGGCTGGTGGTTAGTGCAGGGGGGCTGGGAGCCAGGACGCCTGGGTTCTCTCCCCGGCTCTGCGAGGGGAGTGGGGGCTGGTGGTTAGTGCAGGGGGGCTGGGAGCCAGGACGCCTGGGTTCTCTCCCCGGCTCTGCGAGGGGAGTGGGGGCTGGTGGTTAGTGCAGGGGGGCTGGGAGCCAGGACGCCTGGGTTCTCTCCCCGGCTCTGCGAGGGGAGTGGGGGCTGGTGGTTAGTGCAGGGGGGCTGGGAGCCTGGACGCCTGGGTTCTCTCCCCGGCTCTGCGAGGGGAGTGGGGGCTGGTGGTTAGTGCAGGGCGGGCTGGGAGCCTGGACGCCTGGGTTCTCTCCCCGGCTCTGCGAGGGGAGTGGGGGCTGGTGGTTAGTGCAGGGGGGGCTGGGAGCCTGGACGCCTGGGTTCTCTCCCTGGCTCTGCGAGGGGAGTGGGGGCTGGTGGTTAGTGCCGGGGTCTGGCAGGGGTCTGTGGGTCGTGGGGGGGTCTGTCCGTGCGTCCGTCCCTCAGGTGCGTGTCTGTCCCCAGCACCAGCTGTATGTCTCCTCGGACGTGGGGCTGGCCCAGCTGAGCCTCCATCGCTGTGGGGCCTACGGCCCGGCCTGCGCCGACTGCTGCCTGGCCCGGGACCCCCACTGCGCTTGGGACGGGCACCGCTGCACCCGCTACAGCCCCGCCCCCGGCAGGTGAGTGCCCGGACGCCGGGGTCCCGCGCCCCCAGGGAGGGGACTTGCCAAAGCCACGCTCCGGCACCACTTACCGCGGGGGGGCCAGAGGGGGCGGGGCGGCAGGGACAGCCGGGGGGGAGGTGGCAGGAACTGACGCTGTATCCCCCCCCCGCCAGGCGTGTCCGGCGCCAGGACATCAAACACGGAGACCCCCTTCGCCAGTGCCGGGGCTTCAACGCCCAGGGTGAGTGCCCCTCGTGGGGGGATGGGGGCAGCCAGGACGCCTGGGTTCGAACCCCAGCCCTGGGGGGGGGGCTGGGAGCCAGGACGCCTGGGTTCAAACCCCAGCCCTGGGGGAGGAGTGGGGGTCTGGTGATTAGAGTGGGGGGGCTGGGAGCCAGGACTCCTGGGTTCAAACCCCAGCCCTGGGGGGGGGGCTGGGAGCCAGGACTCCTGGGTTCAATCCCCAGCCCTGGGGGAGGAGTGGGGGTCTGGTGATTAGAGTGGGGGGGCTGGGAGCCAGGACACCTGGGTTCAATCCCCGGTTCTGGGGGGGGGCTGGGAGCCAGGACTCCTGGGTTCAATCCCCAGCCCTGGGGGAGGAGTGGGGGTCTGGTGATTAGAGTGGGGGGGCTGGGAGCCAGGACACCTGGGTTCAATCCCCGGTTCTGGGGCGGGGCTGGGAGCCAGGACTCCTGGGTTCAATCCCTGGCTCGGGGGGGTGTCTCTGTTGCTCTCCCCCCTGACGTGTGTCTCCCCCCCAGGCGAGCAGGAGCTGGCGGAGCAGGTGCAGTTCGGGGTGGAGGGGGGCAGCGTCTTCCTGGAGTGCCGTCCCCCCTCCCCCCGCGCCCAGGTCCGGTGGCTGCTGCAGCTGGAGGGTGGCACCCGGCGCCCGGTGAGTGACCCCCCCGCTGCGCGGTGACCCCCAGTCCCAGCCCCGTCTGACCCCGTCCCCCGTGTCTCTCTCTGCCCCCCAGCTGCCCCGGGAGCGGGTTCTCCTGCAGACGCCCCAGGGGGTCCTGCTGGGCCCGGTGACGCCGTCGGACGGGGGCCGGTACCAGTGCGTGGGCACCGAGAACAGCTACACGCGCCCCCTGCATCGCCTGCTGCTCCGGGTCCTGCCCCGCGGCCTGCTGGGGGGCCCCCTGCCCCCCGCCTGCCGGAGCCAGTGGGGCCGGCCCCGCCCCGGAGCCGGGCAGGGGGGCCACAACGGGACCCGGACCGGAGCCGTGGCCTTTGGACCCAGCCCGGGGGGCCCGGATCGGCGACGGGACCGTTCCGGAGCCAGCCGGCGCCCCCCACCCCGGAACTGACTGAGGACCCGAGGCCGGGGTGAGGGGCTTGGACCCTGGGGGGGCGCCGGCTGGGGGGTGGGTTCGTTCCACATTCCACGGGGGACCCCGGAGCGAATCGCCCACTGCTGGGGAGGGGGGGCTGCGTTTCCTTTCCATGTACATAGTCTCCTTTGCTGATGGGGGGGGGAGGCGGGGAACCCGGATGCCTGGGTTCCCCCCCTCCGTTTGATTTGCAGAGTCTATTTTTTCACAGCTGGGGGGATTTCTAACAGGGCTGGACTTGGGTTGTTTTAAAATTAATTTATTTTTTTATCCCGCCCCCGATTTCCTGGGACCCCGTCTGCTGTGGATGAATCCGGCTGCTGCCGATTAAAGGGGCCGGTCTTTGATTTTCCGAATGTGCCCCCAGCGCATGGGGAGGGGCTGGCTCGTCACTTTTGGGGGGACCCGCAGCCCCTGCCAGCCTGGCCCTGGTATCCCCCATTTCCCTCCCAGCCCTGCCGGTGCCCCCCACTCCCGACCCGCAGCCCCTGCCCTGGGCTCTCTCCTGCCCCGGGGGAGGTTGGGGGTGGGGGGGCTCTGGGGAACGGGTCGGGGCCAGCTTGGGGAAATTTGGGGTTGGGGCGGGCAGCTGCTCCATCCCCTGGCGCCCGGCGTGGTGGGGGTGGGGCTCGGGCCGCCCCGGTTCTGCCCCTTGGCCCCCCCCGGCCAGCGTCCGAGAGGAGACGTCTGTGCAGCTGGCTGGTCACGTCCCAACCGGGTTTATTCCGGGCCCAGGCGTCGGGTCCTCTCGGGCCTGGTTTGCTTTCGGGGGCCCAGGAGATGGTCGGGGGGGGAAGCTGGGGGGGCCCCCAATTTCTCTCCCCGAGTTCCAGGACCCAGAGGAGGAGCGGGGGGGTTGGACAGGTGTCACCGTTCGGGTCCCAGTTCGGCCTCGATGCTCGCGGGGGGGGCTGGCCCCTTTGCCGGACTCTGTGCCGAACGCCAACCCGCGGGGCCGGGCTGGGATGCTCCCCGAGCGCCGTGGCCAGGCCGCCCAGGGGAGCCCCCCGAGCCGGGAGCGCGGGGGATACGGGGCCGGCTGGTTTCGGCCTGGCCGCGCGCCCAGCCCAGCCCAGCCCAGCCCCACACCTCTGGGCTCCGTTCCCGGCGCCAGCTGCCCCCGCGAGGCGTCGTGCCGCGGCAGGTGTCTGCTCCACCCCCGGGGTGTCTGTGGCCCCCACCCGGAGCCGCCTCGGGGGGACAGTGCAAAGGTACGGGCACGGGACGCCCCCGGGGCCCTGCGGGGAGACTCGTGCTGGGCTTCGCGATGCTCCGGCCCTGTCCCGGGGGCAGCGGACGGCAGCCCCCCGCCGCGTCTCCGGGGGGGGGGCAGCCCCGTGCCTTGCCGCGCCGTGGGGGGGATGCCGGGGAGTCGTCCCAGCCGCGTCCCGCTCCGGAGCCCACACTGAGCGGGCTGGGAACCCGTCGGCGTGAGGATGTGCCCGGCTGGGTCCGCGCCCGGGGCAGGACCGGGGAGACGCGAGCCGGGGTAACAGGAGTGTCCCAGTGAAGACGACGGAGACGCCCGGGGCCGGGGGCGTTGTGTGAACAGGGGGGAGCCAGGAGCTGGTGCTGCAGGAGCCCCCTGCCCGATCCCCGGTCCCATCCGCCCCGAGGGGCAGGAGCCCCCTGCCCTGGTGATGGGGCGTGGGGACGGCTCTGGTACTAACTGGCCCCCTCGCAGTTGCGTCGTCGGGCGCCATCCCCCCGGGTTCGATCCGGTCCGCGGGGGCCGCGTTACATCTCCAGTCGGGCTGCCCAGACCCGACCCTGGGGCCAGCCCTGTCCCGGTCGTCACCCCCAGGTGTGAGAGCTACTGGGGGGGGCTTAGAACGAGACAGTCCCGGGGGCTCAATTCACTTCCTCAGACGCCCCGGGACGAGAACCAGAAACCAGCCGCCCTGGCTAAAGAACCAAGGCAGAGAAGTGGTGAGGGGGAGACGCGTCTTGAACCCGAGAAATCCTCGCGGGGAGGCGGGAGGAGCCCGACCTCTGGCGAGTGAAGCGTGAAAATACCGTGGGGAGGCCGAAGGAACGTGAGAGCAGCGAGCCGGGGACCCGGACACTCCCAGCAAAACAGGCTCCGTCCCGCCGAAGCAGGAAGCTGCTAACCAACCCGTGGGGCCCCTGGGCGCTGGCTGTGCTGAGGGAGCAGTCAAGGACGACAAGGCCTTTGCGGAGAAACTCAGTGAATTCTTTGCATGGGTCTTCACGGCTGACGGGCGGGAGATTCCCAGACCTGAGCCGGTCTCGTTCGGCGACAGGTCTGAGGAACTGCCCCAGACTGAGGTGTCACGAGAACAAATGGATAAACTAAACGGCGGTAAGTCCCCGGGACCGGGGGGATCCACCCAAGAGTTGGGAAGGACTCAAAGGTGAAGTTGCAGAACTAACAACCGGGGTTTGTAACCTGCCCTTTAAATCCGCTTCTGTCCCGCTGACGGGAGGGGAGCGAATGTGACCCCACAATCGCTCCAAAGGGCTCCCGAGGTGACCCCGGCAATCCCAGGCCAGTGGCCTGACTCCAGGACCGGGCAACTGGGGGAAACTCGCAAAGCCCAGAACTGTCAGCCAGCGGGATGAGCGGAGTTTGTTGGGGAGGAGCCCCCCGGGTTTTCGTAACAGGAAATTGGGCCTCCCCCATCGGCTGAGGGGCCGACAAGCGCGTGGACGAGGGGCCGCGGGGGCACCGTGTGCGTAGATGGTCAGGCAGCCAGTGACAAGGTCCCTCACCAAAGCAGGGGGCAGCTGCTCCGAAGGATCCGGCTTTTCCACTTCCCTCGCCAGGGTCACTGCTGGTGGAGGGAAGGGGATTAGCCGGGCAGTCCCTGTGTCCCCCTCCCGTCCCCAGACTCACTGAACACCCCCCCTTTTCTTTCCTGCTGCCTCCCGACCCGGATGCCTGGGTTCCTCTTTCTTCCTCTCCCTGTTCCTCCTCCCCCCACCAGTGCTTGGACACCCGGGTCCCCCCAGCCGGGCCCTGCCCAGACGTCTGGATCCCCTCCTGGCTCCCTCCCTATCTACGGACTGCCCTGCCTGGACGCCTGGGTCCCTCCCCTCCCCCCTGCAGCGAGAGAGGAAGGGGTTATAAGGCGGCAGGGAGGCCGGGGACAGGACCCCCCCACCCCAGATCTGGGCCCCATTCGGCCGTGGCCATTGGTAGTGGTTTTACGGCAGCACCCCGACCGTCCAGCTGAGAGGTGACCCCTGGGGGGGGGCCGTCCGGCAGGGGCGCAACCCATAACTGGACGGTAGCCCAAGATCAGGCCTCGTTATGCTGTGGGCATTACTAGCAGCATTATGGTAGCCCAGACCAGGCCCCCCACCCGGGGCCCCCCCACCGGCCAGACACGGCGAACATCACGAGGGGCCGGGGCCTTCGCTCAGGACAGGGACCCCCCCGACTCCCAGCCAGGAGGGACCCCCTCCCACCCGGCCACCTGCCTCCATTCAGGTGGGACACTGGGATAGACACCCCCCACCCCAGCCCCACTTTGCATGGGTCTTCACGGCTGACGGGCGGTTCCAGATACCCCAGCCCCCCATGGACCCCACACTGCCCCGGCACTTCCGAGTTCTTCCCGCAAACTTCCCCCCCACAGTGCCTGCCCCCCACACATCCAGCCCTGCCAGCCTGTGGTTACAGTCGGGTGACGCCCCGCCCCGGGCTTCCTGCTCTTCGTGGCCCCCAATGCTGCCCGGCTCCAACCCCCCGGCCCAAAATCCCCTTCCCCCCTCCGCACTCCCCTCCCAGAGTTGGGCAGAGAACCCAGGAGTCCTGGCTCCCAATGCCCCCCTGCTCTAACCACTTGCCTCATGGGTGTGAGCTGGGTACGAGGCAGGATACCAGGGTAGATGGGCACAAAACTCCATGACACTCCCCCGCTAGGTTGACAGGTTTTATTATTGACAGATCATGGATGCGAAAGTGCCCCCCTGCCCCTCCCCCCACTTCTGCCAGTGCCCCTCACTCCCAACCCGCAGCCCCCGCAAGCCCGGCCCTGCCCCCCCCCCACCTCTGCCGGTGCCCCTCACTCCCGACCTGCAGCCCCCGCAAGCCCAGCCCTGCCCCCCCCCCACCTCTGCCGGTGCCCCTCACTCCCGACCCGCAGCCCCTGCCAGTCTGGCCCTGGGCCCCCCCACCTCTGCCGGTGCCCCTCACTCCTGACCTGCAGCGCAGCCCTGGGCCCCCCCCACCTCTGCCGGTGCCTCTCGCTCCTGACCTGCAGCCCAGCCCTGGGCCCCCCCACCTCTACCGGTGCCCCTCACTCCCGACCTGCAGCCCAGCCCTGGGCCCCCCCACATCAACCGGTGCCCCTCACTCCTGACCTGCAGCCCAGCCCTGGGCCCCCCCACATCAACCGGTGCCCCTCACTCCTGACCTGCAGCCCAGCCCTGGGCCCCCCACCTCTGCCGGTGCCCCTCACTCCTGACCTGCAGCCCAGCCCTGGGCCCCCCCACCTCTACCGGTGCCCCTCACTCCCGACCTGCAGCCCAGCCCTGGGCCCCCCCACCTCTGCCGGTGCCTCTCACTCCTGACCTGCAGCCCAGCCCTGGGCCCCCCCACCTCTGCCGGTGCCCCTTACTCCCGACCTGTAGCCCCCTGCTGCTACTTATGGGGGGAGGGCTGGACCCATGTCTTATTGCAGTCTGTGGTGCCGGGGGTGGGGGGGCTCTTTCTCCTTTTAGCCCCTCCCCATCCATGCCTCAGCTCTCTCTGGGGCAGGCGGGGGGCCTGTGGCCAGGGGGCGAGTTGGGAAAGGTGGGCGGGGGGCCTGTGGCCTGGTGGGGGGCGGGGCTGTGGTCCCAGGCTGTCCCCAGCTTCAGAGGGGGCTGCTGGGGGGGCTGGGGCTGGGGTTTGGTCCTTCATGCAGTTGGGTGGCTCATGCAGACGCCAGCACCTGCAGGGAGAAAAGGGGGGAGACCATGAGCGCTGGGAGGGGCAAGGCCCGGGGGGACCCCTGTGGGATGGGGGGGCTGGTGGGGGTCACTGCAGGGGGCCAGGCCGGGTCCCACCTCTCTGGTGGGCAGCCCCTGTAAGGGAGGGGGCCAGGCTAAACCGGGGGGGGGCGTGGCTGGGTGGGTGGGACGGTGTGATGGGGCGTGGCCACGTGTGGGGGTTGTATTGTGGGCGGGGCCAGGGAGAGCGCTGCTGGGGGCGTGGTCGTTCAGGGGCGTGGCCAGGTGGGTGTGGCTAGGTGCCCGGGTGGGGTCTGTGCTGGGGGCGTGGTCTGGGTGCATACAGGGGCGTGGCTAGAGGGGTGGAGCCAATCCTCACCCCCCTCCACATGCACAGACTCCCCCATCCTCACCTCTGGGGTCACCATTCCCCGCGTGTCCCCGCTGGAGCCCCCTCCTCCGCCCCGTCGGCCTCGGGGCCCTGCCCCATCTTGGTGATGTGGCGCAGGAAGGACGTGGCGTTGATAGCTCGCTGGGGGGGCACAGAGAATATCCTGCGTGAGACCCCCCCGGGACGGCTGGCCCCCAGGGGAGCCCCGCAGCTCACCCACCCTCTGGGGACAGGACCCAGGCGTCCGGGACGGCTAGCCCCCGGGGAGCCCCGCAGCTCACCCACCCTCTGGGGACAGGACCCAGGTGTCCGGGACGGCGAGCCCCCCAGCTCACCCACTCTCTGGGGACGGGACCCAGGCGTCCGGGACGGCGAGGCCCCCAGCTCACGCACCCTCTGGGGACGGGACCCAGGCGTCGGGGACGGCGACCTCCTAGGGGACCCCCATAGCTCACCCACCCTCTGGGGACAGGACCCAGGCGTCCGGGACGGCTAGCCCCCAGGGGAGCCCCGCAGCTCACTCACCCTCTGGGGACGGGACCCAGGCGTCTGGGACAGTGAGTCCCCCAGGTCACCCACCCTCTGGGGATGGGACCCAGGTGTCCGGGATGGCGAGCCCCCCAGGTCACCCACCCTCTGGGGACGGGACCCAGGTGTCCGGGACAGCTAGTCCCAAGGGGGACCCACCCTCTGCGGACAGGACCGAAGCGTCCGGGGTGGGGGGATGGGACCCAGGCGTCCGGAGCTCACCTTCCACTGAGTCCTGGCAAAGTTTTTCTGGATCTGTTCACTGACGGAGCCGTGGATGTCTTTGTCCAGCGCCGTGTCCCCCGAGATCCTGGGCGGGGGGGTCAGAGGTGAAAGGTCAGGGGGCTCTCGCTGGGGACCCCCACCCCCTCCCGTCCCACGGTGGGGGGAGCTCACCATGGGTGCTGCAGGGCCTGTTCACACGTGTAGCGCTTCTCGGGATCCCGCTGCAGCAGCTGCTGGATGAAATCCTTGGCTGGGGGAGGGAAGGGGGGTCCCTGTGAGCTGGGGACTCCCAAAGCCCCCTGCCATCGGGAACCCCCATCATCGGGGGCCCCCCGTGTCCCCTCCCAGTTAGGGACCCCCACTCCCAGATGGGGGACCCCCATCCGTCTCCCTGCTGTCCTAGCCCCCCCGGTTCCCCTGCCTGCCCCCCCACCCAGATTTTGGGGCCACCCCGCGGGTCTCACCTGAGTCCGAGATGCCGTCCCAATAGGGCGAGTCGAACTCGAACGCTCCTTTGAGGATCTGGGCGAAGAGTTCGGAGTCATTGTCGTCGTAGAAGGGGGGGTAACCGCACAGCCTGGGGGGGCACAGGAGGGTGAGAGGCGGGTCACCCCTCCCCCGGGGGCCAGCACCCCCCACCGTCCTCCCGGATGCCCGGGTCTCCTCCCCATCTCTCCTCCCCTCTCCAGAAACACCGTCCCGGACGCCTGGGTCCCGTTCTGCAGGGCCGGGTGTGCTGTGGGAGCCCCTGGTAGCAGCACCCCCGGACGCCTGGGTCCCATTCCCGACCCCGGACTCCTGGGTCCCATTCTATGGGGCCGCGTGTGCTGTGGGAACCCCCGGCAGTGGTGTCCCCCGGACGCCTGGGTCCCATTCCCGACCCCGGACTCCTGGGTCCCATTCTATGGGGCAGGGTGTGCTGTGGGAACCCCCGGCAGTGGTGTCCCCCGGACGCCTGGGTCCCATTCCCGACCCCGGACTCCTGGGTCCCATTCTATGGGGCGGGGTGTGCTGTGGGAACCCCCGGCAGTGGTGTCCCCCGGACGCCTGGGTCCCATTCCCGACCCCGGACTCCTGAGTCCCATTCTATGGGGCGGGGTGTGCTGTGGGAACCCCCGGCAGTGGTGTCCCCCGGACGCCTGGGTCCCATTCCCGACCCCGGACTCCTGGGTCCCATTCTATGGGGCGGGGTGTGCTGTGGGAACCCCTGGCAGTGGTGTCCCCCGGACGCCTGGGTCCCATTCCTGACCCCGGACTCCTGAGTCCCATTCTATGGGGCGGGGTGTGCTGTGGGAACCCCCGGCAGTGGTGTCCCCCGGACGCCTGGGTTCTCTCCCGCGCCGCCCCCCGGGTGGGACTTACAGGATGTAGGAGATGACGCCCAGGGCCCACGAATCCACAGCTTTCCCGTAGGGCTTCTGCTCCAGGAGCTCAGGGGCTGGAGGGCGAGAGACGGGAGTCACTGCCCCTGGCCCCCCCACCCCCCAAACTGCCCCTGCCCCCCGCCTGCCTCCGAACCCCCCCGAACTTCCCCTGCCTGCCCCTGGCCCCCCCAACCTTCCCCTGCCCCCCACCTGCCCCTGGCCCCCCCAAACTGTCCCCGGGCTCCGCCTCCCTCACCCACGTAGCCGGGGGTCCCGCAGGCCGTGGCCATCACCCCGTCCGACTCCAGCTTGGAGAGCCCAAAATCCGTGATCATGATCTTGGCGTCCTCGAAGGGGCTGGCGTAGAGCAGGTTCTCGGGCTGGGGGGGCACGGGGGGGTTAAACTGGGGGGCATCGGGGCAGAGACCCCCATGGCTGCAGGCCCCCCACCTAACCCCTCCCTGCAGCCCCCCATGACCCCACCCCCAGAGTGCAGCCCCCCATCCCTGCCCCTCTCAGATCCCCCCACCCCCCTCTGACACTCTGCCCCCTGCTGTGACTCCGCCTCCACCCGGGACCCCACGGAGACCACGCCCCCTTCCTGTGGCCCCACCCCAGGCCCCTCCGAGACCGCGCCCCTCCCCCACAGGCCCCGCCCCCCAGGCCCCGCCCCTCACCTTGAGGTCCCGGTGCACTATCCCCAGCCGGTGCAGGTAGCTCAGGGCCCCCAGCACCTGCCGGACGAGGCGGCTGGCGTCCCGCTCCGTGTAGTGCCCCCTCTCGACGATCCGGTCGAACAGCTCCCCCCCCGTCACCCTGCCGGAGACGCCCCCGTGAGCCGGGGAGAGGACCCAGGAGTCCGGGTTCCCAGCCACCTCCCCGCCCTCATCACTGGACCCCCTCCCCTCCCAGAGCCCGGGAGAGAACCCAGGAGTCCAGGCTCCCAGCCCCGCCTGGCGCTCTAACCCCCCGCCCCAACCACCAGACCCCACTCCCCTCCCAGAGCCAGCAGAACCCAGGCGTCCGGGCTCACAGCTGCATGGCCAGGTACAGGTGCGTGGGGGTTTCGTAGATGTTCTCCAGAGCCACGATGTTCTCGTGCTGGATCCTGCAAGGGGGAGCAGAGACAGGTGTGGGGGGGGGCTCGGGCCCCCCGAAAGCGCCCCTGAGCCCCTCAAACCCGCCCCCCCCCCACAGCTCCCTATCTCCTCCCCCATCCACACCCCCCACAACTCCACATCCGCACCCCACTGCCCCCCACAGCTCCCCCATCCCCACACCCCTCCCCTATCCACACCCCCCACAGCTCCCCATCCTCACCCCACTGCCCCCCACAGCTCCCCCATCCACACACTCCACAGCTCCCCATCCCCACACCCCTCCCCCATCCACACCCCCCACAGCTCCCCATCCGCACCCCGCTGCCCCCCCAGCTCCCCCATCCCCACAGCTCCCCATCCCCACACCCCTCCCCCATCCACACCCCCCACAGCTCCCCATCTGCACCCCACTGCCCCCCACAGCTCCCCAGCCCCACACCCCTCCCCCCACAGCTCCCCCTGATGCTGGCCGCCCTCAACACCCCCAACGCCCCCTTCTGATCACTGCCCCCCATCCCCCTCCGTCCATGCCCACCCCACACTGACCCCCCGACCCCCCCTTACTGCCTGAGTACGGCGATTTCATTCTCCACAGCCAGCTCCTTGCCCCGCAGCGCCTTCTTGGGGATGCATTTCAGGGCCACCAGCCGCTGGGAGCCCCGCTCCTGGGCCAGGAACACCTCCGAGAAGGCCCCGCTGTGGGACAGACCGACAGGGGGTCAGTCTCCAGGTGGGGCGGCTCCCCCCCAACCCAGCGATGCAAAGAAGGGGAAACGAGGCATGGAGACGCTGGAGAGCAGGTGTCCCCCCAGAGCCACCAGCCCAGGAGTCCTGGCTCCCAGCCCCCTGCCTCTAACCTGCCCCCTCCCTAGGTTTTGCCCCCCACCCTTGTTGGGTGACTCACGCCCCAAGTTTCTCCTTGATGTCATAGACAGCGCCGATCTCCTCCGTGGTTTTCCTCCAGCTCTCTCCCATCAGCATGGCACGCGGGTCCGGCCGGGCGCTGGGGAGACGGGGGAGGTCAGGCCCCATGGGTTGGGCACAGAACCCTGCTCTGACCCAGCAGCCCCCACTCCCCTCCCAGGGCGGGGAGAGAACCCAGGAGTCCTGGCTCCCAGCCCTCCCTCCCCACACTCTAACCACCAGCCCCCACTGCCCTCCCAGGGCGGGGAGAGAACCCAGGAGTCCTGACTCCCAGCCCTCCCTCCCCACACTCTAACCACCAGCCCCCACTCCCCTCCCAGGGCTGGGAGAGAACCCAGGAGTCCTGACTCCCAGCCGCCCCCCCACTCTAACCACCAGCCCCCACTGCCCTCCCAGGGCGGGGAGAGAACCCAGGAGTCCTGACTCCCAGCCCCCCCCCCCCCCACTCTAACCACCAGCCCCCACTGCCCTCCCAGGGCGGGGAGAGAACCCAGGAGTCCTGTTCAGAACCGATAGGGGTTGAAGACCAGATGCCCTGAGCAGGGCTTTGGTGAGGGACCCCCATTCTGGGGGGGGGCAGGAAGTGGGGGCACCTTCCCATGGGGCTGTGCTAGACCCTCCCCCGAAAGACTGGGGTCACTGTGCCAAGCTTCCCCCCACACCACACACCAGGGACCTTCCATGGTTAATTGGTACATGGGAGGCAAAAAAGACGGCACCAGTGGGCGTCCCACGGGTCTGGGGGCGACAGGATCTGGGCAGGGGGATGGAGGGATGGGGCGTGCGGGGATGGCGGGATGGGGCACGGGGGGATGGAGGGATGGGGCGTGCGGGGATGGCGGGATGGGGCGTGCGGGGATGGCGGGATGGGGCACGTGGGGATGGAGGGATGGAGAGATGGGGCGCGTGGGGAAGGACGGGCCCAGACGAGGGAGGAGTCTAGTCTGGGAAAGAAGCTTCCTGGACCTTGTTCCCCGTGTTCGGTTCCGAGACGTGCTCGGCTTCGACTTGCGGGTTCTGTGGGGATGGAGGGATGGGGCGTGCGGGGATGGCGGGATGGGGCGTGCAGGGATGGGGAGATGGGGCGTGTGGGGATGGCGGGATGGGGAGATGGGGCGTGCGGGGATGGCGGGATGGGGTGTGCGGGGATGGCGGGATGGGGAGATGGGGCGCGTGGGGAAGGACGGGCCCAGACGAGGGAGGAGTCTAGTCTGGGAAAGAAGCTTCCTGGACCTTGTTCCCCGTGTTCGGTTCCGAGACGTGCTCGGCTTCGACTTGCGGGTTCTGTGGGGATGGAGGGATGGGGCGTGCGGGGATGGCGGGATGGGGCGTGCGGGGATGGCGGGATGGGGCACGTGGGGATGGAGGGATGGAGAGATGGGGCGCGTGGGGAAGGACGGGCCCAGACGAGGGAGGAGTCTAGTCTGGGAAAGAAGCTTCCTGGACCTTGTTCCCCGTGTTTGGTTCCGAGACGTGCTTGGCTTCGACTTGCGGGTTCTGTGGGGATGGAGGGATGGGGCGTGTGGGGATGGCGGGATGGGGCGTGCAGGGATGGGGAGATGGGGCGCGTGGGGAAGGACGGGCCCAGACGAGGGAGGAGTCTAGTCTGGGAAAGAAGCTTCCTGGACCTTGTTCCCCGTGTTCGGTTCCGAGACGTGCTCGGCTTCGACTTGCGGGTTCTGTGGGGATGGAGGGATGGGGCGTGCGGGGATGGCGGGATGGGGCGTATGGGGATGGCGGGATGGGGAGATGGGGCGTGCGGGGATGGCGGGATGGGGTGTGCGGGGATGGCGGGATGGGGAGATGGGGCGCGTGGGGAAGGACGGGCCCAGACGAGGGAGGAGTCTAGTCTGGGAAAGAAGCTTCCTGGACCTTGTTCCCCGTGTTCGGTTCCGAGACGTGCTCGGCTTCGACTTGCGGGTTCTGTGGAACTTGCGGGTGACTCACTTTCTTGTGTTATTACTTGGGGCCACGCAAACCCGACCTGTTGTACAGACTAAAATCACTTTTTGCTCATTAATGAGCCCAGAGTAAGTGATTAATGCCGGGGGGGCGGCAAACAGCTGTGCCTGTTTCTCTATCCGCGTTCGAGGGGGCGGACGGCTCATGGCTTTACCCTGCGTAAGCTTCGGATCGATTTGGGGTTTGGACCCCACTGGGAACTGGGTGTCTGGGTGCGGGAGACAGGGGCAATTCTTAAGCTCTTCTCAGTTACGTCTGCAGCTCTGGGGCCCGTGGGTCAGCCCCTGGGTCTGTGTTTGGAGCCGGCTGGCGGGTCCGGCTCGCCAGGGCAGGGGGCCTTAGGCCCAGGCTGGCGGGATGGATGGGGCGTGTGGGGGGGATGGATGGGGCGTGTGGGGCGATGGATGGGGCATGTGTGTGGGGGATGGAGGGATGGATGGGGTGTGGGGGAGGGAAACGTGGGGTGTGTTGCAGGGGACTTCGGCTCTCGTCCCGTCAACAGCGGAGCATCGATCCCGCTCGGCCGCCGCCCGGCTCCAGCCCTCCCGCCTCCCCCGCCCCTGGCCAGGGACGGTCGGGGGGGCAACAAGTTGGTAACAGCGACAAGACGGAGTGTGTGTGTGCCTGAGGGGAGGGTGCGGGTGTGAGGGGGAGTGTGCAGGGGGAGGAGGAGGGGGAGTGTGCGCGGAGGGGAGTGTGCGGGGAGTGTAACGTCCATCATACGCGTACGCTCCAGTCTGGGCTGGGGCCGGTATTGTCAAGCAACGCGGCACGGCGCCTTATCCCCCGTGTCGGGGTGGGGATGGAGGGGCGGACGGATTCACAGAGGGACTGTGGGGAAGATGTGGGGAGTGGGGGGCCCAGCCAGTGCTACACACTCCGTGCCCCCCCCTTCCACACTGGGGCAATATTCACACGACCTCCCTGCCAAATCTGCCCTGCTACGAACCAACAGGGCTCTGGGGGTGGCGGTGGGGGGCAGCGGGGGGCGCCATGCGAGATCTTGACTTGAGCAAAGCTTCTGACGCAGGACCCCCCCCAGGAGCCTGGCCAGCCGGGTAGGACGTCTGGGCTGGCTGCAGGGACGAGCCGGTGGCCGGATCCTCGGGCTCGGGGCGGGGGGGCCGTGGCTCCGGGTCTCGCTGGCAGCCGGGATCCAGCAGGACGCCCCCGGGCTGGCCAGGCTCCTCGTCAACGATCTGGCGGGTGGGGTGGGCTGCACCCCCAGCCCCTCGGCAGAGGACCCCGGGCTGGGGGAGGCGGATCCGCGGCGGGGCAGGGCCCAAAGAGACCCGAGGGGGTGAAGCGGGAGCAGGGCAGGGTCCTGCGCCGAGGCCGGGGGGGCTGCCCGGCGCCGCGACAGGCCGGGGGCCGAGTGGCCCCGGGGCTCACGGGGGCCGAGGGGCCGGGCAGGAGTCGGCAGCGGGCCCCGGCTGCGTTGTGGGCTGCGGTAGCCGGGGCCTCGCCAGGGCCGAGGGGCGGGACCGTTCCCCGCTCTGCGGCCGGGGGGCCACATCTGGAGCCCTGCGCCCCGGTCTGGGCCCCCCAGGAGAGAGGCCAGCGGAGGGCAAGGGAAACGGCCGGGGCTGGGGCAGGGGCCTGCCGGGGGGGGCCGAGGGGGTGGGGGCGATTTCGTCTGCAGACGAGAAGAGCGAGGGGGGACTTGAGAGCAGCCAGTGCAGGGGGGTTCCCAAGGGGTCGGCGCTCGGCGGGTCTCGGGGGGCAGAGCACAGAGCAAGGAGCCCTGGTCTCAAGTGGCAGTGGGGGGTCTAGGACGGATGTTAGGAAACACGGTTTCCCTGGAAGGGGGGGAGCCAGGGAGGGGGTTCCCCGGGAGGGGGGAGCTGGGGGGGGGAAGTTGGGGAGGGGGTTCCCCTGGAGGAGGGGAGCCGGGGGGGGGAGAAGTTCGAGAGGGGGTTCCCGGGAGGAGGGGAGCTGGGGGGAGAAGTTGGGGAGGGGGTTCCCTGGGAGGGGGGGGAGCCGGGGGGGAAGTTGGGGAGGGGGTTCCCCTGGAGGAGGGGAGCCGGGGGGGGGGAGAAGTTGGGGAGGGGGTTCCCTGGGAGGGGGGGAGCCGGGGGGGAGAAGTTGGGGAGGGGTTCCCCTGGAGGAGGGGAGCCGGGGGGGAAGTTGGGGAGGGGGTTCCCCTGGAGGAGGGGAGCCAGGGGGGAGAAGTTGGGGAGGGGGTTCCCCGGGAGGGGGGGAGCTGGGGGGGAAACTTGGGGAGGGGGTTCCCCTGGAGGAGGGGAGCCGGGGGGGGGGAGAAGTTGGGGAGGGGGTTCCCTGGGAGCGGGGGAGCTGGGGGGGGAAGTTGGGGAGGGGGTTCCCGGGAGCCGGGGGAGCTGGGGGGGAAGTTGGGGAGGGGGTTCCCCGGGAGGGGGGGAGCTGGGGGGAAGCTGGGGAGGGGTTCCCCTGGAGGAGGGGAGGGGGGGGGGAGAAGTTGGAGAGGGGTTCCCCGGGAGCGGGGGGCTGGGGGGGCCCCGGGGGGGGGGGGGAGCCCCCCCCTCCGTTGGGGGGGCCCCGCCCCCGGGGGGGGGGGGGGGGGGGGGGGCCGCCGCCCCCCCCCGCCCCCCCCTCCCCGCTCTCGCCCCCCCCCCCCCCCCCCCCCACCCAAACAAAAAAAAAAAAAAAAAAAAAAAAAAAAACCACACAACACACACAGCCACCCTAACACAACCCCCATACACACCACATCTCTCCACCCCCACAACACACACAGCCAGGGTAACACAACCCCTCCCTTACACACCACATCTCTCCACCCACACAACACACACAGCCAGGGTAACACAACCCCTCCCTTACACACCACATCTCTCCACCCACACAACACACACAGCCAGGATAACACAAACCCTCCCTTACACACCACATCTCTCCACCCACACAACACACACAGCCAGGGTAACACAATCCCTCCCTTACACACCACAGGTATCCACCCACGCAACACACAGCCAGGGTAACACAACCCCCCCATACACACCACATCTCTCTACCCCCACAACAAACAGCCACGGTAACACAACCCCCCCATACACACCACATCTCTCCACCCACACAACACACACAGCCAGGGTAACACAACCCCTCCCTTACACACCACATCTCTCCACCCACGTAACACACACAGCCAGGGTAACACAACCCCCCCCCCATACACACCACATCTCTCCACCCCCACAACACACAGCCAGGGAAACACTACCCCCCATACACACCACATCTCTCCACCCACACAACACACAGCCAGGGTAACACAACCGCACCATACACACCACATCTACCCACCCACGCAATACACACAGCCAGGGTAATACAACCACCCCATACACACCACATCTATCCATCCACACAACACACACAGCCAGGATAACACAAACCCTCCCTTACACACCACATCTCTCCACCCACGCAACAGACAGAGCCAGGGTAAGACAACCCCTCCCTTACACACCACATCTCTCCACCCACACAACACACAGCCAGTGTAACACAACCCCCCATACACCCCACAGCTATCCACCAACACAACACACACAGACAGGGTAACACAACCCCCCCATACACACCACATCTCTCCACACACACAACACACACAGCCAGGATAACACAAACCCTCCCTTACACACCACATCTCTCCACCCACGCAACACACACAGCCAGGGTAACACAACCCCCCCCATACACACCACATGTATCCACCCACGCAACACACACAGCCAGGGTAACACAACCCCCCCATACACACCACATCTATCCACCCACGCAACACACACAGCCAGGGTAACACAACCCCCCCATACACACCACATCTCTCCACCCCCACAACACACAGCCAGGGTAACACAACCCCCCCATACACACCACATCTCTCCACCCACACACACACAGCCAGGGTAACACAACCCCCCCATACACACCACATGTATCCACCCACGCAACACACACAGCCAGGGTAACACAACCTCCCCATACACACCACATCTCTCCACCCACAGAACACACACAGCCAGGGTAACACAACCCCCCCCCCAACACACCACAGCTACCCACCCACGCAACACACACAGCCAGGGTAATACAACCCCCCCATACACACCACATCTATCCATCCACACAACACACACAGCCAGGGTAACACAACCCCCCCCATACACACCACATCTATCCACCCACGCAACACACACAGCCAGGCTAACACAACCCCCCCATACACACCACATCTCTCCACCCATGCAACACACAGCCAGGGTAACCCAACCCCTCCCTTACACACCACATCTCTCCACCCACACAACACACACAGCCAGGGTAACACAATCCCTCCCATACACACCACATGTATCCACCCACGCAACACACAGCCAGGGTAACACAACCCCCCCATACACACCACATCTCTCCACCCACACAACACACACAGCCAGGGTAACACAACCCCCCCATACACACCACATCTCTCCACCCACACAACACACACAGCCAGGGTAACACAACCCCCCCTTACACACCACATCTCTCCACCCACACAACACACACAGCCAGTATAACACAACCCCCCCATACACACCACATCTCTCCACCCCCACAACACACAGCCAGGGTAACACTACCCCCCCCATACACACCACATCTCTCCACCCACACAACACACAGCCAGGGTAACACAACCCACCCCCCCATACACACCACATCTACTCCACCCACGCAATACACACAGCCAGGGTAATACAACCACCCCATACACACCACATCTATCCACCCACACAACACACACAGCCAGGATAACACAAACCCTCCCTTACACACCACATCTCTCCACCCACGCAACACACACAGCCAGGGTAACACAACCCCTCCCTTACACACCACATCTCTCCACCCACACAACACACAGCCAGGGTAACACAACCCCCCCATACACACCACAGCTATCCACCCACACAACACACACAGCCAGGGTAACACAACCCCCCCATACACACCACATCTCTCCACCCCCACAACAAACAGCCAGGGTAACACAACCCCCCCATACACACCACATCTCTCCACCCACGTAACACACACAGCCAGTGTAACACAACCCCCCCCATACACACCACATCTCTCCACCCCCACAACACACAGCCAGGGTAACACAACCCCCCCATACACACCACATCTCTCCACCCACACAACACACACAGCCAGGGTAACACAACCCCCCCATACACACCACATCTATCCACCCACGCAACACACACAGCCAGGGTAATACAACCCCCCCATACACACCACATCTCTCCACCCACGCAACACACACAGCCAGGGTAACACAACCCCCCCATACACACCACATCTATCCACCCACGCAAACACACAGCCAGGGTAACACAACCCCTCCCTTACACACCACATCTCTCCACCCACACAACACACACAGCCAGGGTAACACAACCCCCCCATACACACCACATGTATCCACCCACGCAACACACACAGCCAGGGTAACACAACCCCCCCATACACACCACATGTATCCACCCACGCAACACACACAGCCAGGGTAACACAACCCCCCATACACACCACATCTCTCCACCCCCACAACACACAGCCAGGGTAACACAACCCCCCCATACACACCACATCTCTCCACCCACGCAACACACACAGCCAGGATAACACAACCCCCCCATAGACACCACATCTATCCACCCACGCAACACACACAGCCAGGGTAACACAACCCCCCCACACCCATCAACTCCACCCACACAACACACACAGCCAGGGTAACACAACCCCCCATACACACCACATCTCTCCACCCACACAACACACACAGCCAGGGTAACACAACCCCCCCATACACACCACATCTCTCCACCCACACACACACACAGCCAGGGTAACACAACCCCCCATACACACCACATCTCTCCACCCACGCAACACACACAGCCAGGGTAACACAACCCCCCCATACACACCACATCTCTCCACCCACACAACACACACAGCCAGGGTAACACAACCCCCCCATACACACCACATCTCTCCACCCACGCAACACACACAGCCAGGGTAACACAACCCCCCATACACACCACATCTCTCCACCCACACAACACACACAGCCAGGGTAACACAACCCCCCCCATACACACCACATCTCTCCACCCACGCAACACACACAGCCAGGGTAACACAACCCCCCCCATACACACCACATCTATCCACCCACACAACACACACAGCCAGGGTAACACAACCCCCCATACACACCACATCTCTCCACCCACGCAACCACCCCCAAACACAGCCAGGTAACACAACCCCCCCATAACCACCACCCAGCAACACAAGATAACCACACACCACATCTATCCACCCACGCAACACACAGCCAGGGTAACACAACCTCCCCACCCACATCTATCCACCCACACAACACACACAGCCAGGGTAACACAACCCCCCCATACACACCACATCTCTCCACCCACACAACACACACAGCCAGGGTAACACAACCCCCCCCATACACACCACATGTTCCACCCACAACACACACAGCCAGGGTAACACAACCCCCCCATACACACCACATCTATCCACCCACACAAACACACAGCCAGGGTAACACAACCCCCCCATACACACCACATCTCTCCACCCACACAACACACACAGCCAGGGTAACACAACCCCCCCCATACACACCACATCTCTCCACCCACAGGGTCAACACACACAGCCAGGGTAACACAACCCCCCCCCTCCCCCCACATGTATCCACCCACGCAACACACACAGCCAGGGTAACACAACCCCCCCATACACACCACATCTATCCACCCACGCAACACACACAGCCAGGATAACACAACCCCTCCCTTACACACCACATGTATCCACCCACGCAACACACACAGCCAGGGTAACACAACCCGCCCCATACACACCACATCTCTCCACCCACGCAACACACACAGCCAGGGTAACACAACCCCCCATACACACCACATCTATCCACCCACGCAACACACACAGCCAGGGTAACACAACCCCCCATACACACCACATCTCTCCACCCACACAACACACACAGCCAGGGTAACACAACCCCTCCCTTACACACCACATCTCTCCACCCACACAACACACACAGCCAGGGTAACACAACCCCCCCCACCCACCCCCCAACACACCACAACACACACCATAACACCCCCCCATACACACCACATCTCTCCACCCACACAACACACACAGCCAGGGTAACACAACCCCCCATACACACCACATCTATCCACCCACGCAACACACACAGCCAGGGTAACACAACCCCCCCATACACACCACATCTATCCACCCACAACACACACAGCCAGGTAACCCCCATACACACCACATGTATCCACCCACGCAACACACACAGCCAGGGTAACACAACCCCCCCATACACACCACATCTCTCCACCCACCCAACACACAGCCAGGGTAACACAACCCCCCCATACACACCACATCTCTCCACCCACAACACACACAGCCAGGGTAACACAACCCCCCCCTTACACACCACATCTCTCCACCCACGCAACACACACAGCCAGGGTAACACAACCCCCCCCATACACACCACATCTATCCACCCACGCAACACACACAGCCAGGGTAACACAACCCCCCCATACACACCACATCTATCCACCCACGCAACACACACAGCCAGGGTAACACAACCCCCCCATACACACCACATCTCTCCACCCACGCAACACACACAGCCAGGGTAACACAACCCCCCCATACACACCACATCTATCCACCCACGCAACACACACAGCCAGTGTAACACAACCCCCCATACACACCACATCTTCCACCCACACAACACACAGCCAGTGTAACACAACCCCCCATACACACCACATCTCTCCACCCACACAACACACACAGCCAGGGTAACACAACCCCCCATACACACCACATCTCTCCACCCACGCAACACACACAGCCAGGGTAACACAACCCCTCCCATACACACCACATCTCTCCACCCACGCAACACACACAGCCAGGGTACCACACACACACCCCCCCATACACAGTAACACAACCCCCCATACACACCCAGTATCCACCCACGCAACACACACAGCCGTCCCCTCCACACCCAGCCAGGGTAACACAACCCCCCATACACACCACATCTATCCACCCACGCAACACACACAGCCAGGGTAACACAACCCCCCATACACACCACATCTCTCCACCCACGCAAACACACAGCCAGGGTAACACAACCCCCCCCATACACACCACATCTCTCCACCCACACAACACACACAGCCAGGGTAACACAACCCTCCCATACACACCACATCTCTCCACCCACACACACACACACAGCCAGGGTAACACAACCCCCCCATACACACCACATGTATCCACCCACGCAACACACAGCCAGGGTAACACAACCCCCCCCATACACACCACATCTATCCACCCACGCAACACACACAGCCAGGGTAACACAACCCCCCATACACACCACATCTATCCACCCACGCAACACACACAGCCAGGGTAACACAACCCCCCCATACACACCACATCTCTCCACCCACACAACACACACAGCCAGGGTAACACAACCCCCCCATACACACCACATCTATCCACCCACGCAACACACACAGCCAGGGTAACACAACCCCCCCATACACACCACATCTCTCCACCCACACAACACACACAGCCAGGGTAACACAACCCCCCCATACACACCACATCTCTCCACCCACACAACACACACAGCCAGGGTAACACAACCCCCCATACACACCACATCTCTCCACCCACGCAACACACACAGCCAGGGTAACACAACCCCTCCCATACACACCACATCTCTCCACCCACACAACACACACAGCCAGGGTAACACAACCCCCCATACACACCACATGTATCCACCCACGCAACACACACAGCCAGGGTAACACAACCCCCCCCATACACACCACACGCATCCACCACAGGGGACACAACACACACAGCCAGGGTAACACAACCCCCCCATACACACCACATCTATCCACCCACGCAAACACACAGCCAGGGTAACACAACCCCCCCATACACACCACATCTCTCCACCCACACAACACACACAGCCAGGGTAACACAACCCCCCCATACACACCACATGTATCCACCCACGCAACACACACAGCCAGGGTAACACAACCCCCCCATACACACCACATCTATCCACCCACGCAACACACACAGCCAGGGTAACACAAACCCCCCATACACCCCCTCCCCCCACCCCCTACACACCACATCTATCCACCCACGCAACACACACAGCCAGGGTAACACAACCCCCCCCCATACACACCACATCTCTCCACCCAAACACACAGCCAGGGTAACACAACCCCCCCATACACACCACATCTCTCCACCCACACAACACCAGCCAGGGTAACACAACCCCCCCCCCCACACAACCCCCTCCCCACATCCACCAACACACACAGCCAGGGTAACACAACCCCCCCATACACACCACATCTATCCACCCACGCAACACACACAGCCAGGGTAACACAACCCCCCCATACACACCACATCTCTCCACCCACACAACACACACAGCCAGGGTAACACAACCCCCCCCATACACACCACATCTATCCACCCACACAACACACACAGCCAGGGTAACACAACCCCCCCATACACACCACATCTCTCCACCCACACAACACACACAGCCAGGATAACACACCCCCCATACACACCACATCTCTCCACCCACACAACACACACAGCCAGGGTAACACAACCCCCCCCTCTACACACCACATCTCTCCACCCACAACACACACAGCCAGGGTAACACAACCCCCCCCATACACACCACATGTATCCACCCACGCAACACACAGCCAGGGTAACACAACCCCCCCATACACACCACATCTATCCACCCACGCAACACACAGCCAGGGTAACACAACCCCCCATACACACCACATCTATCCACCCACACAACACACACAGCCAGGGTAACACAACCCCCCCATACACACCACATCTATCCACCCACACAACACACACAGCCAGGATAACACAAACCCTCCCTTACACACCACATCTCTCCACCCACGCAACACACACAGCCAGGGTAACACAACCCCTCCCATACACACCACATCTCTCCACCCACACAACACACAGCCAGGGTAACACAACCCCCCATACACACCACATCTATCCACCCACGCAAACACACAGCCAGGGTAACACAACCCCCCCATACACACCACATCTCTCCACCCACACAACCCCGGAACACACAGCCAGGGTAACACAACCCCCCATACACACCACATCTATCCACCCACACAACACACAGCCAGGGTAACACAACCCCCCATACACACCACATCTCTCCACCCACACAACACACAGCCAGGGTAACACAACCCCCCATACACACCACATCTCTCCACCCACGCAACACACACAGCCAGGGTAACACAACCCCCCATACACACCACATCTCTCCACCCACACAACACACACAGCCAGGATAACACAAACCCTCCCATACACACCACATCTCCACCCCGCACCCCCAGGGTAAAAACACCCCCACACACACAGCCAGGGTAACACAACCCCCCCATACACACCACATGTATCCACCCACGCAACACACACAGCCAGGGTAACACAACCCCCCATACACACCACATCTATCCACCCACACAAACACAGCCAGGGTAACACAACCCCCCCATACACACCACATCTATCCACCCACACACACACAGCCAGGGTAACACAACCCCCCCATACACACCACATCTCTCCACCCACACAACACACACAGCCAGGGTAACACAAACCCTCCCTTACACACCACATCTCTCCACCCACGCAACACACACAGCCAGGGTAACACAACCCCCCCATACACACCACATCTATCCACCCACGCAACACACACAGCCAGGGTAACACAACCCCCCCCATACACACCACATCTCTCCACCCACACAACACACAGCCAGGGTAACACAACCCCCCCCATACACACCACATCTATCCACCCACGCAACACACACAGCCAGGGTAACACAACCCCCCATACACACCACATCTATCCACCCACGCAACACACACAGCCAGGGTAACACAACCCCCCCATACACACCACATCTCTCCACCCACGCAACACACACAGCCAGGGAAAGCAGGTAACACAACCCCCCATACACACCACATGTATCCACCCACGCAACACACACAGCCAGGGTAACACAACCCCCCCATACACACCACATCTCTCCACCCACGCAACACACACAGCCAGGGTAACACAACCCCCCCATACACACCACATCTATCCACCCACGCAACACACACAGCCAGGGTAACACAACCCCCCCATACACACACCCCCCCCCCACACCACCAGGAAACACAACCCTCCCTTACACACCACATCTCTCCACCCACGCAACACACACAGCCAGGGTAACACAACCCCCCCATACACACCACATCTATCCACCCACGCAACACACACAGCCAGGATAACACAAACCCTCCCTTACACACCACATCTCTCCACCCACGCAACACACACAGCCAGGGTAACACAACCCCCCCATACACACCACATGTATCCACCCACGCAACACACAGCCAGGGTAACACAACCCCCCCATACACACCAAATGTATCCACCCACGCAACACACACAGCCAGGATAACACAACCCCCCCATACACACCACATGTATCCACCCACGCAACACACACAGCCAGGGTAACACAACCCCCCATACACACCACATCTATCCACCCACGCAACACACACAGCCAGGATAACACAAACCCTCCCTTACACACCACTTCTCCACCCACACAAGCGGGTAAACAACCCAACACCCCCCACCACACGGAACACAACACACAGCCAGGGTAACACAACCCCCCCATACACACCACAGCTATCCACCCACAGAACACACACAGCCAGGGTAACACAACCCCCCCATACACACCACATCTCTCCACACACACAACACACACAGCCAGGATAACACAAACCCTCCCTTACACACCACATGTATCCACCCACGCAACACACACAGCCAGGGTAACACAACCCCCCCATACAGACCACATCTCTCCACCCACGCAACACACACAGCCAGGGTAACACAACCCCCCCATACACACCACATGTATCCACCCACGCAACACACACAGCCAGGATAACACAACCCCTCCCTTACACACCACATGTATCCACCCACGCAACACACAGCCAGGGTAACACAACCCCCCTATACACACCACATGTATCCACCCACGCAACACACACAGCCAGGGTAACACAACCCCCCCCATACACACCACATCTCTCCACCCCCACAACACACAGCCAGGGTAACACAACCCCCCCCATACACACCACATCTCTCCACCCACACAACACACAGCCAGTGTAACACAACCCCCCCATACACACCACTGCTATCCACCCACACAACACACACAGCCAGGGTAACACAACCCCCACATACACATCACATCTCTCCACACACACAACACACACAGCCAGGGTAACACAACCCCCCCATACACACCACATGTATCCACCCACGCAACACACAGCCAGGGTAACACAACCCCCCCTATACACACCACATGTGTCCACCCACGCAACACACACAGCCAGGGTAACACAACCCCCCCCATACACACCACATCTCTCCACCCCCACAACACACAGCCAGGGTAACACAACCCCCCCATACACACCACATCTCTCCACCCACACAACACACACAGCCAGGGTAACACAACCCCCCTATACACACCACATCTCTCCACCCACGCAACACACACAGCCAGGGTAACACAACCCCCCCATATACACCACATCTACCCCCCCACGCAACACACACAGCGAGGGTAACACAACCCCCCCATACACACCACATCTCTCCAGCCACGCAACACACACAGCCAGGGTAACACAACCCCCCCATACACACCACATCTCTCCACCCACGCAACACACAGCCAAGGTAACGCAAATCCCCCCCACCCCCGTCAGCCCATAACCCCCCCCCCACGCCCCACCCCGCCGCCAGCCCAGCACCGCCCACCTCTGCTGCATCCCCCTCCCCCCGGAGCCGGGCAGAGGACCCAGGCGTCCGGGCGCCCAGCCCCCCCCAGGGGGTTCTGGCACCTACCCGCTGGACCTGAGCCCCCTGCAGCTTCTCTCTGAATCTGTCCCTTAGTCCCCCCCCCGCCCCTCTCTCCGCCCCCCCTCGCCCCTTCCCGGCGCGCCGCGGGCCATGTAAGGAGATTGCGGAGATCTCTGGAAGCCAACCAGAGAGACGGAGCCTGGATTTCCCACCCGGGCTGCCCGGACGCCTGGGTTCTTTCCGCAGCTCGGGGCGAGGAGCGCGAAGGGGAGGGGGGGTTCTAGTGGTTGGGGGGTGGGGCTGGGAGTGAGGTCTAGCCCACCAGCCCCCACTCCCCTCCCAGAGCCGGGGGGAGAACCCAGGAGTCCGGGCTCCCAGGCCCCTCTCCCCTCCCAGAGCCGGGGGGAGAACCCAGGAGTCCGGGCTCCCAGGCCCCTCTCCCCTCCTAGAGCCGGGGGGAGAACCCAGGCGCCCGGGCTCTCAGGCCCCTCTCCCCTTCCAGAGCCGGGGGGAGAACCCAGGAGTCCGGGCTCCCAGAGCCCCTCTCCCCTCCCAGAGCCGGGGGGAGAACCCAGGCGCCCGGGCTCCCAGGCCCCTCTCCCCTCCCAGAGCCGGGGGGAGAACCCAGGCGCCCGGGCTCCCAGGCCCCTCTCCCCTCCCAGAGCCGGGGGGAGAACCCAGGCGCCCGGGCTCCCAGGCCCCTCTCCCCTCCCAGAGCCGGGGGGAGAACCCAGGAGTCCGGGCTCCCAGAGCCCCCGCCCCCAGCACTGCGCAGGTCGCTCCCCAGCGGGACAGGGAGCTAGACGGGCCCACCGGGTGCCCCGGGGGAAGGGGGGTAGATGGGGAGAGAGCGGGGGGAGGGGGTTGGGGGGAGCTGTGGGGTAGGTGGGGGGGCTGTAAGCGCTGTGGGAAGTGGCCACAAGAGGGCGCCCTAATACCGCTGCTGGCCCCGCTCCGATCTCAGCAATCAGGCCACAGGCAGGGCAGGAGAACCCAGGAGTCCGGCCCCCCACTTGCTATGAGAGGGATCCCAGCAGGGTGGTGACGCGGGGCTCGGGGTGCAGGAGCGGGGCTTTGGGCGCAGTACCGGGGGGGTGGGAGCTGGGGGGCATCTCAGCTGGAGGGGGGAATCTGCCATCCGTACCGGCAGGAGTTGGGTTTTTTGGGGGGGGTCCCAGCAGCCGGGGGGGAGGGTCTGCACTCTCCCAGCTGTGAGGGGGGGGTCCCGTGGGGGTCCCAGCAGCGGGGGGGAGGGGCTGCGCTCTCCCAGCTGTGAGGGGGGGCGGGGGGGTCCCAGCAGCGGGGGGAAGGGGCTTCGCTCTCCCAGCTGTGAGGGGGGGCAGAGGGGGATCCCAGCATGGGGGGGAGGGGCTTTGCTCTCCCAGCTGTGACGGTTGTCGGGGGGGGGGTCCCAGCAGCGGGGGGGAGGGGCTGCGCTCTCCCAGCTGTGAGGGGGGCGGGGTATCCCAGCTGTGAGGGGGGGGTCGGGGGGTTCCCAGCAGTGGGGGGGGAGGGGCTGCGCTCTCCCAGCTGGGGGGGCAGGGGGATCCCAGCAGCGAGGGGGGAGGGGCTGCGCTTCTCCCCACCCCAGTCACACGCTTCTCCCGAAATAGAGGCTCCTCCCCCTGCCTGGCAGCGCGGGCTGCGGGGGGGGAGCGGGGGGGCGGGTCCCAAGGCGTGATGCTGCCCGTGACGTCACCCCCTTGTCTGCATAAAGCCCGGGGGGGGGCGCGGACGGGGACAGACGGACCGACGGGCGGCGAGAGACCGAGGACAGAGGGACACCAGCCTCCTCCCCCCCCCGCCGCAGAGACCTCGCCTCGGACCCCTCCCCCCGCGCCCCGGCCCAGGGGGGGCTGCCCCGTGCCCGACCCCCCCCATGAGATTTTTTAGGCTGACCTTCAAGTGCTTCGTGGATTGCTTCTGATCCCCCCCGCGGCTGCAGTGACCCCCCGCCTCCAGAGCACCCCCCGGCGCCCCTCCCCCCCCAGCTCGTCTCTTTGCAAGGGGGGGGAGAGATTTTAAATTGCATCCCCTTTCTTCCCCCCCCCCGCCAAGACCTAGATCCTGAGCCCCGCCTCGTAAGTTTGGGGGAGACCTTCCTCTCCTCCCCCCTCCGCAGGACCCCCAGATCCCCCCCTTTGAATCCCCCCTCCAGCGCCCACAGACCCCACCGCAGCGCCTCTCCCAGACCCGGATCTTCCCCCCCCCGCACTTCCTAGATTGGGGGGGTACCGAACCCGCCCCCCCACCGGACCATGAGCAAAGGGAGCTTGCTGGAAAACGGGGTGTACAGCGTCCCCTTGAGGGGGGTCATGTGCCAGGAGCAGGAGGAGGGGGGGCTGGTGGCGGTGTCCCGCAAAGGGGACCGGGGGGGCCCCCTGCCGGCCCCCCCGCCGCCCGCCGCCGCCCCGCCGCCGCCCCCCCGGGAGACCTGGACCCGGCAGATGGATTTCATGATGTCCTGCGTGGGCTTCGCCGTGGGGCTGGGCAACGTCTGGCGCTTCCCCTACCTGTGCTACAAGAATGGCGGAGGTGAGGGGGCGGCTGGGGGGAGAGGGGCTGGCGGGGGGAGGGGGCGGCGGGGGGGCGGGGAGGGGGAGAGGGGGCTGGCTGGGGGAGGGGAAGGGCCGGGGGGGGAGGTGTGTTGTGTGGGGGGGCAATCACTGCCACCCTGGGTATCACTGCCCTGTAACTGCAGGGCAAAGTGCGGGCGGGGGGCGGGGGAGGGATGGGGGCATGCCGGATGTGGGGCTGGGCAAGGAGCGGGCAGCACAGGTGTGGGAGGGGCCTCCCCGCCCCACAAATCCCTCCTCAGCCTGTGCCCCCACCCCAGCCCCTGGTCTCTGCCCTGAGCGACCCCAGCGCTGCCCTGTGCCCCTCCCCCCCACTCGGTCGTTCCCGCGCTGTCTGTATCCCCCTGGTCCTCACCCCACCGTCCACCCCCCTGGACCCCCCCAGCTGTCAGTCAGTCTGTCTGCGTCCCCCCATCCACCCCCTCCGTCTGTCTGTCTGTCTCAGGGGTGGGCAAACTTTGTGGCCTGAGGGCCACATCTGGGAAGAGAAATTGTCCGGCGTGCCATGACTGCTCACAGAATCGGGGGTTGGGGTGCAGGAGGGGGTGAGGGCTCCGGGGTGGGGCCAGAAATTAGGAGCTCAGGGTGTGGGAGGGGGTGCTGGGCTGGGGCGGGGGAGAGGTGTCCGGGGGGGGTGAGTGCTGGGACTGAAGGTGGGAGGGAGCAGGGCTGGGGCAGGGGGTTGGGGTGCAGATGGGAGTGAGGGCTCCGGCTGGGGGTGCATGCTCTGGGGTGGGGCTAGGGATGAGGGGTTGGGGGGCAGGAGAGGGATCAGGGCTGGGGCAGGGGGTTCAGGCCAGGGTGGGGGTCAGGGGTGCAGGCTCTGGGTAGCACTTACCTCAAGCAGCTCCTGAAACAGCAGCAGGTCCCCTCTCCAGCTCCTATGCGTAGGGGCAGCCAGGGGGCTCTGCGCTCTGCCCTGTCCACAAGCACTGGCCCTGCAGCTCCCATTGGCTCTGGTTCCCAACCAATGGGAGCTGCGGAGGCAGCGCTTTCGGGCAGAGGCAGCATGCAGAGCCCCCTGGCTGCCCCTACACGTAGGAGCCGGAGAGGGGGCCTGCTGCTGCTTCCGGGAGCCGCATGGAGCAGGGCTGGACCCTCTCCCTGGCAGGAGCTCAAGTGCCAGATTAAAATGGCTGGTGGGCCGGATCCAGCCCGGGGGCCACAGTTTGCCCCCCGCATCTATCTATCCCCATCCACCCCCTCTATCTATCCCACGCACCAGCCTGTCTGTCTGTCCTTCCCTCCCACAGCCCCTCCAGGCCTGGTGCTCGGCTGGGTGTGCTGACAGACATCTGACACTGACTCACCGCCTGTCACACTCCCACGCGGTAACACACCCGCTGTTGCCCATTGTCGCGCTCGGCTGCCCCGGGCAGGGAACCGGGCGGGTTTCCAGGCCTCCCGCGGCCCAGGCGAGGCCGGGCCGGGCCCCGATGTGGGGCGAATCCAGCGGCTGCTCGGGAGGGTTGTGCCCTGCAGCACGTGGGGCCTGTCCCGCCGCGTCCGGGCTGGTTCTCCCCGAGCTGCTGGAGGGTCCGTGGGGCTGGGCTCTCGCTGGGCCTCGCAATCGGTGCCTCTCGCGAATGATTCCTTACCCACCCCTTCAATTCACGACAAATTTCACAACGTTTAGTGAGGGACCCCAAACGACTGGTTTGGGGGCCTTTTTATTTGCCCCCGAATGTTTCATTTTCAACCTGAAATGATCTTTTCTTTTGTGCTTTTCAATTTACCAAAACCTGCCATTTTCAACCCAAAATCCACCCCCCTTCGATCCACCACAGCTGTCACGGCGTGGCCTGGTCGGCCTTGAAATGAATTTGTTCCAATCTTCTGATCTGGGATGTCACAGACTCCTGGGTCGTGCCCACTCTTGGCCCGTGCGGCCCCTGGGGGGAACCCCCATCAGCGCGACAGCCCTTCTCGGGGGTCCAGCCCCCCGCCTCCTGGAACCGCACCTCTCCAACCCTTAGCATGCCTGTCTCTGCCGTGGGCCCCTCAGGGAGTCCCCCTCGCTCTGGGGCCCCCACCCCCAGAGGGAATAAGGCCCCCCTGGTCTCTAGCCCGGAGCGACTCAGCCGGCATAAAGCAGGAGGGTTTAGTGAGCGTCTGAACCCAGCATGGGAAACTCTCTGGCCTCAGGCCTGGCCCCCCTCAGCCCAACACATCCCAGTCTCCCCTGCATCCAGGGGGCTCCAGCTGCTCCCTCCCCCCAGTCCTGAGCCCCCCTGCTTCCCCGCTGGGCATCTGCTATCACCGGCCCCAAGCCCCCCCTCTGTCCATTGTCACCTGGTAAACAGGTTGCCGGGGTCCCCTCTCCCCTCTTCTGGCCTCTTTGGCTGGACCCAGCTGGTCCGGTCACCGGGCTCCTTCCCCCGCAGCCCACTGTCCCCCCACTGGCCAGACCCGGCTGGGGCTCCCGGTCCCCAGTCCTGGGGTCTTCACTCTCCAGGCCATTGGCAGGGGTCCCACGTTCCCTCGCTGGCCCTGTGTCCCCAAAAGCCCCCTCTCCCACCCCCTCGTTAAACCCGTAACACCCAGGGAAACTGAGTCCCACCCCCTCGGCATGCAAACCACTGACAAAACCAAGAGACACCCCCCCCCCCTCGTCGCAGGGAACAGTTTGAGGAAAGGTTTCAGTTAAACCCCAAGCCACTTTTGTCGATTTTCCAAGCTGCCAGGAATTTTCAAGTTTCCTTTTTATCCCTAAATCAATCCCCCCTCCCTCCCCACCTTTTGATTCACCAAAAAGTTGCGTTTTCGACTGAGAATTAATTGCCCCACCGATTTCTCAGCGCTGGCAGCTACCGGACAAATCCTTTCCTTGCCCCACTCCCTTGGCACACTGGAAGTGGCCCCGGGAGAGCTGGCCGGAGGCGGGCACAGGGGTAGCTCTGTCTCCCGCGGTCCTGGTGGCAGGTGCCCAAAGCCGCGGAAAATGATGAATTTTCAGCTGGCAGCGGGGTCTGTTTGCCAGACAAGTCCCGGCTGGCAAAGAGGGGGCGGAGGTTTCCCAGGGGAGGGGACGCAGCTTGGGGGCCCCTGGGCAGGGCCTGGGCCGGCTTCCCTCCAGCCCTGGCTGGTGCCCGCGTTTCCTGCAAGTCGAGGCGTTTGGCTTCTCGTCCCAGCCACGAACCTGCCCCGCTCCTGGCCGCGTGCTCCGGGAACCTAATCCTCTTGGGAATCGGCCCACAGATCATCCTCTTACCGGGGCTTGGGGGGGTCAGGACTCCCCATACGGGGGGTGGGGGGAATCCAAGTGCCAGGCTATAAATAGAGATGCCCAGGGTGACTCATGCCTGCCCATGTGAGTGAGGGCTGAGGGGCACTGGTGGGGCCGTGGAGGGGGGGCCTGGGCTAGCAGGGCCTGTGGGTCAGGAGTGAGGGGCACCGGCAGGCTGGGGGGGCTGCGGGTTGGGAGTGAGGGGCACCGGCAGGCTGGGATTGACGCCCTGATTCTCCCCCCCCGAGGTGTCTTTCTGATCCCCTATCTCCTCATCGCCGTGCTGGGGGGGGTCCCCATTTTCTTCCTGGAGACTTCGCTGGGGCAGTTCATGAAAGCTGGGAGCATCAACGTCTGGAACATCGCGCCCCTGTTCAAAGGTCAGCGACCCCCCACCCTGGCCAGGCAGCCCCCCCGGGTCAGAGCCGGCGCCCCCCAGAGGGGACAGGCCCCTGCCCCATTCCCAGCTCCCCCCCCAATTTCTCCCCCCCCCACAGGTCTGGGCTTCGCCTCCATGGTGATCGTGTTTTACTGCAACACCTATTACATCATGGTCCTGGCCTGGGGCTGCTACTACCTGGCCAGCTCCTTCGCGGACCCCCTGCCCTGGGCCAGCTGCGGCCACCCCTGGAACTCGCCCGCGTGCACCGAGAGCTTCCCCCCGCCCTGCACCCCCGGGAACCGCAGCTGTGAGCCCGAGGGGCGCTCGCCCGTGCTGGAGTTCTGGGAGTGAGTCCCCCCGTGTCCCCCCCCCGGAGACCCCCCCGTCCCCTCCTGGGACCCCCTATCCCCCGCCTGAGGGGCGCTCGCCCGTGCTGGAGTTCTGGGAGTGAGTCCCCCCCGGAGACCCCCCCGTCCCCTCCTGGGACCCCCTATCCCCCACCCGAGGGGCGCTCGCCCGTGCTGGAGTTCTGGGAGTGAGTCCCCCCGTGCCCCCCCCGGAGACCCCCCCGTCCCCTCCTGGGACCCCCTATCCCCCGCCCGAGGGGCGCTCGCCCGTGCTGGAGTTCTGGGAGTGAGTCCCCCCGTGCCCCCCCCCGGAGACCCCCCCGTCCCCTCCTGGGACCCCCTATCCCCCGCCTGAGGGGCGCTCGCCCGTGCTGGAGTTCTGGGAGTGAGTCCCCCCGTGCCCCCCCCGGAGACCCCCCCCGTCCCCTCCTGGGACCCCCTATCCCCCGCCCGAGGGGCGCTCGCCCGTGCTGGAGTTCTGGGAGTGAGTCCCCCCGTGTCCCCCCCCCCCGGAGACCCCCCCGTCCCCTCCTGGGACCCCCTATCCCCCACCCGAGGGGCGCTCGCCCGTGCTGGAGTTCTGGGAGTGAGTCCCCCCGTCCCGTCCAGGGGCCGCCCCTCCCCCCCCCGGGGCCCCCTGTCCTTCTGGCCCGACCAGACAGCAAGTGTAAAAACTCAGGACATGGGGTCGGGGGGAACAGACATCTCTATAAGACAAAGCCCCAAATGTCGGGACTGTCCCTGTAAAACTGGGCCATCTGGTCACCCCACCCCCATGGGGCTGAGCTGGCAGCCCCCCCTCTTCCCCGCCCCCACACTCACGGCCCCCCCATTGCAGGAACCGGGTGCTGCACCTGTCGAGGGGCCTGGAGGTGCCGGGGGCCATCAACTGGGAGGTGACCCTCTGTCTGCTCGGGTGCTGGGTGCTCGTCTACTTCTGCGTCTGGAAGGGCGTCAAATCCACCGGGAAGGTACGGGGGGCCCTGGGGGGGAGGGGAAAGTGAGGGGCTCGGGGGGGGGGTGGGAAGCTGGGGGAGCTCGGGGTGGGTCACAGCCTGGGGGCCCCTGGGGAGAGGGGCTGCAAGAGACCCGTGGGGTACATGGGGGAGGGGGCCTGGCTGTGGGGGAGGGGGCCTCACGCTGCCCCCCTGACCCGCCCCTGCCCCTGCCCGCAGATCGTCTATTTCACTGCTACATTCCCCTACGTGGTGCTGATCGTCCTTCTGATTCGGGGCGCCCTGCTCCCCGGTGCCGGCGCCGGGATCCTGTATTACCTGAAACCCGACTGGTCCAAGCTGGGATCCCCTCAGGTAACGGGGCGCCCGGACGCTGGGGTTCTCTGCCAGCTCGGGGAGGGGAGGGGCGTCTGGTGGTTAGAGCAGGGGCCTGGGAGCCCGGACGCCTGGGTTCTCTCTTGGCTCTGGGAGGGGAGGGCAGCCTGGTGGTTAGAGCAGGGGGGCTGGGAGCCCGGAGGCCTGGGTTCTCTCCCGGCTCTGGGAGGGGAGGGCAGCCTGGTGGTTAGAGCAGGGGGGCTGGGAGCCCGGACGCCTGGGTTCTCTCCCAGCTCTGGGAGGGGAGGGCAGCCTGGTGGTTAGAGCAGGGGGCTGGGAGCCCGGAGGCCTGGGTTCTCTCCCGGCTGTGGGAGGGGAGGGCAGCCTGGTGGTTAGAGCAGGGGGGCTGGGAGCCCGGACGCCTGGGTTCTCTCCCAGCTCTGGGAGGGGAGGGCAGCCTGGTGGTTAGAGCAGGGGGGCTGGGAGCCCGGACGCCTGGGTTCTCTCCCAGCTCTGGGAGGGGAGGGCAGCCTGGTGGTTAGAGCAGGGGGCTGGGAGCCCGGAGGCCTGGGTTCTCTCCCGGCTGTGGGAGGGGAGGGCAGCCTGGTGGTTAGAGCAGGGGGGCTGGGAGCCCGGACGCCTGGGTTCTCTCCCAGCTCTGGGAGGGGAGGGCAGCCTGGTGGTTAGAGCAGGGGGGCTGGGAGCCCGGAGGCCTGGGTTCTCTCTCTCTCTTTCCACACAGGTCTGGATCGACGCAGGGACTCAGATCTTTTTCTCTTACGCCATCGGTCTGGGCGCCCTGACAGCCCTGGGCAGCTACAACCGGTTCAACAACGACTGCTACAAGTGAGCCTGGGGGGGGGGGGGTCCTGAGTCCCCCGACCCCTCCCCTGCTGCTGGGATCCCCCCCCAAGTTCCCCTCCAGCTGGTGCTGCCCCCTCCGGCCTGTCCTCTAACCCCCCCCTCCTCTCCTCCCCCCAGAGATGCCATAATCCTTGCCCTGATCAACAGCGGGACGAGTTTCTTCGCGGGCTTCGTTGTATTTTCCATCTTGGGCTTCATGGCAGCGGAGCAGGGGGTCGACATCTCCAGGGTTGCAGAATCCGGTGGGTTCCACCCGGACGCCTGGGTTCTCTCCCCGGCTCTGGGAGGGGAGTGGGGGCTGGTGGGTCAGAGCAGGGGGGGCTGGGAGCCCGGATGCCTGGGTTCTATCCTGGTCTCTGTCCCCCAGGGCCTGGCCTGGCGTTCATCGCGTATCCCCGAGCTGTCACCCTGATGCCCGTCGCTCCCCTCTGGGCGGCTCTGTTCTTCATCATGCTGCTGCTACTTGGACTGGACAGCCAGGTGGGGCTGGGGCCTGGACGCCTGGGTTCTCTCCCCGGCTCTGGGAGGGGGCTGGTGGTTAGAGCAGGGCAGGGCTGGGAGCCAGGACGCCTGGGTTCTCTCCCCGGCTCTGGGAGGGGGCTGGTGGTAAGGGCAGGGCAGGGCAGGGAGCCAGGACGCCTGGGTTCTCTCCCAGGGGGCTCAGAGCTGGCGGTGCTCCCCCCCAGTTTGTGGGGGTGGAGGGTTTCATTACAGGGATCCTGGACTTGCTCCCGGCCAGCTGCTCGTTCCGGTTCCAGCGGGAGGTGACGGTCGCCCTGAGCTGCACCCTCTGCTTCTTCATCGACCTCTCCATGGTCACCGAGGTACGGGGGGCTGCGGGTCGGGAAGGAGGGGCACCCCCGGCCAGTGCCCCGGGACTCGGCCCCCGCTCACTCCTGCCCTCTCCCGCCCTAGGGGGGCATGTACGTCTTCCAGCTCTTCGACTACTACTCGGCAAGCGGCACCACGCTGCTGTGGCAGGCGTTCTGGGAGTGTGTGGTGATCGGCTGGGTGTACGGTGAGTCCCGCGCCGGCGGGCTGCGGGTCGGGAGTGAGGGGCGCCGGCGGGCTGCGGGTCGGGAATGAGGGGCGCCGGCGGGCTGCGGGTCGGGAGTGAGGGGCGCCGGCGGGGCAGGGGGCTGCGGGTCGGGAGTGAGGGGCGCCGGCGGGGGGCAGATGGCCCCTGACTCCGATCTGGGTTCGGCAGGCAGGATGCCGGGATTGATGGGCCCATGGCTGTGACGTGGGGGGCAGCAGGCAGGGCCTGGGGGTCGGCTGCGGGGGAGGAGGGCGTATGCGGGTCTCTCTCACCCATTGCCTCCCCAGGGGCTGATCGGTTCATGGACGACATCGCCTGCATGATCGGCTACCGGCCCTTCCCCTGGATGAAATGGTGCTGGATGGTCCTGACGCCCCTCATCTGCCTGGTACGGGCCTGGGCGGGGGGGGCGGACTCCGGGGCTCTCTCCCTGGCGGCGGCGGGGGGGGGGCCCGGGGCTCTCTCCCTGGTGGCGGGGCGGGCGGCGGGGGGGGGCCCGGACTCTTTCCCTGGCGGCGGCGGGGGGGGGGCCGGGCTCCGGGGCTCTTTCCCTGGCGGCGGCGGGGGGCCCGGACTCCTGGACTCTCTCCCTGGCGGCGGGGCGGGCGGCGGGGCGGGCGGCGGGGGGGGGCCCTGACTCTCTCCCTGGCGGCGGGGGGGGCCCGGACTCCTGGACTCTCTCCCTGGCGGCGGGGCGGGCGGCGGGGGGGGGCCCGGACTCTCTCCCTGGCGGCGGGGGGGGGCCCGGACTCCTGGACTCTCTCCCTGGCGGCGGGGGGGGGCCCGGCTCCACTCCGCGTTTTTAACCTCCCGCCTCCCCCAGGGCATTTTCCTCTTCAACGTTGCCTATTACAAGCCGCTGATCTACAACCAGACCTACGTGTACCCCTGGTGGGGCGAGGCCATCGGCTGGGCCTTCGCCCTCAGCTCCATGCTCTGCCTGCCCCTCACCGCCCTCTACAAGCTCCTCCGCGCCCAGGGGACCCTGGCTGAGGTGAGCCCGGGGTTCGCTGCCCCGCTCCGGGAGAGGAGGGTGGGGGGAGCGGGGCGCCCGGACGCCTGGGTTCGATGACCCCTCTCTCTCCCTGCCCCCAGCGCTGGCAGGACCTGACCCAGCCCGTCTGGGGGCTGCACCACCTGGAGTACAAGCTGCCCGAGGGGGACGGGAGGGCGCTGACGACGCTGAACCCCGGCGCCGAGGACGTGGGGAAAGTCGTGATCCTGGAGAGCGTCATGTGACTGCGAGCGGCCCCCCTCCCCCCAATCACACAGCCGCTCTGTGGGGGGGGCAGGACCCCTGAACCAGCCCCCACAAGCCCGGACGCCTGGGTTCTCTCCCTGGCTCGGGGAGGGGAATGGGGTCTAGGGGGCTGGGAGCCCGGACACCTGGGTTCTCTGGGAGGGGCACCTAGAATGGCTCCCCTGTTCAGACCCACACGCCACAGAGCCAGCATAACACCCCCCAGCCAGCGAACCCAGGCGTCCTCCCCCCCCCCCCAGCCCTTGAACATAGATTATATTTTGCACATTTTGTATCGAGAGCTATAGGGAGATCGGGGGGGGGGGGTAATTGCGGGGCCTGTTCAAAGCACTAACGAGCCGCAGCGTCGAGGCCGGGTGTCGCGCGGGGACCCGGCGGGCAGGTTTGCACAGGACAAAGTGTGTGTGTGTCCGGGGGGGGGGTGTGTCCCCATCCGTCCGTGGGGGGAGGGGGTGTCTGTAGGGGTGTCTGGGGGGGAGTCTGTGTCAGTGTCCAGGTGTGTGTGTGTCCGTGGGGGGGTGTATGTGTCTGGGGGGGGGGGTCTGTCAGTGTCCAGGTGTGTGTGTGTGTGGGGGTCGGGGCGTGTGTGTGTCCGTGGGGGGGTGTGTGTGTCTGTGGGGGGTCTGTCAGTGTCCAGGTGTGTGTGTGGGGGGGGGGTCGGGGCGTGTGGGTGTCTGTGGGGGGTGTGTGTGTCTGTTCATGCTACATCCATGTACCAACTCAACCTCAATCCAACGGGGCTAGAACTGGGGGGGCTGCAGTGGCCGGTGGGGGGGCTGTAGCTGGGGGCTCAGCCCCCCTGGGGTGTGAGCAGGGGCCCTGCCCTGTTTCTGGCCCCTTTGTCCCCCCGCGCAGCGCGGCCCAGCCTGGAAGCAGCCCCGGGGCTGGGTTTGTTTTGAGGGAGGTGGGGGGATGCCCCCCCAGCAGGGGGCAAAATCCAGAGTGACTCCAGATTCCCCCCCTCCCTGGGAGAGGCATCCCAGGTGTCCCCCCAACCCTAGGGGCTCCGGGGGTGCTATTCCACATCAGTCTTCCACGGTGGCAGCTTTAACATGTTGTGTGTTGTGTCAAACCAGCAGGGGCTCCCCTGACCCCCCATCCCGAGCCCCCCAATCCCCTGATCCCCCCATCCCCAGAGCCCCACGTCTGTGATCGTGTTAATTTCCATCCTCAGACAGCAATAAACGAGACATATCCCGGCCGGCTGCCTGTGCCTGTCTGTGGGGGGGTGGAGTGGGGGGGGAGGTGAGACACGGGGCTGCACCAACCCCCTCCACACCCCCCGCTGTGTTCCCATGGAAGCTGGCTCCCAAATCCACCCCCTGGCACTCTGCCAGCCTGACAGCTCTGGGGCAACAGGGAGCCTCCCTGCAACCCCCCCCCACAGCTCACCAACAGGAGGGGGGTGGAGTGGTTAGAGCAGAGGGGGTAGGGGCTGGGGGCCAGGACGCCTGGGTTCTCCACCAGCATCACCCCCCTTGGCTCTCCACGGGGGCCATGCTGTCCTGCCCAGGAAGGTTCGGGGGAGCTGGGGCCTGGCCACGCCGCACGCTACCCTTGGCCTAGGCTCCCGAGGCGTAGCCAGGGGGGCACAACAGGATCCCCCTCCAGCAGGAGATCTTTCCCCAAATGGGGGAAACTGAGGCAGGGGGCAGAGAGGCTGTGATCAGCCCATGCGCCCACAGCCAGATCTGCCCCCCCCGTAGCTTTGGGCACTGGGAGGTTTGATTAGATCCATTGCCAGGCCCCCTCTGGCCCCTGGCCCCCCCAAGAGCCAGGCCCCTCCCCCTCTGCCCCCCACCAAGCTGCCAAACTCAACAGGGCAGGGGAGAGTCAGGGACTGGGCACAGCTTAAACACCCCCCAGGAAGTCCAGGGCCACAGACTTGGTCACAGGGCACCCCATGGCCCTGACTCATGGGGGCAACGTGCACCAGCCCCCCACCCCATTTACCCTGAGTCACCCTCTGAGAGAACCCAGGCATCCGGGAGCAGGGACAACCACATGGATGGAAAGGGGGATGGGGACAGAACCCCCTTGGCTGGACTCTTAAGTGCCTCACTTTGCCAGGAGCAAGTGGCTCCTTGCCCCCCAGGGAAGATGGAGTTGGGGACCCAGGCAGCCCCCCACCCACCGTTCAACAAGGCGCCGTGCCCCCAAGCCTGGCGTCTGACCCCTTTATTGAAGGCAAAGCTCAGATCGCTACAGACCCGGCCCCAGTAACAAAAAAGGCCGGGGGGGTGGGGCGCTAGGCCCCTGCCAGAAACACAGGGCTTACAAGGAAGGAGTACAGCTTGAGGGGGAGGGGAGAATCACAGCTCCCCACAAACCTTTGCTCCAATGGGGAAATCTAGGGGTCACCCAGCTCAGGAGAGGGGGAAAGAGCAGGTCACAGAGAGGGGAAACTGAGGCACAGGGGCTTGACACCCCTGCTTGGAATGGGCACAGCCCAGTGATGGGGTAAGCGTAGCAGCCCCCCCTCCTGCGAGCAGAGGGGGAAGGGAGGGGAGCCTGACCCGCACCGAATACTGTAGACTCCACCCACGGAGGAGCTGGGGGCGTGGTCCACGAGAGGCTCCGCCTACAGAAAGCAACAGCCAAGGCTGCAGGGGGGAGGGGAGGGGCCGTCACTCCTCCTTCTTGTCCTTGGGTCCCTCCTGCCGCATCTAGAGACAGACCAACGGGGGGGGGGGGGGTCAGGAGGGGCAGACAGGCCCCTGAGGTGGAGCCCCCCATCCACCCCTCCCCGCCAGGCAGGGCCCCCCCATGGTTCTGTCCAGGACCCTCGCTCCCAGGCTGCCACCCCCCCAACCAGGGCCCCTCACTCCCAGCACGCAGCCCCCCCCAACAAAAGGCTTTCTCACGCTTGAAGCTCCCTCCCCCCCTCCCCGCTGCCAGTTCAAATCCCCCAGCGGCTGCTGGGCCCCACCCTGGCAGCGGGAGCAGGGTTGGGCAACCGCGCCCCCGGCCCGACGCACCTGCCTGCACGTAGCCATCACAAGGCACCGGGCACAGAGCCCACAGCCGGGCTGGGCTGGGCAGGGAGCCAGCCCTGCCCCCCCCCCACGGCAGCAGTGCCCCCCACTCCCGACCCACAGCCCCCTGCCAGCCCAGCCCTGCCCCCCCCAGCCCTGCTGGTGCCCCCCACTCCCAACCCGCACCCCCTGCCAGCCTGGCCCTGCCCCCCCCCCACAGCTGATTGTGCCCCTCACTCCTGACCTGAACTCCCCCCACCCCCACAGCCAGTGCCCCTCATTCTTGACCCACAGCCCCCCCCCACCCCATCAGCTGACAGCCCCCCCTTGCCAGCAGGTTATTTATAGGCCCCTGTGGCCAGCTAGCCGGATCTCTTACAGATCAGCTCCCAGCCAGCCCCTTGCCAGGATTGGCTGGGCTGCCCCCTGGTGGTGGGAGAGGTGCTGCCTCTCTGGGGGGGCTCTGGCCAAGTGTGTGGGGGGCTGCCAGGCCCCAGCCCTGTAACACATTCTGCTCCCCCATGCCCCAGAGGCCCGTCCTAGACCACAGGCTCCAGCCACCCCCCACGACCCTCTGCCCCACCTGCAGTTTGCCATGTTCCTCCAGCAGCCGGTCGTACTCCTTGGTCAGCCCCTCGGCCTGCTTCCTCATGGCCAGCGCCTCGCTCTCCGCCTTCTCCACAGCTGGGGGGGCAGCCCAGGTTAGCCACAGCAGGGCCCCCCCGGTGGGGAACCGGCCCAGCCTTCCCGGCAGCCGAGGGGGCATAGCTGAGCCAGCGCCCGCCGGGGTGAACAGCCCGAAGCGTGGCCGGGACTGCCCGAGTGTGCAGAGAGCCTGAGCCCCCGTCCCCCACTGTGCAGCGCCTCCAGCCTCGGGAGCTGCCTCAGTTTCCCCAGAAGGGTTGTTTTCAGCCAGGGCAGCCAGGCCCCAGCTGACACGCACCAGCCATGGGGCTGGGATTCATGGGGTAACCTAGGCCAACGCTGACCTCAGGACTTAACCCCCCGAGTGGCTGCAGGGGTGGAAATCCCGCCCCTGCTCCCAGCTCACCCCTCTTGCTCAAGGCCAGCTCCTCCTTCAGCTGCTTGAGCTCCTCCTTCAGCACCTCGTTCTGGCCGGCGGCCCCCGGCCCCTCGGCCGGCTGCTCTCTGACATCCACGCCAGCCTGCTTCAGTTCCTGGAGGGGGGGGGGGACACAAGTGACCCCAGCTGGACCCCATACCCTGAGCCAGGGCCCCACATCCCCCGAGGCCTAGCCACAGCCCCTGCACCCCTGTAACCAAACCCAGGGCCCTGCCATCCAGACCCTCCGTCATAGGGCCCAACCCCCCTCCCCCACGGACAGATCTCACTTGAGGGCCCCGACTGAGTCCCCCACCCCCCTGAAACACCCACCCCCTCATGAGGGCTCCCAGCTTCACCCGCAAGGGGGCTGGCAGCCTGCGGATGCAGAGAATGTGGGTTGGAGCCCCACCCCCACTGCGCTGGCCCCCCCTCACCCCACCTTCTTCAGCTGGTCGTTGTCCTCCATGTATCTCTTGGCCGCATCACTGGCGCTCTCCGCCTGCTTCTTGAACGCCTGGTTGGAGGCCAGGAGCGTGGCCTGCTGGGAGATGAGCGTCACCAGCCGGCGCAGGAGACTGCAGGGACCCAGGGCAGCGAGGGGTTAACAGCGGAGGGGCCCCTCGCTCCCGACCCCCCACCCAGGGCCCCCCCAGCCCCCCCGCACTCACAAGGAGAGCAGCAGGGCGAAGCCGGCCAGGTAGAGGTTGCGCTGGGCGCGGAAGAGTTTCATGTGGAAATGCTCCACGGCGCCCGGGTTGTTCTGCAGATTCACTTTCTCCGTCACGTCGTCGTACTTCTGGATCTCGCGCACGGCGTCTGGGGGCAGCACGGGGTTAACGCGCCGGGCACCAGCGCAGCGCTCCCAGCCGGGAGCCCGAAGGAACCCAGGCGTCCGGGCTCCCGGCCCCGCCCCCAGCCCTGACCCACCAGACCTCGATCCCCCCCCAGAGCCAGGGAGAGAACCCAGGAGTCCTGGCTCCCAGGTTCCCACCCTAAGGGCATTGGGTCACAAGGGTAAGTATGCCCCCCGGCCGGCCCCCAGTGCCCCCCGGCCAGCCCCCAGTGCCCCCCGCTCACCAAGCAGCAGCAGGATGAGGATGACGATGAGCACCACGAAGAAGGTGTTCCCGTAGGTCACCACCAGCCGGACCAGGCGGGACCGGAAGATTTTCTGCCATCTGCCGGGGGTGGGAGAGGATCACACAGGCAGCCCCCCAACCCCTCCTTCCCATCACGTGCCCAGGCCCAGCCCACCAGGGGCCCCCCAACCCTGCAGGGATATGGGGACAGAAGCAGACCCAAGGTTCCCCCGAAGAGAGACGGGGGTGACTCCGCTGGGACCCCAGCAGAGAGGTGCCCACCGCCCCACGGGGAACGGGAGATGGAGCCTCCAGACCCCTGGGAGGCCAGCCCAGCCCCCCAGCACCAGGGCAGGCTCCCCGCCAGGAGGGGGAATATCAGCAGAGAACCCAGGAGTCCTGGCTCCCTGCCCCCACCGGGATGGGGGCCCCACCTGGGTGCAGAGATGAAGGGGACGCAGAGGAGCAGGACGGCGAAGACCTCGGCGTAGAGAAACGTGGCCACGGCCGTCCACTGCAGGCTCATGGCGGCCAAGGGGGAGGGGCGCTAGGGGGGAGGGAGAGCGTCAGCCCAGCCCACTCCCTGCCCCACTGCACCCCCCCCCAGCCCCACTCCCAGCCCATCACCGGTGCCCCTCACTCCCACCCCACAGCCCCCCATCACCCTTCACCACATTGCAGCCCCCCTGCACCCCCCAGCCCATCACCGGTGCCCTTCAGTCCCACCCCAGAGCCCCCCCCATGACTCCCCACCCCATTGCACCCCCCCAGCCCCACTCCATTGCACCCCCCCCAGCCCATCACCGGTGCCCCTCATTCCCACCCCACAGCCCCCCATCACTTCCCACCCCACCCCACCAGCCCCACTGCACGCCCCCAGCCCATCACCGGTGCCCTTCAGTCCCACCCCAGAGCGCTCCCATGACTCCCCACCCCATTGCACCCCCCCAGCCCATCACCAGTGCCCCTCATTCCCACCCCACAGCCCCCCATCACCCTTCACCACATTGCAGCCCCCTGCACCCTTGCACCCCCCCAGCCCATCACCAGTGCCCCTCACTCCCCGCCCCACTGCACCCCCCAGCCCATCACCGGTGCCCCTCACTCCCACCCCACAGCCCCCCATCACCCTTCACCACATTGCAGCCCCCCTGCACCCCCCCAGCCCATCACCGGTGCCCTTCAGTCCCACCCCAGAGCCCCCCCATGACTCCCCACCGCATTGCACCCCCCCAGCCCCACTCCATTACACCCCTCCAGCCCATCACCGGTGCCCCTCATTCCCACCCCACAGCCCCCCATCACTCCCCACCCCACCCCACCAGCCCCACTGCACCCCCCCAGCCCATCACCGGTGCCCTTCAGTCCCACCCCAGAGCCCCCCCATGAGTCCCCACCGCATTGCACCCCCCCAGCCCCACTCCATTACACCCCCTCCAGCCCATCACCGGTGCCCCTCATTCCCACCCCACAGCCCCCCATCACTCTCCACCCCACCCCACCAGCCCCCTGCACCCCCCCAGCCCATCACCAGTGCCCCTCACTCCCCGCCCCACTGCACCCCCCAGCCCATCACCGGTGCCCCTCATTCCCACCCCCCAGCCCCCCCAGCCCCACTGCACCCCCCCCAGCCCATCACCGGTACCCCTCATTCCCACCGCACAGCCCCCCCATCCCCCTCCCCCAGGCCCTGACTGCCAGGGGAGAGCACCCCCCTCCAAGCCCCATAGCACCCCCCACAGCATCCCCCCTCCATCACCCTCCTTGCCCGTTCCCAGAGGCCCGGCCCAAGGGGCTCACTATCTGGCAGGGCCCCGGCCCAAGGGGCTCACTATCTGGCAGGGCCCCGGCCCAAGGGGCTCACTATCTGGCAGGGCCCCCGGCCCAAGGGGCTCACTATCTGGCAGGCCCCCGGCCCAAGGGGCTCACTATCTGGCAGGCCCCCGGCCCAAGGGGCTCACTATCTGGCAGGGCCCCGGCCCAAGGGGCTCACTATCTGGCAGGGCCCCCGGCCCAAGGGGCTCACTATCTGGCAGGGCCCCCGGCCCAAGGGGCTCACTATCTGGCAGCGCCCCGGCCCAAGGGGCTCACTATCTGGCAGCCCCTCACCAAGCCTCGAGCCGACGGGCAAATTCCAGCTGAGCTCTGCGCGCCCCCCAACCGGAAATAGGAACTGAAGAGGAAGTCCCGCCCCCTCGGGCCGCCGTCCGCCAATGAGCGCACAGCTTCCTTACCGGACGGCGCCGCGCCCCATCAGCGGAAGTTCCCATCCGGGCGGAAACACTTCCCTCGTGGCGCCGGAAGAGATTCTCTCCCATACCGGAAGTGCAGCCATGACATCTAGGGACCGGAAGTACCGCCATAAAACCCGAACGGGGCGGAAGCGCCGTGCTGCTCCCAGCGGAAGTGACGCCACAGCTAGTACCGGAAGCGCCGCCATGGCAGCTACCGAGGCGGAAGTGGTGTGGCTGGGAATTGCCGGGCGGGAAGCCGGGGAGCGTCAGCGGGCCCGGGCCGGACGCGCAGGGCGGGACTCAGCGGCCAGGAGCCCTCAGCCGGGCCGGGGGGGCCGGACCCTGGTTCTGGGCCCCCCCCGGCCCGGCCCGTGCCCCTCGCTCGCTTCCCGGCCCCGGGGAAACTGAGGCACCAGGAAAACTCCCCTGCAGAAACCCGGCCCGGAGCCGCCCCGAGACCCCCCGGGGCACCCTGGGGTGCAGAGCGGGGAGATGGGGGGGGGGTCTCTGCTCCTCCCCGTCACAGGAACCAGGCGCCGCCCCGTGACAGCAACGAGCAGCCGCGTTAACCCACGGAACGGGCGGCTGCGGGTCGGGAGTGAGGGGCACCGGCAGGCTGGGGGGGCAGGGCCGGGCTAGCGGGGGGCTGCGGGTCGGGAGTGAGGGGCCCCCGCAGGCTGGGGGGGCAGGGCCGGGCTGGCGGGGGGCTGCGGGTCGGGAGTGAGGGGCCCCCGCAGGCTGGGGGGGCAGGGCCGGGCTAGCGGGGGGCTGCGGGTCGGGAGTGAGGGGCACCCGCAGGCTGGGGGGGCAGGGCCGGGCTGGCGGGGGGCTGCGGGTCGGGAGTGAGGGGCCCCCGCAGGCTGGGGGGGCAGGGCCGGGCTGGCGGGGGGCTGCGGGTCGGGAGTGAGGGGCACCCGCAGGCTGGGGGGGCAGGGCCGGGCTAGCGGGGGGCTGCGGGTCGGGAGTGAGGGGCCCCCGCAGGCTGGGGGGGCAGGGCCGGGCTAGCAGGGGGCTGCGGGTCGGGAGTGAGGGGCCCCCGCAGGCTGGGGGGGCAGGGCCGGGCTAGCAGGGGGCTGCGGGTCGGGAGTGAGGGGCCCCCGCAGGCTGGGGGGGCAGGGCCGGGCTGGCGGGGGGCTGCGGGTCGGGAGTGAGGGGCCCCCGCAGGCTGGGGGGGCAGGGCCGGGCTGGCGGGGGGCTGCGGGTCAGGAGTGAGGGGCACCGGCAGGCTGGGGGGGCAATCAGGGGTTTCTCTCTCTCTCCCAGCTCCTGCCCTTTGGCCGAGCTCGGGCTGCCTCACCCAGGAGCAGCCGGGCTGTAAAAGTTCCCTGTGGAGGGGGAGGTAACGGGCCCCCCCAGGGACTCTGCCCTTTGCCCCTGGCTATCACGCGCCTGCGATAGCAGCCCCGGATTGTGAGCCCAGGACGCCGGGGTTCCTGGCCCAGCTCCCTCTGCCGGCTGCTGCCCCTGCTTCATGCCTCAGTTTCCCCTCTGCTAGTTAGGTTGGGGCACAGTCAGTAAGACCTGGAACAGAGTGCACCCCCGAAGAGCCTGGGGGACCCCCGGGGCCGGGCCACAGCCTACAGCAGGGAGCTGAAGGAGGGAGGGGAAAGGTGGCGTGTGCTGGGCTGGAAGCAGGGACGCTGGTGCCAGACCTGGCCTGGCCAGACGTGGGGCGAAGCAGGAGGGTTGGAGCCCCAGGGCGTGGCCCCGATCCCAGGCAGCCGGGAGAGCCTGGCGTGGGGGGCCCGGGCGCAGGGGTGTGACACGAATGAATACGAGAGGAAGGAATTCCGGGGCTCCCCCTTCGGATCTCGGCTCCCCCAGGCTCAGTCCGGAGTCACCCCCCCCTTCGGATCTCAGCTCCTCCAGGCTCAGTCCGGAGTCACCCCCCCCCTTCGGATCTCGGCTCCCCCAGGCTCAGTCCGGAGTCACCCCCCCCTTCGGATCTCGGCTCCCCCGGGCTCAGTCCGGAGTCACACCCCCCCCCTTCGGATCTCGGCTCCCCCGGGCTCAGTCCGGAGTCACCCCCCCCTTCGGATCTCGGCTCCCCCGGGCTCAGTCCGGAGTCACCCCCCCCTTCGGATCTCAGCTCCTCCGGGCTCAGTCCGGAGTCACCCCCCCCTTCGGATCTCGGCTCCCCCAGGCTCAGTCCGGAGTCACCCCCCCCTTCAGATCTCGGCTCCCCCAGGCTCAGTCCGGAGTCACCCCCCCCCCTTCGGATCTCGGCTCCCCCGGGCTCAGTCCGGAGTCACCCCCCCCCTTCGGATCTCGGCTCCCCCGGGCTCAGTCCGGAGTCACCCCCCCTTCGGATCTCGGCTCCCCCGGGCTCAGTCCGGAGTCACACCCCCCCCTTCGGATCTCGGCTCCCCCAGGCTCAGTCCGGAGTCACCCCCCTTCGGATCTCGGCTCCCCTGGGCTCAGTCCGGAGTCACACCCCCCTTCGGATCTCGGCTCCCCCAGGCTCAGTCCGGAGTCACCCTCCCCCTTCCCCCTTTGGATCTCGGCTCCCCCGGGCTCAGTCCGGAGTCACTCCCCCCTTCGGATCTCGGCTCCCCCGGGCTCAGTCCGGAGTCACCCCCCCTTCGGATCTCGGCTCCCCCGGGCTCAGTCCAGAGTCACACACCCCCCTTCGGATCTCGGCTCCCCCGGGCTCAGTCCAGAGTCACACACCCCCCCTTCGGATCTCGGCTCCCCCAGGCTCAGTCCGGAATCACCCTCCCCTTCGGATCTCGGCTCCTCCAGGCTCAGTCCGGAGTCACCCTCCCCCTTCCCCCTTTGGATCTCGGCTCCCCGGGCTCAGTCCGGAGTCACCCCCCCTTCGGATCTCGGCTCCCCCGGGCTCAGTCCGGAGTCACACCCCCCTTCGGATCTCGGCTCCCCCGGGCTCAGTCCGGAGTCACACCCCCCTTTGGATCTCGGCTCCCCCGGGCTCAGTCCGGAGTCACCCCCCCCCTTCGGATCTCGGCTCCCCCGGGCTCAGTCCGGAGTCACCCCCCCCTTCGGATCTCGGCTCCCCGGGCTCAGTCCGGAGTCACCCTCCCCCTTCCCCCTTCGGATCTCGGCTCCCCCGGGCTCAGTCCGGAGTCACACACCCCCCCTTCGGATCTCGGCTCCCCCAGGCTCAGTCCGGAATCACCCTCCCCCTTCCCCCTTTGGATCTCGGCTCCCCCGGGCTCAGTCCGGAGTCACCCCCCCCTTCGGATCTCGGCTCCCCCAGGCTCAGTCCGGAGTCACCCTCCCCCTTCCCCCTTTGGATCTCGGCTCCCCCGGGCTCAGTCCGGAGTCACCCCCCCCCCTTCGGATCTCGGCTCCCCCGGGCTCAGTCCGGAGTCACACCCCCTTCGGATCTCGGCTCCCCCAGGCTCAGTCCGGAGTCACCCCCCCCTTCGGATCTCGGCTCCCCCAGGCTCAGTCCGGAGTCACCCTCCCCCTTCCCCCTTTGGATCTCGGCTCCCCCGGGCTCAGTCCGGAGTCACCCCCCCTTCGGATCTCGGCTCCCCCGGGCTCAGTCCGGAGTCACACACCCCCCCTTCGGATCTCGGCTCCCCCAGGCTCAGTCCGGAGTCACCCCCCCCCTTCGGATCTCGGCTCCTCCAGGCTCAGTCCGGAGTCACCCTCCCCCTTCCCCCTTTGGATCTCGGCTCCCCCGGGCTCAGTCCGGAGTCACACCCCCCTTCGGATCTCGGCTCCCCCGGGCTCAGTCCGGAGTCCCCCCCCCCCCTTCGGATCTCGGCTCCCCCGGGCTCAGTCCGGAGTCACCCCCCCCCTTCGGATCTCGGCTCCCCCGGGCTCAGTCCGGAGTCACCCCCCCCCTTCGGATCTCGGCTCCCCCAGGCTCAGTCCGGAGTCACCCTCCCCCTTCCCCCTTTGGATCTCGGCTCCCCCGGGCTCAGTCCGGAGTCACCCCCCCCTTCGGATCTCGGCTCCCCCGGGCTCAGTCCGGAGTCACACCCCCCTTCGGATCTCGGCTCCCCCGGGCTCAATCCGGAGTCACACCTCCCTTCGGATCTCGGCTCCCCTGGCTCGGCTCCCCCGGCTCAACCCGGGGTCACCTCCCCCCTTCAGATCTCGGCTCCCCCGGGCTAAATCCAGAGTCACCCCCCCTTCAGATCTCGGCTCCCCCGACTCGGCTTCCCCGGCTCAATCCAGAGTCACCATCCCTTCAGATCTCAGCTCCACCGGGCTCAATCCAGAGTCGTCCCCCCCCTTCGGATCTCAGCTCCCCCGGCTCAATCCAGAGTCACCCCCTCTTCAGATCTTGGCTCCCTCGACTCGGCTCCCCCGGGTTCAATCCGGAGTCACCCCCCCTTTGGATCTTGGCTCCCCCAGGTTCAATCCGGAGTCACCCCCCCTTTGGATCTTGGCTCCCCTGACTCAATCCAGAGTCACCCCCCCTTCGGATCTCAGCTCCCCTGGCTCAATCCAGAGTCACCCCTCCTTCAGATCTCAGCTCCCCCAACTCGGCTCCCCCGGCCTCAATCCAGAGTCCCCCCCCCTTCGGTTCTCGGCTCCCCCAGGCTCAAGCCAGAGTCCCCCCCCTTCAAATCTCAGCTCCCCCGGGCTCAATCCAGAGTCACCCCCCCTTCGGATCTCAGCTCCCCTGGCTCAATCCAGAGTCACCCCCCCTTCTGATCTTGGCTCCCCCAGGCTCAATCCAGAGGCACCCCCCCCTTCGGATCTCGGCTGGGCTCAATCTGGAGTCTCCCCCGATTGCAATGGGGGCAAATTCAGATCTCAGCTCCTGCAGGCTCAATCTAGAGTCTCCCCCTCTTTGAATCTCAGCCCCCCCCCCGGCTCAATCCAGAGTCACCCCTGATTGCAATGGGAGCAGGGCCAGCTTTGGATCTCTCAGCTCCACTGGGGTCAATCCGGAATCTCCCCTGGATTGCACTGGGCACAGGGCCAGATTCAGATCTCAGCTCCTGCAGGCTCAATCCGGAGTCACTGCGATTGCACTGGGGGCAGGGCCAGCTTCCTCCCCTTGC